GAAAGATTTGGAATCTGGCCTCGCCAATGATCAAAGAACGGCAGTAGATGAATCAGATTTGAGAACTGTCATGACAAGCATGACCACTATTCCAGATGGCTTTCAACCCCACAATGGTGTCTCCCGAGCGATTGCGGCTCGTCAAAAATCCTTTGAAAGCAACATTGTCGACTGGTCTATGGCGGAGGCTTTGGCATTCGGTACGTTGTGTCTCGAAGGAAATGCAGTTCGTGTCACAGGTCAAGATGTTCAACGAGGAACCTTCTCACAGCGCCACGCCGTTTGGCATGATCAGCCTTCTGGGAAATTCTGGACTCCGTTGAATCATATGAGCGACCACCAGGCTCGGTTGACGATTGAGAACTCTCCACTGAGTGAGTTTGGAGCTCTTGGGTTTGAATACGGAATTACACTTGCAGATCCGCAATCTCTGGTCATGTGGGAAGCACAGTTTGGTGATTTCGCCAACAACACACAAGTTATGTTGGATAACTTCATTGCTTCCGGGGAGAGCAAATGGCTTGATCGCTCTGGACTTGTCTTATCGTTGCCCCACGGCTATGATGGGCAGGGCGCCGAGCACTCGTCAGCGCGTCTGGAACGTTTCTTGATGCTGGGCGATGATGACGGCCGCTCTTGGCCATTGGACCTTGAAAGTACCGCGAGACATGCCAACATTGAGATTGTCTACATGACTACCCCGGCCAACTACTTCCACGTCCTCAGGCGCCAGCTCAGGAGAGATTACCGAAAGCGTGAGTTGCCCCATGTCCCTTTTTAACTAGATACATAAGTAAGGAGATTCAATTCATGACTAACTAACTTCGATATTAGCCTTGGTCATTTTCTTTTCCAAGTCGCTGCTTCGTCATCCATTGGTTCGCTCCGAGGTGTCGGAGCTCACCGGATCATCCGCCTTTCAACCCGTCCTCAGCGACCCAGACCACGACATCACCATCGACAAACCAGAGGCCATTGAGCGAGTCATCTACTGTAGTGGGCAGGTATACTTTGCTCTCAAGAAACGAAGGGAGGCTCTGGGCCTGAAGGACGTTGCCATTACCCGAATCGAGCAGCTCCATCCATTTCCCTGGGCCGAGGTCAAGGAAAACCTCGAGTCGTATCCCAACGCGAAGTCTGTTGTCTGGGCACAAGAGGAACATTACAACGGTGGCGCCTGGCATTATATGCGTGATCGACTGGACACCGTTATTCGTCAGTTGGATCGTCAGGCTATTACTAGCCTTCGATATGCTGGACGCGGCCCGAGTGCTAGCACGGCGACGGGTTTGAAGAAGCTACATGCGTCCGAGGAGGATGAGTTGTTAAACGAGGCGTTTGCCTCATTATAAAGTTGTAGATAGGTATTCATTCGTCGTAGATAAATTATTTCTGATTTCACGATGGACATATGCCTTTCTCTAAATGCATTTGCCCTAGTCAAAGTTAGAACAGGAAATATACTTGTTAGAGGCACAAGAGATTCTTAATTGATACCTCCTCTATGTTGATATTTTGGTCCTTTTTCTTCTCCTTTATTTTGTCCTCTACTTGACTTTCTTCATCACAGAAGGAGCCATGTATAAGGAAAATAATTAAAAAAGCCACGACCTAGTTCTACGATGTCTATGAATTGTTTCAACATTGTACGCCACACAGAGATCATAGCTACAATCTTCATGACCCGGGACATCGTGTTGTGTTGAGCCTTTTCCAAAAAGTAGACATTTGATGATTTTAACTCGACATCTAACTTTAAATCTACCCATACAGCAATGATCCATCAGATAGTATATCTGAACCGTTTGTCCTGCACATCCGTCATGTCCGAATCCAGAGAGGAAGTTACCCCCGAGGCTTTCTGATCATCATCACCAGCTCCATAGGCCACCATGCCAGCTGCCAATTTCGCATCGCGCCTCTTGTTCTTTGTCTTGGCCATCACGATGAAAGTAGCATATGATATCATGAGCACAATCATCGACACTATACTGAGAATGCAGCCCTTGCTAAAGCGAGGGCCATCCTCAGCCTGCCAGGCGAAAGGACTGGCGAAGCAACCGACGCAGTAGGATATGAAAAACCCAGCCGAGACAACACTTTTCTTTGTGTTTCCCTTCACGTTACTGGCGATGATGCTAGCGGAGCTGCCAATCAGAGCGGAAGAGCAGCCAGCAAGCCAAGTGGCCACAATGATTCCCCAGCCAGCATCCTGAGGCAACGCCAAGAGAAGAACGGACCCGAGTAGAGGTACAACACATAGAGCGATGGCGGAGTAGGCGCGGGTGCCTGGGAAGAATCGCGGCACGAGAGCTCCAATCCAGACGGTGCCGGTGTTGCATGCTCCAGCCGGCATCGCGACCAGCATAGTTTGCAGGGTGCTGTATCCAAAGCCGTTGATGACGGTGGCAGAGAACTTCACTCGTTATCAGTATACGTCCGCATGATCAAAATGGAAGGAGATGTTCATCCAACGAGTGATGGAGACTTACTTTCATAATTGGGGTTGTGAGAGTAATGCAGCAGGCCATGAGCATGAACAACCAGGTCATAGGCGCCATAAGTGCCTCCTTCAGTTGGCCCTTGTTAAATTCCGTACGCTCTCCCGTGCCACGGTCTGATGCAAGTCTTTGAATGACAATAGCTTTCTCCTTCTCGTTCAGAAACCATGCCGTTGATGGGCTCCGAGGCATCAAAACGATGAATAGCATACCAGCCCCGATGGTAAGACCGCCACAGACAAGGAAGAGGACCCTCCAAGGAGCTATGGCCATGTTTGTCTGCCCGATTCCGTACATCAAGAGCGATCCCAAGATCTGGGCCACACCATTCATTGATACCCATGTGGCTACTCGGATCGGATGCTCTCGCTTGATGTACCAATTCGATGTGATGATGATAAACGCTGGAGACACAGTTCCTGTAGGTATGTTAGCAGAGAGGTTCAACAAGATCTATCGAGTGGTGTGAGGTTCATCCTTACCTTCGGCAAAGCCAAGAAAGAATCTTGCTGCTGCCAGGCCTTGGAAGTTATGGCAGGCAGCCATGGCCATGTTGACACCACCCCAGATAACAATAGTCACGCCAACATATATCGTGATCGGAAGTCGTGACAAGAGATACACCGCGGGATACTCGGAGCAAAACTGCCCTAGGTAGAACAGTGATACAGCCCAGGAGAAATCCTCGCCTTTCAACGCAAGGTCTTTGCGAAGACCGAAGATTGCGGCTTGGTTGATCGATTGTTTATCCAAATCTGCAGAAAGCAATTGATATCAGCATCCAACAACAGTAGTGCTTAGGAACTTGAAGATCTCACATTGAAGGAAGTAGACGAGCGCCATGAGCGGCATGATAACGTAGTCTAGTTTCCGAACTGCCCTGCGCTCTTCGTTTGGGTCAATGGGAGCGGGCTGGTTCGCCTCGGGGTCCTCGAGCTCGATGGCGCCCACATCTCTCTCATCGGGGAATTTTGCAACCGTAACATCTTCATGAGGATTGGTAGTCATGACGGGAAACTGACTTGATCGTTTTTTGTAAGATTAACCAAGGTTCAGTTGATGTATTGGATGGATATGATAGTAAAAGAGAGGAATCGAAGCCACTTTAGTAATTGGGGATTTTAGAGAGCAAGGCCTTGCTGAAATTATCCGAGCATCTCGGAAGCTAACCCCGGACCACTGCAGTACGATTCATGTCTTCACGATGGCAGAGCCGGGGGAGGGAGGTGAGGGGAAGTGTATGGGAGTGTGGGGTTTTGCCTCCCCATGGGGACCACATCGCGACCCCAGCACAGACATGAAGAAACAAATATTGTCCCTCGTAGTCTATGTTTGTACAGATGAGGGGAATATTATGCCAGATTTCGACTTTTCATCACAAGCCTTAGAGATGTACATCGTGTCGAGCAAACTGATTATGTACGCTAGAAGTTACACTCGTCCCCGTTCTTAAGACACTTTCGTTATATGACATCGCGGATTCGCAAAATTGTCCACCATCATTTCATCAAATAATAGTGATATATGACCCCCTTTTACAGGGACAGGAAAGGGCCACGCAACATTTTTAGAGGCCTCCGCCTTGTGAGCCAGTACGGTGTGTGGGTTTGATCCGAGCCAGCTGCCCTCAAAACGTCGTCTCTACCTTCATCTTTTCGCTCCTGATATTAACTACCTAGGTAGACAAGGGGGCAGAAGTATAAACTATTTGGGAGCAAGAAAACTTAGATCGGGCATAGCTGCGTAATTAGAGGGCGCGGGCTAAGCACTAACCCTGTTGCTTTATTACAAACCAAAATGACATTCTTCTACCTCTGCATAGTAGATCTATTTGAAAACCAATATTGAAAATGAATGAGGCAGTGCCCCGTGCCGCAACTCCCGTAGTAGCGCCCCTGGAGAGGTCTCGGATGCATAGGCCGAGCCCCCCCTTGCTGATATCCAACCCCGAGTAAGAAATCTTGGTCCAGGTAGCTCTCGGTTTTTGTTAACATGAGGTAGGTAAGTTTTAGATCCCTAGACCCCTGCGCAACTTGAAGGCCTGTACATATTATCAGCTATCAAAAGAAAGGCTGTTATATTAAACTTTTGTATTCATTGTGTTGAGTTGCCGGGCTCTAGCAGCTTCCATTGCTGTTGAACTTTATTCTCTTTCTCTTACGTACGTATCAGCTGTCAATTCCCATGTGCCAAATATTCTCCCTCCGAAAAATCATGTCCGCACGGAGAAAAAGGAGACGCACCGTCATGTCACTTATTATTCGCCATGCATCAAACCTCAATTTTTCAGGCTTCTTTTCGAAATGCTATGGATTGACCAGCCCCCCACGAGGAGTTGCCTCAATGCCTCGTCCCTTGCTCACATCCATCGCAATCTCGAATGCCCGACCATCTTCCAATATCTTATTCCGAATCCCTTTAATGCGGCATACCTAAGAATTATCCTCTTCTCTGCTCAAAGATATCCGGACATGCTCACGTGAAGCTCACATGGCACTATACAATGCATGCGGATCGCGTAGTAGTCTTTGATATGTTGCTCAGGTAGTTGCTGGCATAATCAGCCTCCACGTAGATTTCCCGCAGTCGATCGAGGACTACTATACAAAGCTGGAAACATGCCAGCGCTTTTCCATGATTAGATGAAGGGAATCCTATCACGTCCGCGAAATGAACAACGGCTGCCGAGACCGTAATAGAAACCCCAGTGCTGGGCATGTATCTGTATAAATCCGATTGTTTTAAATTGGTCAACAATCTGGTGACTTCCGTGGCTGCATCCCGCACGCGGTTGCGACACGATTTCTGGTCCTGTATTGAAAGATAGGTCTTGTTCTTAAATGTTTGGGAGATATAAGGTCGGAACAGAGCGGATACGGTAGTGTAAAACTCCATTTGGAGCAGGATTCCCTGCAATGAAGCCGGAGTCTTTTCAGCGTCAGCGGCCGGTTTGAGATGCCCATTCGAGTGGCAACTGTAAGGTAGTTCTCTCATCCAATTGCATAAGTCCGAATAAATTAAACCTGCCGAGTCGTAATTATCGAATTTCTTCCTTGGTGATAAGAGAACAGACCGTTTTGTGGTGTCTGGGGTAGGATCATGGCAGGGAAGAATAAAGTATTGCTCTTGGAGAACTTCGCCGATGAGCACGCACAGTTTAGCCCTTGCTATACATATAGAAGCCAACTGGGGAAGTTGGTTAATGTATTGGCCAAGGAAGCTGCTGCGAGCGGTGCCGTGCTCAACCAAGCCGTGGATCTCAAAATCAGTCTCATGGAGCATATCCACGTCGTAATCCTCTTCTTTCAACCTTGAAGGGTATCGAAGACCTAATGCAATGAGGCGATCATGCATTAAGCATGACCACCAAACTCGTCTTCCCAACTGTGTTCGAGCGATGGATGATTCTGTTTGCTCGGTTTGATCCTTATCTAATCCGATGCTCTGCGCTGTGCTTATAGCCAGACCGACCCAATACCAGCTGTCCTTATGCTCGCTTGGCGTTTGGTACCAGCCAGCCAGTAGTAAAAGTGACTGCACCACGACGAGATGGTCCTTCTCATAGCTAATATTATACAGCAACTACAAGAGTCTAGGGTCAGAACGTAAAACAACAGGCAAGGGCCAGACTTACTCGAGTCTTGTCGTATAGATGTTTCCTCGCTATTCTACGCGATGCATATCCAGCATTGTGAATAAAACGCAAATCTACAAATGCAGCCGCAGCATATAGTACTGCATCATATAATAACAGGCTTATCTCCTGGCCTGTCTCGTTGCGATGATTCACCATTCGGTACAAATCAGTAACACTGATTAAATGAAACCGAGGCTGAACATGTCTTATATATGCGTCGATAAAGGCGTCTTGAACTGCTAGTGGAGGAAAAGCCAACACTCCCTTCAATTGAAGATATTGGAGATCCCCCGCACTTATGTTTGCTGGAAAGGGTTGGATAAAATGAGGAAGATCGAAATCAAGATCATCATCCTGATCAATGTGATGGTTTTTCTCTTCGTGCATCTCCGTATCCTCAAGCTTCTCTACGTTGTGCAAGTTTTCCGGTAGGCTTGACGATGACCATTGGACATTACTATGAACATTCCACAGTTGAGAGTTAAATGGGCCGGAGCGTGATGCCCTCCACCCTCTGCAACGAGACCTAACCAGTGGTGAGCAGGAATTGGATTTTTGGCATGGAATCTGGATGTCGCTGCCAGATAACCTTACCTCTCTCGCAAATGGGGAACTATTGTGCACTATTCTGAATGTTAGTTAACATGACCTGTACATTTGCTACACCTCCCGAGGTCTCTACCTTGACATTATGCCAGCGACAGTTTGCACAAGGGCCGCCCTCCGCGACATTACATCGAACCCTTCGTGCTTGGCAGGGGACGCATGCTTGCTTGCCTCGCCGGCGTTGAGGGGTTTGAGGCTGAAAAATCTTTGACGATTCGGCCACAGGCATACAACGAGAACTGAAATTCATACCGGAATCCGAAACAGGGCTATCAAACGGAGTGGACGAACCATCATAGACCGGGTACTGTGCTTCATTTGAAGTTAAATCAAGCAGAGAAGAAATTTGGTCAAACAACAGTGAGCCCATCGTATGTTTTGCGTGTCAACTTCCAAGATGTCCTCGTTTTGAGTTACTTGACTAGCAAAGTAGATGTGCAGGGCCGTAGGCAGCCTAGCCAACGAATAGCAGTACAATAAGGACCATGACTTCTCCAGTTGAGTCCCTGAGACATCACGGCCGTTTCGGGACCCCGACGGAACCCTTTCCCGGCTAAGCTCAGAAGGGCGGACAGGACATCCGAAGCTTCGGATGTAAGCGGACCCCTTCGGAACGATCTTTCCGTGTGACAACCTCGACCCTGATCCACCACCGTCTTTCACTTCTAAATTATGGATGAACCATGAACCAATTGATTGAATAAAATGATTGATAGTAGGCGTTCAGATTTTTACACTTGAATGGTAAGGATTAAAACAATTTGTTGTAAATTTGGACACTTAGTTAGGTGTTGATATTTGGCTCTTACATCACGCAAGCATTATTAAAGAAGCTACACATTTCTTCTTCATGTGATTTCACGAACTACAAACAAATTTATACCTCCATACTTCAGAGCCTTTAGTCTCTCGGAAACAGATAGATGACACGATGTATGAGGCCTAGGAGAATATCGCCTTACTTGTACAAATCAATGATAGACATTTCGCTCTTCTGTTTGCGACCAGATTGCCACTACCGTCGTGATCGCCTTGACCGAAAGACAACATTTCTTCTTCTCTCCCCCTCGCCACGTCTGACGGTTCCAACAACATTGCCATTCTCATCATATTCATGTTCGTCGTCCCAATCGTTCCATGCATCAATATCTCGATGCAATTTTGCATCGGCCACGCTGGTATGCTCGATACCCGTATCCTTTGAAGAGGATTTCAGCTCGGCTACTCTGCGCGCAACGTCATTGGCCGCGACTACGGATGCTAGTACACGCGATATCCCCGGATTCTTTTGGACAGAGGTCTTGCAAAAGTCTAGAGTAATCATCTTGGCGAGTATCGCATCCAAATCGGATGAGGTTTCCACCCTTTCGTTGCCGCAAAGACCTGCGAGATATAACACTTCTGACACCGCAGACTCGCTATAATCATCGGAAAGACCAAGTTCTGCTAGCATTTCCACGGGGGAAGTGTTGGGCATTTTTGGAGCTCGGGGAGTTCTAGATATCGTTCCAGGAACAGCGTCATTCCACCGGCGCCTGGCCGTTATGAATCTATCCTCAGGATCTGCATTGAGCATCAAAGGCTTGGGAGGCTTAATGGTGGCTCTGAAAACCAAATCATTCGCGAGCTCCAGAGGTGTTTGGCCCATGGCATTTTCGCGACAAACCAGACCTGGATTGTGCTGGATCAGACCTCTAACAATAGCAAATTGGCGAGATTTGATGGCAGTATGGAGGCAGGTATCGCCAACATCATTGAAAGACTCGAGAACTTTGTCATTAGAGAACTCAATCAAGGTTTGTAGGAGTGCTACCAAATCTGCTGGCCTATCCCTCAAGGGAGTGTAGGTGCCGTACTCGGAGAAGATATCACTGTCGCCATCCCGACTGGGATATCCGCAAATATGAGCAATCCAGGAGTGAAGAGGAACCGTGCCGTTTGCGGACAACTTCTTTCGCTGAAGAAAGAGATCGTCGAGTAGCCTAGTATCAATGATCTTGGTCAACTCGTAGAATCGACGTGCCTCGACAGGTCCCAGAAGTGCTAGATGGAGAACGTTTTCTCCCTTGGAATTGCAAACTGTCTGGTCGGCATGGCCGTCCCGAATCAAAATCTCAACTAGTGAAATCCGACCGATTCGTGCAGCAATCAACAACGGCGTATGCCCTGTGGAATCTCGACTTTCCACTGCATCTGGATATCGTTGGATCAGATATTTCAAAACCTTCTCTCCCCGCCGGAGGGATGAGATCAACAAGGCATGATGAAGAATAAGATGATCTGATAGACGGATTAGTTCCAGCATACTCCAGGTGGTCCCAACCTCATCACTCACTGCTTGCCCCAAGCCATTCTGATACAGTCAACTCAAATCCTGCTTTACTCTGAAGAAGGTGCAAGATTTTAGGATTATCAGCTGCAGCATCGGATCGCGCAAAATCGGCGTACAGTTGCAGAGGAGCCTCGCTCAGGAAAAGCTTGACGATTTCAATGTGTCCAGACCTCACAGCATGAATGACCGGCGCAACTCCTACATCGTTCGTATGAGTATCCTTCTTAGAAGTGTCGAGAAGCCGGTCTCTTGGCCTTCGTCGCTCTCCCGAAGGTACAATATTTGCCCAGTCCTTTCTATTGTTTAAAGTCAGAAGTGAATTCATTGTTAAAGGGACAACTGGATATAGCTCACCTCTTTTTTCCGTATACAGTAAGGCCTTGATAATACTCCGACTTCTGCTCCAAGTTCTCACCAGAGCGACGCACAAGGTCATCCAATATTAGACCGGCCCCTATCTTCCGCATAACTAGATGCACAAGCTCGAGGTTCCCTTCGTTCAGGACAGTTTGAGACTCGGCCTCGGAGAGCGTGAATATCCCATCCTGCTCCTTCTTATCAATAGGATCATGATACGCGAGGATTTCGTCGACAGGTTCGTCTGGCAACTTTTTACTTGTCCAATACCGAGCAAGTCTGATTAGGAATTCAAGCCCAGCCACATCGTTTCGGCTGACGCAGGAGTCGAACAGCGTCTGTCGAAGGCCGGGTTGCCACTTTTCTTCCACTAGATGTATCATCTGCCATTCTTGTCGAAGAATGCGTATAGGTGTCATCTCTGACGTGTTTGGTTCCGGTTCTGGGTCTAAATCTTCATTGATAGACATATTATCTTCATCCTCACTCAATATGATAGGCCCTAATTGGGATAGAGCATCTCCTGAGTCAAGCTCCATTTCGCTGTGGCCAGGAGAGCCACTTCCCCGATAGCTTGGAGTTGTTGTTCTCCGACGAAGGCGAGGTCTTCTAAATGTTTGGTTTGATTCTTCGCTAGGCGCCCACTGAGTTCTTACGATATCCAAAATGGCCGCAGCAACTTCTCGATGGCCGCGGAAGAATGCCAAAGAGAAGGGACAGTTGTACTGGTCATCTTGAATGCTGATGAGCAGCCGGGGTTGATTATCATCGGGGTCAGTTCGAAGGGTCAGTGATTTGATCTTATCCAGGTTTCCATCCCAAGCAGCCTCCATCCTAATGTGAGAGATAAACATTAGTCAGCCTGGTCCGTATAAAATAAAGTATTTGAAACCTACAGCTCAATATATTTGTTCTCTTTGAAAGAAGAAAAGTTCTTATCTCCCTTAAAACATATCTTCCCGCTCTCAATAGAGGGAGATCTTTGATAGGATGAAGGACTGTGTAGTCGGAGACCCCTTCTTCGGGTGCGGTATTCTTTGAAGTCGGGATGAAGATCTTTGAAAGTCTGTCCCCCTCGAGAGACAAGCCTTTCTCTCAGATCATTGAGCCCAGAGGCTAGTTTCTCAAGACGCTGGATTTCTGGATCAGGTCCCTCCTGGTCCACTGCCAATTCTTGTTTGTTCTCCTGATCTTTCAAGTGACCCTCAAACCGCCACTTTTGTCTTTCAAGTGCCTCTTTGTGATAGAAGTGTTGATAGGAATCTGACGGAAACTGCTCAAGGAATTTGTCCGTACGAGGCGGTCTAGGGGATGCGACACTTCCCTCATCCCCCTTAGCCTTGTTCAAGCTGTCCGCTATTCTTTGGAGGTTTGCATCCAGAACGTCAAGTACAGTAGATCCGGTCTCTACATCATAGACCTCATCTCCTTGTAGAAGTCTATACGAATCCGGGGTCATAGAGTTGGAATCTGCCCCAGATTCCAGGAGTTGAATCGCAGCTTGGTAGTTCTCCGCCTGAACAGCGTATAAGAGAGGCTGTATGGTAGTTCTGTAGAGTCGCTTATTTTCCCGTGCAATTCCCAAGTTATGTTTCATAGGAGAGAGCTTGACAGCTCGAAGCCACATGTCGAAGCTTATATCTGGCTTAGCCCCCATGTTCAGTAGTTTCAGGACAAGGTTTGAATCATTTTGATCGATCGCCGTATGTAAGACTGAAATGGTTCGTACATCGGGAATATAGATATGCTTAAGGGCTCTAGTGACATTCGACCGATCACAAGCTACCAAAATATCGAGAAGATCTCCCGAGTTGTTAGCAACGAAGCGATGAATAGCCGTGATACCATCAGTGTCGGCCTGTGAAGACAAAGCGCCAAGTTCAATGAGCAATCTTATCATTGCTTTTGCCTTCTCAGTAGGAAGCTTTAAGGCCAGGGCTAGGGTAAGGATGACATCTGTCTTCACCCTATTGAACCGGAATTGAACTGGAAGAAGAGGGTCGGCTCCATAGTCGCACAGCGTCCTAACTGCGTCTTCATGGCCACCGGACACAGCCAGATGAAGAGGAGAACATGGGATATCCCAAGCAGGTATATCGATGTTGTAAAAGTCCGGTCCCATCTCGGAGGCTTCTTCAATTTCGGCTGCATCTCCTTGGGGGTCAACTCGGTTGATTTTCGCAAACGATCCAGTCGTCACAGAGAATTCATAGTCGTCACTCTCTCCTTCACCCACTACCACGGCATCTGAATCATCGTCGTCTTCCTCGATGTCAAGGTCATCTCTAGTTTTATGCATTTCGCTATCAGAAGTATCCTCACGCACTTCCTGATCAGCTGCCTCTAGTTTCCGCCGCTTGAACCTTTTGCGATCTTGGCCGATTTCCTCATTCTGAAGACTCTTTTCCATAAGGATTTTTATCATATCCGCTCTCCCGCGAGCGGCCGCAAGATGCAGAGCAGTCCTTCCGTCAGCCAATCGAGCTGTCAAGCGGGCTCCGTGATCTATCAGGCATTGCACAACTTCTGCTGTGGACACATTGACGGCGAAATGCAGAGGAGTTCGTCCAGTGTGATCTCTCCTGTTGATATCGAAACCGTCTTGGCCAAGCCAAGTATGGATGCTTAGTATATCCACATCAATGATTGACTGGAAAAGTCTAGCCGTGTTGCTGATGTACGCCATCTCAGTCCAGTCTTGTTCGGTCAACGGATTGAACGAGCCAATTTCCTGCCGGCCTGGGTCGTCAGTCAGGAATGATACTCTGCCCGAAATACACGTCTTCGCATCCTTTTCTGCAACCTCTTGTTCTTCTACCGTGTCTGGAATTGGGCAGCAACCGCAGCAGTCTTGAATGACGTCCTCGACGCGACCGAAAAATGCAGGGTGCCTGTGAAGATACACCTTGCGCTTATCTGGCTTTTGATTCCATTCTGCATTGAGCAGAATGTCTTGCGAATAGCATATCCTTTCGATGGCCTTGGCAGTGAAACGGCGACCGTACGGAATGCTAAATGTGTGATAGTTGCTCACTTTTTCCGACGGATACCAGTCAGCCACCTCGTTCTCATGATCTTGCTTCATATCACCATTTTCCCTCCAAGTCCAATGGGGATAATCCACTTCAGGTCTGCCGCGTTCTCGTCTTCTTTCATTTTGATATGTATGCCTAGCGGATTCCGTCGGGAGGCTTTCCAACACAAGGAGACGTGCGAGACCGACTGTGCGTTTGAAGCTCCTCTCATAGATGGTAGGGTCGATACGCGAGCGATCTAGGTCGGGCCAGTAGACCTCGAAGTTTCGATTTGAGTACTTGGCCAGGCGTGTCTCATATGAAGGACTCCGACGTGTAAGATCAATATGATTAATTTGAGTAATAAAACTCGCAAGGGCACGTGGGGTCACGTAGACTTGCTTGCCATCATAAGCGCCTCCAGCAGCGTCAATGTCGAAGCCCGTCAAAATCTCACTAATGCTTTTGTATACTCTCAACACGATCTATGCAAAATTGGTCAATAAAAGACCAGAAGTCAGGGCCAGGGAGTGACATACCTGAATGTGGCGGGTTGGATAATGACTCGCAATGGTGATTGCGTATTTAGTTCGCACGACAGTTACGTCCTTGAGTAGGGTATCGCGGACAGCTTCCTCGATGGTTTTGATTTTTTCAATAGCCTCTTCTTCTGTTAAACCGTACAAAAAGAGATCCACATCAGAAGCTGGGCAGAAGACCTCGTGGAAATATTGCCGTAATTTCCGCTTGTTGACTTTGTATTCCTCAGGTATAGGTAATAAACAGTTGACAACGGACGAGCCCGCAGCAACCACGTTGCTCCAGTCCATATCAGCCAAGGATGCCTCAGAGAAAATACTGAAATTCCTCTGAAACTCGGCGAGACCTGCAACGATAGCTGGCGAGCCATCTTTACGGCGCTTTTCATCGGACAATGGCATGATGTATCGAGATCTTTCCTCTGCTGTCTCTAAAGCCGGGTTTCTTGCGCGTGTAGTAACGAGTTCAGAGACTTCCGTGAAGAGTGGCAAGGTGTTAACGTATGGGTTGTCCAGGATCGGATTCTGGCCATCTTGGGCGAAAAGGGCCCTCAAGTAGGCTTCATGTTTATGGTATGGGCCAAGAATCTGGGAAACGGAAAGCTCAGGATGCCCATGGATGTATTTCACCAGCTGAGACAATGGAACTGGTAGTTCCGGTGATGTTTGTGAGGCCATGACTGGCAGCGCCACTGCGCCAATACCGTTTTTTTCTCTGGTCTACCTTCAATCAAATCACCTCCCCAAGAAGCAGATATCTCGGGTAGAAAAAGGTTTTCTCGGGGCAAGACTCAGGGCACTCGTTAGATAAACTGTGAGCTTGCATATGGGCAATCGACGGCGCGCTGATGAGGTTTCACGCTGACAGAAAACTCACGGTCAGCGCAACTTGACGGCTTGCCAAGCCTGCTTCATGATACCCCGCTGGAAACTCCCAGATCAAGTTTAGCGTTGGCTATCAACCAGGGGGTTACCTTCTCCCAATGAGATGAGACCATAACCTCATGGGCTGTGTGAGCTTTGATTAGCAAGTTTGGATAAGTGTAATTATCCGTACGATTTGTACAGTATTACGCGGGTTATCCAATTTGCCTTATTGTTCTTGATAATATTCTATCGTAGGATGTCAAGTTTTGGGCGAAATAGTATATGCCCGGGTATCGATCTATAGTATATGTTGCTTGATGCATTTTCTTTTCCAATAATTTTTGATTTGCCACCTAACATATATCACCTCAACCTATCATTCGATCTGAGCCCCAAGTTGTGCACACGCAGACTTCACTCTCGCTTCGTCCCAGCCGTCCCATTTTCCAATGGTCTCGGGCAAGGGCCCTTCATGTGAATACCCTCCTTTAACAACCATCTCGTCAACTCCCCCTCCATTTGCGAAGAGGATCAGTCTAGCGATTTCACTAGCCACGTCGCCTATGAAAAAGGTTCTCGATGGGACGAAAAATGAATCGCCTGCGTCGGTGTATGTCCATTCCGAGTCGCCCTTGATCTTAAACTTGAACTGCCCTTCCAATACGTAGAAACAGTGGTACACATTCGTAAAGAAAATCCATCGGTCAACAAACGGCCGCTCTGGATATCTTGTCGTCGATTCCATTATCGAGACCGACATCTGGTATAAGCCGTTGGATTGCCTTAGTAGAGGTCGAGTTAGAAACCCCCCAAAAACTGAGCATAACCCGACGTTTTGTTCTACTAGCTGTGGCAGTACGGTACCCGCCGTTAGTCTGTCTTCAGTTTGAATCGTGGTCTCCTTTACAGAGAGTGTGGAGTCGCCATCTTCTAGGGAAGTCGAGAACACCAAGAATTCTGTTCCAGGCTCATCCGCTGAGTAGCCCCAGATCCTCCCCTGTTAGTGCCCAAAGAGCAATTCTGTCAGTAGCACTTCTAAATGGTATTTAGAAAGGACTTGAGTCTCTTACTTCTGGAACATAAATAAAATCCCCCTCGCTAATGATTTTACAACTACCCGCGTTGTGAAGTTTGATAGCGCCCTTCAATACAAAGACGGCTGTAGGGTAGGTGCTGATCTCATCGAGACCGTCATCAGCTCTTAGGGTTGTATATCTAGTGTGTGATAGAAGAAATATTCCGTCCGTTTCGATTGGGGAGGCAATAGTGCGAGTTTGTATATCGGATGTAGCTTCAGTTGGAAACCCAATCTTATCTAGGATATAGGCTTCCTTTACTCCTGGGGGAGAAGAGTGTCTGGTGAGCCCCATATCCCCGGCTTCTCGCGCCCAGGGGTGTAAGCACCTTATGACTGGGGCACCGAATGTTGACAGGTAAAACGACGGAGGGCCGGATCTCACCGAATAGGAAAAGCAAAACCCCGGAGAAGCTTATGGAGGGCAACCGGCGGATGAGATTGACGGCCCATGGTGCCCGGTCTGAGGGCCAGTATTTGCTTTGCCTGAAAATGCCTCACTTAATTCTTTGTGGGCCATGCATGCATCCTTGGAGGAGGCTTAGTTGGGTGTGGAGTTGACCTGTTGTGGATTTTGATGAGGATTCCGTCCCCCATGAATTGGTAAACACCATTGACTTTTCTGAAAACTAAATTCGCGACGTTCGAATTGTTTATTTATCCATACACCAGGCTTATGTGGTGTTACATGAGTTAGGATACGTGCGAGACCAATTGTAAAGCAGTAATAACTCGTCGGTCTGGTTGTTTGGTTTAACAGACATGTTTCTGGAACAAGCCAGAAAATAATCAGTATGTCGTTCACAAGCTCAATTGCATCTAGCTCTCATTGTCCTCTGGGAAAATATGAATTGGTGGTCATGATTATGCATAAAGTGGTCAAATAAGATTTTTTGTCAGTGTCAGTTGAGAAGTCTGAGTTGGAGTCCCGAAACGAAATTTGTTGCCAAGGATGATAATGTACCTTCCTTTAGGGCCGAAGGCGTCCATATTATTTACGAAGCACTCTTTTTATGAGAGTACATATAAAAGCAGGCCTATTCATCTTCTATAAGAGCGTTTGAGTATAACATAAGAAAGCAGCAATGAAAGAGGCCAGACCCGACATCTCATCACAATGAATACAAAGGACAAAATGAGCTCTACTAGCGACCTATTCATCTTCATTCTGGGTCTTCCTCATTTAAGCAGTCATACGTAATGCAAGGCGGTATATCTTTCAGAAGGTTGAAGGATACGTGGACAAGAAGTTTACAACGCCGCAGTCATTGAAAAAACGGAAGCCGGAGGAAGATTCTACATTTTGTACCAAATAAAGAAAAACAAGACGAAAAAAGTCAGATGCAGAAAGCTTCGTATACACTCTTCACGGAACGTACTAAAGAGTCAGTGTCCCAAGCCTCGCCGCCCCTCCTCATAAGGACCGACTAACAGTTTTAATCGTCTAAGCTAAACTGCTTTAGAGAGGCTATCAGGAGGAGGAGGCTGGACGTTATTGTGAGGTAGTTGCGAAGCCGTTCCGATACAGCTACATTATACGGCGATCGGTGAATGAAGCTATCGTTCCCCACAAAGTCGTATCATTTTGCTATCTTTATTGGCCAAAATCCGAGGAACCGTGGTTTTGTCATATGTTTAACACGAATTGCGCCAAGCGGGATTGGTCTTAGTCGCTTATCCTAGACTAAATTATAGCTCATTGCCCTTATTATATTGCCCATATTCTATGAAGCTGGCTTAGAGCGTCCTAGGATTGGCTCTCAGATGACCTGATTGTAAAGCATTGGTCTTTGCTTTCACGGACAGGCTCCCGTCTCCACCAGAATCAGATAGGATGTGGGATGCAGAAAGATATAGTCTTCAGGGGCTACTGACAGAGGACAGGGGAGAAACCCAACTTCTCATTGGCTGGATATCTTAACCGAACGCTGTCCGGGGTTCCCGTTTATTCGGCCCACATGCAACCCAAGGCTTTGATCATCCCATTCACCCAGACCTTATCAACTCTAATAGGAAGGTAGGGCAGGGCATGGGACCTTTGAATCCTCAACTATGACGTTTCGAGGGCATAGCTATCGCACGCTACGGATGGCATTCGGTGCCAAGTGCCGCCTGCTGCAGCCTGCAATGTGGTGCCCTGCGCTCTATGCAACGGTGATTATTTCTGCGTCTGTAGAATATATTAGCCGTCAACTGTCCTTATCCGCACCAGTCGGCCACCACGCCGGGAGAGAGGATTGCTCTCATCGGAAACCCTTGCCGTCTTGAGAAGAACAAATGAGGAATGCTGGTACGGTGGTATTCTGCAAGGGTAGCGATCGCCTCCGCAGACGATTGCAGACTGCTTGCCGTGACCCGACGGTTTGGAGTATATAAATGGACTGAGGAACTGCCAAAATACGACCATGTTCAATTCCGTCATTGAGGAGTTCAATCAGCGTGCAGAAGTCTGGAGAACACTTTGAATTTTCAACCAAAGCGTAACTAATAAAGTGTGTTCACTTCACCGAAATGACCAAGGCCGAGAAACGTTCACAGATCCACTGACATCATTCGAAAATCCATAAAGGCTTCTCCAATGGCCCCATTCAACGAGGGGCGATCTGGCCCATACCGCCTTATGCGAGCCTTTGCCTTTGGAGCCGCCGCCCTCGTCGGATCCAATCTCATCAATTTGTCAATGGCAAACGCAGCTGATGTCCCTGCCGATCCAGGCCCAGGTGGCACGGCGCCTGTGCGGCCATTTCGCCTGGATCAAGTCCAGCTAGCCGATGGACTGTTCCAGGAGAAACGCGACCGAATGAAAGCCTTTCTGAAGGAATACGACGAGAGGCGATTTCTGATGATGTTCAACAACCAGGCTGGTCGACCAAACCCGGAAGGCATAGAGCTTCCTGGTGGATGGGAAGATGGCGGTCTGCTCAGCGGACACTGGGCCGGTCATTATCTGACGGGACTGGCACAGGCGTACGCGGATCAGGGAGAAGAGGTCTACAAGACCAAGCTTGATTGGATGGTCAAAGAGCTGGCTGCTTGCCAGGAGGCTATCACCGCCCGTATGGACAGCCCAAGCAAAGTCAAGAGGGCAGACAACTCGACCGCCGTGGGCCGTGTGCCAGGAAAGTTCGGCAACGCACTCCGGCTCAAGGGGAGTGGCAAGGCCCAATACGTTGCCCTCCCTCAGGAGACGATCAATCAAATCAAGGACTTTACCATCGCTACCTGGGTTAATCTGGCAGACGATGATTCCTGGACTCGCGTTTTTGATTTCGGCCGCGATACTACCACTTACATGTTTCTGACTCCTCGCGGCAGCTCAGGCAAGCCTAGATTTGCCATCACCACGAGTGGAGGCGCCGGAGAACAGTCCATTGACGGAGACACCGTTATTGCAAAGGATACATGGGTGCATATCGCAGTCACGCAGACTGGGAGCACTGGTACGTTGTATGTCGACGGAGAGGTGTCTGGGACAAACAATGCCCTGACTCTGAGCCCTTCCAACCTCAACAACCCTGGAAACAGGTGGATTGGTCGCTCCCAGTATAGCGACCCGATGCTCAACGCTACCATCGACGAGTTCCATGTTTTCAACCGGGCACTTAGTCAAGAGGAGATCAAGTCACTGCTATCCTCGGCAGATGGCTCAACTGGCGGAGGCAACATTGCTTGGTACAAATTCGACGAAGAGGAGGGCACTGCTGTTCAAGACTCCTCGCCAAATGGCCGCAGCGCCGGAATCGAGGGGGACAGCAACTCTGGCGATGCAGACTGGATTCCCACACATCCAGGTTACCTCGGTGCCTATCCGGAAGACACCGTCCTCCGACTTGGTCCTCCTCGCTGGGCGGTCTATGGCAGTGACAAGGCGGTGAATACCTGGGCGCCTTGGTACACGCAACATAAGATCTTGCGAGGACTTCTTGATGCCTACTACCTGACAGAAAACAAGCAAGCATATGATGTTGTTGTGAAGATGGCAGACTGGGCTTATCTCGCACTCACGATTGGCGACAAGAACCAAGAAGGCTACACGGGAAATCTCACAAGGGCTGACCTCAACTACATGTGGGATCTTTACATCGCCGGTGAATTTGGTGGAGCCAACGAGGTCTTCCCCGAAATCTATCAGCTGACTGGGGACAAGAAGCACTTGGAGACAGCAAAGGCTTTCGACAACAGGCAGTCTTTATTTGGTGCGGCGGTCGAGGACCGAGATATCCTCGTATTGCAAGCCAAGGACAACCCGGGTCCCCGCCGACCCAACCGTCTGCATGCCAACACTCACGTTCCTCAGTTCATCGGCTACATGAGAATCTTTGAGCATAACGCAGAGCAGGAATACTTTGACGCGGCTAAGAACTTCTACGGCTGGGTCGTGCCTCACCGTGGTTTTGCAACGGGCGGAACAGGTGGAAACTTCCCGGGCTCCAACAACAATGTCGAGATGTTCCAGAATCGTGACAACATCGCAAACGCTATTGCCGGTCAGGGTGCCGAGACATGTACGGCGTACAACATGCTCAAACTAGCAAGGAACCTTTTCATGCATGAGCATAATGCGTCATACATGGACGACTACGAGCGTGGCCTGTTCAACATGATTGCTGGGTCGCGCCTGGACACTGATTCCACTGATGAGCCGCAGGTGACGTACTTCCAGCCTCTCAGTCCTGCATTCAGTCGTGAATACGGTAATACCGGCACCTGCTGTGGTGGCACTGGTATGGAGAGTCACACCAAGTACCAGGAAACCGTCTACCTGCGATCCGCGGATGGGTCTGCTCTTTGGGTCAACCTGTACATCCCATCTACTCTGAAATGGGAGGACAAGGGCTTCGAATTGATTCAAGAAACCAATTTCCCCCGTTCTGACAAGGTCAAGTTTACCGTCAACGGCGAAGGAAAGCTCGACATCAAGCTTCGAGTGCCAGCCTGGGTCCAGAAGGGATTCGACGTCACAATCAACGGAGAAGCCCAAACTGGTGAAGAGGCCAAGCCCGGATCATACCTGACACTCAGTCGAACCTGGGCAAAGGGTGATGTGATTGAGATACAGATGCCCTTCACTATCCATGTCGAACGTGCCATGGATCGCCCGGATACGCAGGCAATCAAATGGGGCCCAATCGTGCTACAGGTTGTGGGTAGCCCGAACACCACCAGTGGCTACTGGGAGCTTTCTCTGTACCGCTACCTGAAGCTTGATGGCGATTATTCAAAGGCAGCCATCACGCAAACTGGCACTACCTCAGCCGGCGATCCTCTCTATGCCACTGCCAAGGAAAAGGCCAGCGTGCGACCTTACTACATCAGTGATACGCAACCCGTTTCGTCGTACTTCCGACGTGTCGAGCCAGAGGTCGTCTTCGGAAGTATTGACACAGGCGTGGCCAACAACAAGCGAAATGACACTTTGCCCCTATACGATATCCCAGTTGAGGGTATTCAGTCGCCCGGTTCAGACGGGCCTACATTCCTCGATCTGGTTTGGGATGACGCGCCATTTGCTAGTCACAACGACTTCGTTGACACTGTTACCTCCATTGCTGATTCATTTGTCCAAGCCGGTGTATACACGAGTGAGGAGCGCGACACGATCGTTAAGAAGGTTGGTGAGGCCGAGGAGGCATTAGCCTCATGATACCCTCCTCGAAGCGGCTCGTGAAAGACACTCATCGAGCTTCCATGCCATCTGAGTAGTAGACAGATTTGAGTTGGATTGGACTGTTATGTAGCTTAATAAGGTTTTATGTCGACTACAATAAAACCAAGTAAAAAAACCGGAAAAAGAGAAAGATCTTCGTGCTATGCATTTTATCAGCGAGCAATGCATCAAACCTCTGAAAAATGGAATCCCTGTTCGTAGATACACAGTCTCTTACAGAAGCAAGGATGAGTTGAAACCTAAGTTCTAGGCTATTGGGAAAATATTCTCAAACATTTTTAGTTAGAAACTCGTAAATTTGCTAGTCCATGGATCCCATGGACGGACACTCCAGCCCTTTGCCCTAGTTTGAGTTGTGATTAATATAGAACCCCGTAGATTTCATCGTTCTGGCGGAGTTTTTCGTAAGCCTCATATAAATGGACTGATATATCTTCCAACTCTATCTCCAGTGCACGCATATTGTTCGTTATTTCCTCTTGCGTTTGGGGAATGCAAGTATCATGCAACGCCTTCAGCGACTGTCTGATAACCTCGTGCGGGTTCCGATTCCCAGAAATCAGGCCATCGTCCACAACACTAAACAAATAGACCTTGTGGATGATGATTTCGAGATCCTTGTCTATCATCTCCAACTGTTGAGACTCAACCTGACACCTTTTCATTTCCATTTCTAGAATCAGCTTCCTCGTTTCCAGTCCCTGGACCTTGGTTATGAGCGATTCTCTTTCTGCGTTACGAATTGCCAGTTGTTCGTCTATGTCAATTGCCTGTCTCGACATTTTTGGACCTTGAACAAAAGTTGCCGTAGGTTCCGTAAGGGACGAATGCTGGGTTTGGATGGGTAATGCTTCGAGAGCTATTACAATGTTGAAATTTCCCTTGATTTTCCGCGTGAGATAAAATTCCCTCTAGATGGGTAACTCTTTCAATATTCTGGCAGATGGAGAATCTTAGTAAGAACGGTGGTCTTAATCGTGGAAATTCAGGAGACCTACTAGGAAAATGATTTCATAAAGCTAGAAGACAAACCATGTGACCATATTACACCAGCGATTCGCTCCATAAATAAGTGATATACTGTCACTGAAGAGGATAATCTTTGGAATGTTCATGATATCGAACGTTTCACATTCAACTCACTCAAAACATTGCACACATGCTTATATTGGCCGAGGCTTATCACTCGTTCTAAAATTACGTGTCTTAATAGTTTGCAGATATAACAATCCGACACTGACTGATTCACTAAACATGAAACTCCACTGAACTTCTCCTAGCTTCAGATATTTCTCGCTTTTTGTTGCGTAGATACTGCAATGACATAACGTGATTATGCGGGCCAGGCTACGCCTAGATTCCAGATGACGCCTGGCTACCGATATAGATGGTCCAAGCAAACTGCCGACCAGTGATTTACACCGACGAGCAAACAGAATGGCTTCTCTAAGCGTAGTATATTTTTGTGAATATATGCATACTCTATGAATAAAAGAGTTGGGTACAGTTACAATTTGTCCCGAGTGACGCCATCCTCCGGTGGAGTATGTATTACTATGAGAGAACGGCCATTTGTTCAAACATTCCGAGTTTTGTCCGACCTTGTCTCAATTAACGATCATCCATTGCAATGTAGTGCCTTGGCCATATCAATATCAGGCTCTCGGAACTGATACCGAGCATGCCGCTGCGGGGGATGTGGGATGATGTGGGATGTGGAGGGGTAAACCCCAGATCATACCCCAGGCTAGCAAATACTAAGATGAATCGCAGGTGATGAGCGAGATATCTGTGGACTTTCATTTGCTGGGTCTCGGTTATAATTAACCCCATCTGTCCTGGTGAGTATTGGGCGGCTATCAGATTCGGGGTTAACATGAAGCAGCTAGTTGCGGAACTGAGACCTCATGCTTTCCGAGCCAAACTTAATAAATGGTCTGGACGATATCAGCTCCGTGGCACTCAACTGATGTGCCCATAACTATACCTCGTAAATATCATAAGATGTTACTGTTCGAGGTGCTCCTTGGCCATTTGTGGCTGGCCGGTGCCGGTGCAATAGGTACCATTCTCGCCAAATTAGCATACAACAAGTACGGCCATGGCATTTCCCAACTTCCCGGCCCATTTATGGCCTCAATCACCGACTTCTGGAGATTGTTTATCGTATGGGGCCGTCGGCCAGACATAACACACGCAGCCCTTCACCGTCGATACGGTCACTTCGTGCGCCTTGGGCCGAATGCCGTGTCAGTGTCAGATCCAAGCGCTGTGCGTGAAATCTACGGGCTGGCAAGCGGTTTCAAGAAGTCCGAGTTTTACACTGTCCAGCAAACTCTCTCAAAGGGGAAGCCGCTGTTCACCCTCTTCACATCCACTGATGAGAAGTTCCATGCCAAGCTCCGCAGAGCCGTCAGCAGCGCGTATGCCATGAGCACTCTTGTGCAATTTGAGTCATACGTTGACTCAACCACGACGGCGTTTTTCCAGCAGATTGATGCTCGGTTCCTGAATGCAGCCGAGCCTTGCGACTTGGGGAAATGGCTTCAATACTATGCATTTGATGTCATTGGTGAGCTCACCTATTCTAAGAGACTGGGGTTTCTGGATGGCGGACATGACGTAGGTGGAATCATCTCCAGCATCGAATGGATGCTCGATTATGCCAGTGTGGTAGGTTCTATTCTGGTCCCTCGCCTGTTTTTGTTGTCTCCGCGTCGCTAATCTTTTGTAAAGGTTGGCCAAATGCCGGGCCTAGACAAGTTGTTCCTGAAGAATCCATTCCGCTTACTTCTCTCCAAGTTCGGCTTGATTGGATCGTCCACGCCCATGGTGGAATTTGCTCGGGAAAGATTCTCGGAGAGGGTTAATCTCGACACTGGCGAAGAAAAGGCTTTGGCTAACATAGAAGGGTCGTCGACGCGCCAGGACTTTCTCTCGAGATTTCTTCGAGCGCACGATAAGGACCCGGATTTCATCCCTCATCAGCGCGTGCTGGCTCTGACCGTAGCGAACATTTTTGCAGGCTCTGATACGACCGCCATCTCACTTCGTACCATTTTCTATTTCCTATTGAAACATCCAGAAGAGCTCGAGAGGTTGATGGGAGAACTAGATGAGCAGAAGAGAACGGGTGGGTTCAAGAGAACAGATGGTCTAGTCGACTGGGAGGAGGTGAGAGACTTGCCGGTGTTGGGCGCGGTGATCAAAGAAGCACTTCGAATCCATCCTGCTGCAGGGTTGACCTTGGAAAGAATTACTCCGCCAGAGGGGGTCCAAGTTTCTGGCAAATTCATCCCTGGTGGAACAATCATCGGCTGCAATGCCTGGGTGCTTCACCGCGACGCTTCCGTGTTCGGACAGGACGCAGAACAGTTCCGACCCCTCCGATGGATCGAGGCAACTCCAGAACAGCGACGACTCATGGAGAGTTGCCTCTTCACCTTTGGGGCTGGCTCCAGGACATGTATTGGGAAGAATATCAGTTACCTGGAAATGTATAAACTTGTTCCCGCCCTTCTTATGCGATACGAGGTAAGTTTAACGAGGATGGACTCATACCGCCCTGATACAATGTATAAGCTAACCATTCCCAGCTGAGTCTGCCCGAAGAGAACTGGGAATGGAATTTGCACAATGCCTGGTTTATCAAGCAGACGAATTTCCATGTCTATTTCAAGGCCCGCCAAGTCATTTGACAGGGGCGTTCACAATCAACTAGCCGAATGCCCAATATGAATCGTGTTCTAATAATCAAGTATTCATTGCAAAGACCTAATGATCAAACAGTAATCAATAAAAGCTTCTATCCTCTTATGTTCCTTACTTCCATCACGAGCACAGCTTTGTAGGAACTTAGACCCCGCTGTTTCTACTTCAATTGGGGATATGCACTCATAGCCACTTGACCACCTGTATGTAAGAACAGCACGTTTCCTTTTGAGAGCTTGCCATTCTTTGCAAAGCTGAGGAGGCCTGTGAAAGCCTTGCCAGTGTACACAGGGTCTGTCAGAATTCCCTCTGTCCGGGCAAGCTCCTTAATGCCATCCATAGTCCTCGTATTCAACGCCCCGTAAGCGTCTCCTAGAAACTCATCACTTATTTCGAAACCATCTTCAGTGATATCTTCCGCCTTGAGACCAATCTTCGCAGCAGCAGTCCTCGCAGTACGAAGAACGATCTCAGTCATATCAGCCTTCTTATGCCCGATAGAAAAGCCTAAGAGCCGTTTCTTTTGTGAAAGGCCACGACTCTCTACAAGTTTAAAACCTGCCACCAGTCCGCCCAATGTCGAACCAGATCCTGCAGCAGTAACAATAGTATCAAACTTCACATCAAGTTTCTTCTCCTGTTCAAGGATCTCAAATGCGGCTCTGGCATAACCGAGTCCGCCCAGAGGGTGGAGGCTCGCCCCGGATGGGATCAGGTACGGCTGCTTGCCGCGGCTTCTTAAAGTCTCGATAATCTCCTCTTCAGTAGTATCGACTGGGAAGACTTCGGCACCCAGTATTTGATTTAATTGAACGTTACCGGCATAGGAGTACTCCGTCACGTTGGATGGAACCAAGTCGCGAGGGAACAAGGCCACCTGTGGATAAGAAAGTTCAAAGCGTAAGCGTCAGTCCTCTTCTGCTATTCATCATAATGCCAAAAGCGAAATGATTGGGGTCATCGAACTCATGGCTTACATCTAGACCTAAATGGGCCGCCGCAGCACTCGTCTGCCTCATGTGGTTGGATTGAATTCCACCAGTCGTCACCAAAGTATCGGCACCCTGGGCCAGGGCATCCGCCAGGACGTACTCGAGTTTGCGGATCTTGTTGCCACCACCTGCTAGGCCGGAATTTGAATCATCTCGCTTGACCCAGAAGGTAGCGCCACAGCTCAGCTTGGCCGTCAGTCGGTTCAGGATTTGGACATCTGCCGGGCGATCATACATGAGGGGAACGCGACTGATCTCGCTGAAGGGTGAGGGTAGGACGACCATTCTAGCGTTTAATATGAATCTGGACCAAATTTGTGAATAATAAAAAGCCTAGGGCCAGTTGGCAACCTGAACTTTCCTGTTTATGATCCTAATAACCGTATCTGGTAGTTGAAGGGCGCGAATGACGGCTTACAAATTATTAATTATTGCGGAGGAATGGGTTGGGATTTGTCAGAGTAGGATCAAATCATGTGGAGTCAGCTATAGTTCCTGGAAAAGTTGAGATAGACCATTATATTTGATGAGGAAAATATCATACAATGATGATATGATATCTTTACCAGATGGCCACATAATGAAGACTGGGTAGATGATAAAACAGTTGTTCAAGACATCCTGAAACTCGGACAACCAATACGGGCCGCTATAGGGCTTACATAAACTGAAAGAAATTGAAGGGTTCCTCTTCGAAGTTTGGATCCATGCCAAAATCAACCTGATCAATGCTTTGCAAACCTGCACGTTCCAGTTCTGGGTCTTCCCCAATAACGGCGTGTCCCCGAGGGTGGCGAGCATTCGTGGAAAGGCCAGACTGAGGCTGGCCTGCATTCCTTTTGACGTTTAAAACATCTCTATCAACATCAACCATTGCGTCCGAGGGCGTTCTGCTTGAACTTGCCAAAGTGGAACCCCACACAGAAGTGTTTAGAAAGTCTGCATAAGAAGAGGATTCGTTATCGCTTGAAACCCAGGCCCAGGTCATGGGGTCACGAGACGCACCCTCATCTACGCTCGCTGCGCTACCAAGCGAGAAAGGAGACGGCGTTGCCTGAGAAGCAGACGAACCCTTGGGGTTCCTTTCCAGACACATCTTATGTATTTCTTCCTCTCGATGCGTTTTAGCCGCATTAACCAAGCCGAAGATGGCCGGCTTGAGCGGGTTTCTGTTCAACAGCGCATCAGGCATGTCATCGAGAAATTTCATGGCAATCTTCCACGCCTTCTCGGCAACAGCGGTCCACGGGCCGAAGCGGAGTTGGGCAAACACGACGCAAGCCGCATGCCATTGATGGTAGTTGGTAGATACCCAGCTCCATTGCCGTGTGGCAGGATCAGCCTTCCACTTTTGCATTACCTCGAGGCATCTAAAGGCGGACTCGAAAGATGGATGCCTGACCGGTTCAGCCGACTTTCCGGGATGCCTCAAGAGGTCTCTATGATGGATAACAAGAGCCAGCTGATCCAGCTGAACCTCTATGATTAGCCGCATCGTGGTCGTCAGGAGTCGCGGCGGCTCTGGCTGCGCAAGAGTTTCCCCTAGAACCTTGGACCGGAAACGCGCGAGGGACTCCAACCCACGGTCTTTTGCCTTGTCTCCCTCTGCGCCGGGATCCAGGAGATCCGCAATAGAGTTGTAGAGTCTCCGAGCCTCGCGCCAGATACCGCAGTGTGCCAGCATGTAGCTAGACTCTGTGAAGCCCTCTCGGCCAACCGGCTCGTGCGTCATGCCAGGGAATATGTCGCTGTCGTTGACATTGGCGGGCTGGCGGGTGTCGAAAATGCTCTCGGAGAGTGCCATCTCGGGAACATCGCACTGGCTCACGCGGTTGTCGACGAAGCAAATGTGCCACCACAGCCTCCGCCGCATCTCTGAATCGAAGTGGTCGACGTTCGGGAACCTGGAGCCGTCGCGGTGAAGCCCCATTGACACTGCTGACCGAACCAATATTCCCGTCATGGTCCACATAGCTCTCACGCCGTAGTGGTGTCCTGCGACATCAAGGTACAACAGGAACGCTTGGGCAACAGTTATGGACGTGGTGTCCAACACGCCGGCGCTCGCAAGGGATTCTTCTGTCCCCTGAAGTAGGTATGATACCATGTCGTCTTTGCATTCGTGAAAGTTCTCTTGGACCTGCGTTCCTCTTAGTCAAATCCTTTTCGAACGATTCATAAAAATCTACCTCGGCATCACTGAGGGAAGCGATTGCTGCGAGGGATATCGCAAACATCAAAGCCCGCATTCCAGAACCCGGAGGCTCAAACCTGCCCTTGGACTGTCGAATGGTCTTGTCCATGGTTGGGACGTGCAGAATCTTAATCATGGGGTCGACGTTTTCGACAAAGACCTGCCAGATGTAGGGCACTTGGGACGGCAGAGGCTGCGATATGTCCTCTGGGGGCCGCCCCTTCATTCTGCAAAATAAAGGAGTGTGACTGACATCCTTGACGGAGACGGCGACTTCTTGTTGGGGCTGTTGCTGGTAATCTTCATCTTCAAATGCTTGCCGCACGCTTTTGACCTGTCAAACAACCATGTTAGACGAAGTGTTCATGTGTTGAAAGACAAGGCGACTGTACCTCGTTATTGAAGATGGACCAGAACTTGTTTCCAACGTAAAGGCTCCCACCCTCATGCAGATGCAATCTCCCAAAATCATTCACAAGATTGCCATTGCTATTTTCGGCGCCAGAAGCACCCAGGGACGAGTCCCAGTCAACAGTGTCAACGCTCCCGCCACTAGGGATGGCCTCGAGCCGCACCTGCGAACTCAGCTTATCTACGACATCTTCCAAATATCTCAAACGATTGATCAGTTCCGCGCGCTTCTCTCCCGGCGTAAGTGTGTGAGCCGGTGACGGATAATGCTGCCGGGTCGGCATCCGGCCAGACACGGGGTACGAGCAATCGACACCGGATTTTGCACAGAGCGCGCAGGGTTTGCGTCTATTGCAGCGAGCCTTGCGGCGGCGACAGTGGAAGCAGCTCCACGGGCTGACAATCTCGGATGGCTCGTCCCCTGTCCGGCTGGATGCACCGGGTCTTATGGCTTCGCAGCCAATTGGGATATTCATTTTCGAAGAAACATGCGGTGATACCGGAGCTGTAATTAAGGGAGATGATCGAGATGTTCACTGACGACAAACCAACAAATGGGCATACGGACCTCCTGTCTTGGTCCGTCTGACAACAATGGAACGAGTCTTTGTAAGCGACAGTCTAGCGACATTGTGGGTCGAATTAGCGGACAAATTATCAATAAGCTCCGCCGTCTTTTGGTCCGGTTTCCGTGTCCGTCAGACCGGATTCAGCAGCCTCGGATCCCCAGTCCAAGAGCCAACGACGATGGGTGATACTTCATTGCAACTACCAATCAGCCTGTGCGCATCAAACAAACTCTGTTTATTTTTTCGGTAGCTTTAAGGGCTGTTGCCTCATAATCAGAAACTAGTTAATATACCTTCGGCAAGATGAAAAAACTTCATTTCAAGTCAGGATACGTGGGGCGTGTTGAAAGAAGCGCAGGCTTGACTCTGATGTTCGTCAAAATGACCCGGTCATTTATTATTAAATAGAGCTAATCAACCGCAAATAAGCCTAGACTTTCACTTCAAGCTGCATCTCTATGTCATGACCGATCTCATTATTCTGCAATCAAATTCTCCATTTCCCATGTTACTGAGGCGATCAACCGCCCTCACAATGAGTTCCAGCCTGCCGAAAATGATCTCAGCGAATCAAAGGATCAATCAGATTCGTACTCTTCAGTCATCACACCCAGATCGCCAGACACGGGGCTCAGATCCCACTTGGCTTGCCACTGGTTCAAGACCCGTTGGTCCTTGTCCGAAGCCACAAACTTGGAGTTGTAAGCCGCCAGAACCATCTTCCGAGTTCTTCGTTTGAAGATGCTAGGGTGCGAAACCACAAATAAGGTCGCTTCATACGCCTCGTCACGATCCGAAACAGTCCCGTCAAGGAAGCAGTAGAGGAGCCTGAATGCTGAATCTCGGGCGAGGCTCTTGAAACTGGGCGTTCGATGTTCCTTGGAATCACAATCGTCTTCTGCTTTTCTGATATCACTCATCACGTCGTGGATTTGGCGGCCCTGCAACACGTCGATCCCACGGCGCTTCATGGACTTGCAGAGCACTTGGTAGTCAACTAAGTTCTCCGACATGTTGCGAAAGACGTAGCGAAATCCTTTGTCCAGACCGATTTGGATAACATTAGAAAGGCGCACGTATTCAACCCCCTCCAGTCCAACTTCAGTTGCATGCAGAGTAGACTCGTAGCCACTTCGAGCTTGTAGAGTTATGTTTTTCATCTTGCTGTACCAGCGACAGTACAAGTCTTCAGGCAGCATCGGGGTAGCGGCTGTCTTTTCGATTTGCAATTCATCTCGAGATTTGTCATACCTGATCGCGACGCTTCCGCCACACTCTTGAGCTGTCAACACGATTTTCCGGATCAGTCCGCCGAGCATCTTGAGGTCCTCCTCGTGATCAGACTCCCAGGCCTTGATCTCAGCGGTGATGTCTTCAACCTGTGGTTCCTGGAAGGTGCCTTTGTCGTGGTAGGCTCGTACGAGCATGGGTGTCTGAGAAATCCACAGCTGGGCGGCGACATCTGAGATCTCAAGACGCCTTGTCATTGCACGAGTTTTGATTTCCAAGGTGGATTCAATAGGCACCTTCTTGCCAACATGGCACACATATAGCTTGGATCCAATAATGGCGCATCTAACAATCGTAGGAGAGACAGATAAGCTACTCATCATACCGGAGAGACTGCTCTCGTCCTGTGTCTTGCGTGAATTGGCGTCCGAGGAGGGAAGGGTCTTCACGTAGCCATCTGTTTCATGTCGCACGACGAACTTCAATCCGCCGAAGGAGTATGAGATGATTCTGTGGTGGCCAGTGCTTCCAGGAATCTCAGAGGACGTATACAACTTCTCGAAGTTGTGGCCAAATCCCCGAAACTGGCCGGGCTTGATGATCTCGTAGGTCGCTGTCTCGTCGCGAGAGAAGATGATGGTTTCCCCAACAACTTCGGCCTTGATTGTGAATGGCTCGGGGGCGAACTTGTTCAGCTTTGGATTCACAAAGTACAGCAGCTTCCGGATGTTATTACGGTCTGTGATGACATCGATGGAGGAGATGTCGAAATACGGTTGCTTGTGGAAGAGGGATCGAAACAGCGGCTCGAGAGGACTCTCCGGGTGTCTGGCGGCATTCTGGGCGATGTACACCAGCCCGGAATCTTGCGCAACTTTCTGGGGAGTCTTTGGAGGCGTCCATAAAGGCGGGCTTCCAGGCACAGCGATGGTGGGCTTGGCTCCTTCGATCCAGTTGTAGGAAGAGAGGTGGGTCACATCAGTGATGGAGGAGGCGCCAGCAGCTGATGATCCCAAGGCTTGGAGATCTGAGCGTGCGATCGTCGCCATGGCTTTTGATGATTTCAAAGCAGCCCGAGAGTTTCAATTTGGCATGTTTTGAAGTTGTGAGGAGGAGGTGAGAACGCGGTTTGGAGGTCAGGTTTGACGTCAGAGAAGGTGCGAAGTCGGTACCTGAGGCACCAACTTCTTTGTTGCCGCCATTCAAAGGGTCGCGTTTGTGTAGCATGGAATTCTAAAGGTAAACATCAACATGAAGCCATCAGGACCTCTGAAAACCCCATCTGTGCTGTGCACATCGTGGCTGTGGGGCAGATACAAATAAGCAGAAGCTGGTCCGGGTTCCATGTCCGCCAGTGGTCCTGCAGCCTCCGACTCCAGCCCACGACGGATCAGAGGTCGATGGTCCGTTGCGGGCCAAAAATTCCGTGCTATCCAGGGGTAGAGGCTGAAATGGAATTCTCATGGATTTGAATATAAATAAAACCAACATGACACTCCAAACAGCATCTAAACTCCACCACATTCACATCAATCACTCACCACATCTACCAAAGCCCAAAATATACACCATGTCTGAGCTACAGCCTCTTATTGTCTACGGATGCGGTCACACCCCCAACCCTTGGAAGGTTGTCATCATCATTGAAGAACTTGGCCTCCCGTATGTGGTCGAGCAAGTCAACATCGCAACCATCAAAGAGGAACCGTACATCTCGCTGAATCCCAACGGCCGTCTCCCTGCCTTTAAGGACCCCAACAACAATGATATTGTGCTCTTCGAGGTGAGTGACAGCAGACTTTTACATAAAAGAATGGCAAAAGTAAACGGTGAGCTAACTGGGTCAGTCCGGAGCCATTATCGACTACATAATCGAAGTCTACGACAAAAAGGCCCTGCTTCACTATGCCTCCGGGCCCGAGAAGCACATCACCCGCTGCTGGGAGCACTTTCAGATGAGCGGACAGGGCCCGTACTTTGGCCAGAAGATCTGGTTCGAGAAGTTCCATCCCCAGCGACTGCCGACCGCGATTGAGCGCTATCTCAACGAGATGAAGCGTGTTATCGGTGTGATTGATAGCCACCTTGCCAAGAAGGGCACTGACTACTTGGTGGGGGACAGGGTGACATATGCGGACCTCATGTTCCTTCCTTACTTTACTGCTCTGCCAGCTCTAGTTCCAGAGCTGGATGTCACCAACTATCCGCAGTATAACGCCTGGCTGGAGAGGCTGGTCACTCGCCCAATCACGTCGAAGGTGTTGGCGAGGTTGGCGGACGCCGCTGCCAAGGGGACCATTCCCGCGATTAAGCAGGTGGCAGTTGTTGAGGTCTAGATTTTTCGATCGCGTATTGACAGTGACATGTCTAGTGGCATTGCTGAGGGCTGTGTTGGTTACATCAGGCAATTTTGTGTGGCATATTACATTCGAGACTTCATAATCATATGTGTTTACGCCTTATCCAAATTTCGAGACTAACAGATCATAAACCCACAAATGCATCATCACTCATGTTTCTTTTTATTTCTTTTACTATAAGAATTGCCTCGCCGTGATGATCATCTCCATGCTCTAGGGTAGCTCAATACGGAACATGCGTGATGATCAAAAAGAAATGACGCTCTGGCCGGAAGAAGCAGTGGCTGTGGCTGTGCCAGTAAATAATCGGGCCTTATTATTACTAGCGGTAGGCTTTGCTGAGACAGGCCAATCTTGGACTGTTTTAGACTCGTGGCCCGTCTCCCGCGGACCTTTTACATTAATACCTTATTTATCATTTGCTCATCCGCAATCCGAGGCCGGTCTAGCCCGTTCATTTGGGCATCAAGGTTGGATCTGTCAGCGGCTGTGCCCTCATGCTCAATCACCTGTTATTATTATTACTGCTCAGCCTGTCACTCGCGCACAAACTTGCTTCCTCCCCTATCCACCCCTTTTCCGCCGCCCGCCACATTCCATGAGACTCCCGCTCTGGACGTCTGTCCATTTATCGCGCAGCCATCCGGTACCGTGGATCGACCTTTTGGCCGATAATTGCGCATTTGAGCCTTGAATGATGGGTTAGGATTCATTGCGCTTCAGCAGTCCCAAGAATCAAGCTGATGGGCTCGCCTGTCGCCTGCCGCCAGCGCCCAGCTCAACGGATCGTCATTGCAGAGTAAATCCACTCTTGAGCGCAGACTCCGTGCCATGCGCATCTGTTCGCCAATGCTGGTTCCTCTCGCGTAGGTTCGGATTGGCCAAGCGAATTCGCGCGCATCTGCAGGCCCTTCATCATGGCCCACTTCCCGGAATCAAGCGGCGACAAGGGGAGAGATCCCGATGGCTCAAATCCCAATGAACGCTATCGCGACACGCAGGTAGATGGCGGCCATTCTTTGAGGAAGGCCTCTCCGCCGACATCTATCAAGGCTTTTGCTGCCGCTCGTCGGCGGGAGCGTGCAGCCTCCATCACCGACAGTGACTCTACCGACTCTGAGAGTGAGACGGCGTCCCTTCGCCGGATCCTGTCTCCATCCAAGATCAGCTACATGAGCGACAAGTTTCCTGCTATTGACGACAGCTCTGAGAGCTCCTCCTCTGAGGAGTCTGAGGAGGATCGTGTTCGCCTTGAGCGACATCAACCCCAGCAGCGTCTCTACATCGACTTTGACTTCCTCGAGAACTTCATCTACGCCAACCGACCGGTCTCAGATGAGGTAAGCTCGCCGCATGGAGGCAATCTCTCAGTCCCTGGAGCCAACGGGATACCTTCATCGCCCAGGCTCAACGCAAGACCAAATCTGTTCAAGCCAAACCGGTTCAGCTTCTTCTCCTCCTCGCTGGACTCAACCATCCACGCCCCCGAATTGGCTGACCTTGTCCTACCTGGCGAAGAAATCCGTGGCCTCTTCACCATCCCGGAGGATGAAGGGGGCGCGTGGTGGCTTGACTGCCAGAATGCGACCAAGGATGAGGTGCAGAACATATGCACTGCCTTTGGGGTCCACCCGTTGATCATTGAGGACATCGTGACCAAGGATGCGCACGAGAAAATCGAGATGTTTTCATCCTACTACCTTGTCTCCTTCCAGTCATTCTACACCGTCACAGAGGACAATGGCGGCGTGGAATACGAGCCCTTCAACATGTACATCCTCGTCTTCCGTGAGGGGACCCTGAGCTTCAGCTTCGCCCCAAACTCCCACGCGCTCTACGTGCGTCAGCGGATAACTGCCCTGAAGGAGCACGTGTCACTGAGCAGCGACTGGATTTGCTATGCTCTCATGTAAGTTGCCAATTTCCATCTGTTTTATGTATGTGTTTACATCGTGCTGACTTCACCTAGTGATAATATTGTAGATGAGTTTGGCCCAGTTATCAGGCAGATCGAGCACGACGTGGACACCCTCGAGGACGACGTCTTCATCATGCGAGACTTCGACTCAACCTCCTTCCTCCTCCGAATCGGTCAGGTCCGCAACAACATCATCTCCCTCCTGCGCCTCCTTGGCGGCAAGCCCGACGTGCTCCGCAGCTTCACCAAGCGCTGCAACGAGAACTACATCATCACGCCCGGGATGGACATCGGCATGTACCTCGACGACATCCAGGACCACGTCGTCACCATGGTGGCCAACCTTGGCCACTTCGAGAACATCCTCTCCCGCGCCCACAGCAACTACCTCGCGACCGTCACCGTAAACGGCCTCAACCAGGGGTCCACCACCAACGACGTGCTCGGCAAGATCGTGCTGCTGACGTCCATCTTCGTGCCCCTACATCTTGTTAGTCTGGTCTTCGGGATGAACGTTCCCGTGCCGTTCGGGGGTGTCGATGAGATGAACCTGGCGCCGTTCTTTGGTATCATTGGTGTCATGGCGGTGATGGGTGTTGTCGTCATGGGCTGGGCGCGTCACAATCGGTGGATCTAATAAGGGGCCAGTCTATGATTTCTCTTTGCTTTGTACAATTCACTTGTCACTTTTAGGACATGGAAAGATAGAGAACCATTTCTCATTTGTAGCATCCGATCCAGCCGAATAAGCATTTTTTTCTAATCTCTACCGTCACTAGTCCCGTGGCTCAGGCAGACTCAAGAGCTCACCTTCTACAGCTGACCTTGGTGAGGAAGGCCCAGCTCATCGGTGAACGGGTCGTCATCGGCCTCGCGCACGATGATCTCTGCGCCGATCCGGATGGTGTTGTAGAGCTTCTCGCCGTGCCACTTCTTCACCCAGGCCATCATGAGGTCAATGCCGGCGGTTTCCTAGAATGTATATTAGTCTATATCTGAAATATGTTAGGAATGAAAGATGCAACGTACGCCAGACGAAGACCAGATGTTATCCTCAATAACATATCGAGCGGGCGCCACCCAAGTCACATTGTTCCCGTGCGCAGTCACCAGTGACCAGGCATTCTTATTAGTCGTCACCCGCCTGCCGTCAAAGATGCCCGCGCGAGCAGGGAAGATGGCGCCCGTGCAGATGGTAATAAGATAATCCAGCTTGGGGTATACCTTGGCAATGTAGTCGTCCACGTAGGTGAGCGACGCGTCCCTCGCCGCGGCGCCACCGGGCACAATCAGCACATCCAGGTCGAGGTCGTCGTCGAAGCTCGCGGCGCCGACGAACTCGGGCGTGAGCGTTGAGTTGAACTTGTTCCCCATCGGCGGCACGACGGGCACGTTCTTGCCGTCGGGGGTGATGATCTTGACGCTGATGTGGGCGTTGCCGGCGACGAAGTAGAGGACCTCGAGGGGGCCGTAGATGTCCAGCATGCTGGCGCCGGGCATGGCGATGACTCCATAGTTTACGGGGAAGCTCTCTATATCATCGTTGAGTTAGAATGTCTAAGCTATGTTCTATTGGAGGAATGCCTGTTCCTACCGTTTCGAGTGTGGAGCTCCGCCGCTGCCGAAGGCAACAGGCCTGCTGCTGCTGCGGCGAGTGTAAAGAGAGATTTCGCAAGCATGGTGGACTTTATTCTTTGTACCTAGAAAGAATGAAGAGGCGATACTATTCCAGTGAGGTAGGAATAGAGTAACGAGAGAACCCGGTGCCTTTATATTCCGATCTTCGCCTTATACGCCCAACGACCGGGATGTGGAGAAGTCCCCGTGTTTCACCAAGAGTGGTTTTGAGCAAGTTTCAGTTCTCTCTGCTCCTGTCGAAGGACTCGAGCCCTGTACTCTGGAATATTACTGGGCGGTGGATCTCAGGTTTCTAACCCCTGAACATCTGGGAGGAAGCGTGGTGGCACAGGGATTCTCCCGCCCAATCGATCCTCGGAAACGAGGTAGAATTTCCAGACGAAACGTGCATAAGGAGATCGCGCGCGCGATAGCCCCGCCCTAGTTACAGATGCTGACAGCGATTGGAATAGAGTTTTACATTGCAAACAAAGCTTTGATATTAAACCATGGGGCCCTGTCGGATACATTTCGTAGCGGGATCTTGACAAATGAGATGCGATGAAGAGAGAATCGATTTGACCTCCATATGCAACAGGTGAGAAAACAATCTTGGCAACAGTCCTCCTGGGTAGGAACGTGGTTGAGCTTGGCAGGGGGAGGCTACCCTGCTCAACTAATTCTTGATAAATTATCAACGGTGAGATGCATCGGGTTCGTGAGCGTGTGGAGCTTCAATATTGAAAGAGTAATTGTTGCGAACCTTTTCATCTCTTCGAGCACGACTGGTCTCCCAATCCTTCGGGGTGGGTTGCCTCTCAATGAAGACGAGATAGACTTAGGAGCATATGTTAACGCTCGCACTATTACCATGTAGGGTTATCATACCAAAATTCTAGGATGTATCGGCTGCTCCGGAAGTGTCAACTGAAACAACCTGAGGGAGGATGATGGAGACTCTGCGCAATCATTCAGCCTCATTTCATTCATTTGACGACACCAAGATCCATTTAATCTACGCAGTTTGCACAAGAACGATGATAAATGCTCGGTTACGTCTAGGCTTGCCTATAATAGCTGCTGGTATTGCCAATATTCAGGTGGAAACGCACAGTCGGATGGTCGGATTGTGGCCAATCTAAATTAGCTCCCCCTGATGCCTTGAAGTTGTCTTCCTTTTCTTATAAGAGATTCGGAGATAAAGAACCCTTTGTCTTTGATAGCTACCCGAGGTTGAAAGGGCGTATACTCGCTATAGAGACGGATTTCCTCACGGCTGAAAGGGAGGTGCAACGATGCACGCACAATGGCCATACCGCCCAAATCCAGTTATTGATTATTGTAGGATGCTCACTGTATGTTGGGTGGAGGCATCTCAATAACCAACAATTGGCAGGTGGTTGGGTTAGCTATTTAGTCAGACAGTTTCCTATAGGTCAACGCTATGCTATGGTAGAATGCATTTCATCTGAATTAGAATCGCGAGCATGTGCAATAGTCTGGCATATTACGATAGGTTCGATGTGGGTATAAAATGCAACGTATTTTCGCATACGACCACACCCAGAGGAGAACTCGGGATCCTGTCTAGCTATGCCCTTCTTTGGGATTGAGTCGATTTTAATCCGCATTAGAGCATCCTTTTGGGCCCTCTCACTACTCAAATTCCAGGCATATTCATCCCAAACATGCTAAGGTTTAGATAAAGAGCCGTCTGAATTAGTTTCCTCTTTCCTAAATGTGATTTTATCAAGATATTATCCACCACGATTTGGTGCGGAATCAGTTAAAAAGAACGGCATCAATATCTAGGCTAACTAGAGTATCCGTTGAGAAGTTTTATTAGGTATATACGGATCTACGCAAGTAAAACCATTACGCAGTATATAGTCGTATATGGCACAGTTGAACGCTAAACAGTACATATTATCTAAATCTCAAAGGCTTATCTCTTGGAGAGGAGGAAGGATCCTGAGTCCTCCAAAGTGTAATGGTGCAGAGCACTAAGAGAACCCCTCAGATAAAGCCAGAGATAGACGTCTACTCGCTATGAAGTAATTGACTTTGGATCTGGCTCTACCCGTTTCCCCATTGACGATTATCATCTTTCTAATCATTTCTTTGCAGTTTGGCATGTGGCTCAAGCTGATGTTTTTGTCTAGAATATTTCCGGGATTCAGGAATTTGTCAAGATCTTCGTATATCTCATGACGAATTATAAGCTGGCCCGCATGGGATAAAACATATCGTAGGAGAGAGGGCATGTATGCTGGAGTGATTTTACCAACATGATTCAAGATATCTGCAATGCCATCTGTCAGCCGCACAAATGGCATCAAAACAGTGCCGAGAAGATCTTCGGTAAGATTCTCGATGAGATGCTCAGGTAGCCACGTCATCTTCGGCTGATACAAAATGTACGAGCAGCCTAACAAAACCCAGGCTTCTATGCTCATGAGATCTGAGAGTGTCCATAGAAGGCATCTGATTCGAAGGTGAAGGAGATGAAAAGGATTCTCTATGTTCTGTTGGCATTGTTGGAAGTGGTGTAGCATGCATGATAGCTCTGTAGAAGGCAAAACTAGGGGCTTTCTAGTATCGATTATGTGGATGATCGATTTCGAAAATTCGTACAAAGCTGTATTATGCCGCGCGCTAAACTGTCTTGAGCCGAAAAGTTGCGCGGCGCGTTCTGAAAGCTTGAGCTTCCGATTCTCGTAGCTGCGAACTTGAAACTTCATGTGCTTTCTCACTTTGTCTAGTGCTTTCCCACCTCTTTGGTGTATCTTGCAGTTTAGTATGTCTGGGTAATTTACATGATATAGAGTTACCCAGATGAAGTCTTTTATTTCGGACCGTGGTTCCTCATGCCTATGAGAAGTTGGGCGCGTCCCCGGCATGGCGGCTGGAAGCCAAGACTGTAGGACTTGTAATAGCAAGGTAATGTTTATGTTCGAGGAGGCACCAGGCGCGGTTGTTTGTTTCTGGATTCCTTCCAAGTAACTGCGAACGCCAGTTTTGCTAGTGGCCATTATATCACTTAATGCGATCTCTGTCAGAGGATCAGGCCTATCATTCGGCGATTGTTGAAACTGAAGCTTCAGCTGGCATTTGCTGTTTGGGCTAGGTGACTTTAGCTAAATGACTGAGGATACAAGACAGGACACTTGAAACTAACCAGGAGGAAAAACCAGCGCCAAATTTCATCACCCTTTTTTGACCACAATTTGGACATCTTCTTCTATGTCTAGCATGGTAAGGGAAAGCCATACTGATTTGAATCTTATCGTTGTCTTTAAAGATATCCTTGAATGGTTTAATGTCGGGGCTGCTGCATAAAAAGAGACGATCGGGTTCGAATTTATGAACTATGTAATTTCGTTCAAGAATCAAATGATTCGCTAAATCATTCTCCGGGAACAGCCGAAGGAGAAATTCGTGAAGGTCCTCCACATCGGATGTCAGTATTATCTTGCTTTAGTCTGTTTGGGGGTGTACTGACATCCCAAGAGGCAACCTGTCCAAAGGAGAGTCCATAGCTTGTCCCTCGAGGATCTTGCAAGCTAAAGCCCTCGCCGTTTCTATTCAAAGGATATCTATTGAATTATATGGTCAATGAAGATATTTGAGGGGAGGGAGGGCATTTTGAATCATTGCTACCTACGCTTGTAAAAGGAGCAGCTTCCCTTGGAGCAAAGAGATCTGGTCTTTGAGATTTAGATGAAGATCCTGCAATAATCTCTCATGCGTAGACCAAGACAACTTTTTGAAGAGCCCTCTCCACGAAAACCTCTTCCTCTTTTGACTTAGATGAGGGTCCAAGCCACGCAGAGTAGAAAAGAAACTGCCCAGGAGCTGGTCAATTGACTTTAGTTCTGCGGTAACTGATTTTTGTGTCTGCGGTGCCTTGTTTTTAATTGAATGTAGAAATTTCGAATGACTGGCAAGGGATCGGTAAATGGATTTATAGTGACTAAATCGCTTTACAGCTTTCCCCTTGAAGATCTCAAAGAACTTGCAAAGTATCTCAAAGAGAAGCATATTATCAGACCACATTTTGACGGCGATGCTGTTATGATTCGGAATTCGTGATCGACATGCCGAGAAAATGGCCTCTATTTTCCTACCGCGCAAGAACCCTTTATAAAAAAAGCCTCATCTTATTCTGCCTCGACTTTTGATGGCTGAACACTCTTATACCGAAGAGCTTGTCTGATTGGAACAGACATATCATCTGACATGCCCGACATTCTGACCTCGCCACCAACCCCGCTCTCCAACTGGCAGCACCCCGAAGCTACGTGTCACTGTATAAGTGCTCAGATGATGCGTCATCCCAAATTCATGATTTTGATTGGGTTTGGCCAGTAACGAAGGGTTACATTGATCCGCCAAAGAGAATGCCTAAGTAGTTACCATGTCGCGAGGAAGCCATATATCCTTACCGTAAATCTGCCTCGCTCATGCAACTTTCACAATTAGATACCCGACGGAGGTTAGAAGAGGGCGCAATACTCAAGAAGTGCGTAATATTTATGAATGACCTATAATATGACTTCTATTCCTATGCTCCCCTTTTGCGGTGTGCAGCGTGCTAACGGATAATCGACAAATTAAGAAGACTAGGTGTGTTGTCTCGCTGTCTACATTCTCAGCCTATGATTTCTAGCGTCTCTGACAGCTAAGGAATAAGTAGCTTCCAACTATCTACCTAGTGAGTGGTGAGATCGGGATAATGTCTCGCCTTTCTCCAGCTTCCTACAACAGTACACCAAATGCGATTGGTTCCAGTTACAACATGTTCACACAAAACCAGAAGAATAAAATAACGTCATAGAGAACATAACGCCAACAATAACCATTCTATTCTAAATTGTTCTTACTTGGTAAGCCAAAGCGCTTAAAAACACATAAGGTTGTTGTTTGATGTCCTACTCCTCGAAGGGCACGTCGCTGTATGTAAATTCAGCATCCACGTACTGGGGACTCATCCGTCGCTCCCGGTAAAGATTTCTGATGTGTGGGGCGTAAATGCGAGACATCAAATTGCTCGGTCGATTGTTGAACTTGGAAGTCAAATCATGGTGATAGGCAGTGTATGTCTGGAACCCCAAATCGAACTCCAGAGACTTGTACTCATGGACAGCGATCATGTCGTTGTCCAAATCGGGGTGATCATCCATATATCCCACAGTGTTCGGAACATCTTCTCGCCAGCCATTGAACAATATACCGAAGTAAGTGAGTTTGTTGAAACGCCCACTTTGCGTGATAGCATGTAATAGGCTGTGTACTTGGTCTATAATAATCCCGCCTCCACAAGAATGGATCAAGAGAAATTCCAGGTTCTCGGGAAGACAATCAAGGAGAGCAGGACTACTTGGCGGTAGCTGGCCAGTAGCTTTATTGTAATCTAACAGCGCCGATGCATGGATGCCAAGAAGTTCCTGCATGCCGATTGTAAGCCTCTTCAGTGAATGCATTTGGCGAAGGTCGGTGCCCATGTGAAGCCTCTGTGGATCATCCACTTGTTTATCCTGAAAGTCATCTATGTTGAGGTAAAGGCTCTCAAGTGTGCTGGCATGAGGCAAGATTGCATCGAGAATATCTCGCGGCATTATTGCGGCACCACTTGTTGTATTGAACTCGCGGTGGCTAAATTCAAGCTTCTTCAGCCCTCTGCAAGAATCTAGCATATTCTTGAGTAGATCTGCTGTGCATCAAGACCAATGTAAGATTATCTCTTCAACTGAAGAAGATCGAGGGGGTAGATTTGCAAATCTTCTTGCTGCTTGCAAGGTTCCCTGAGTCCCTATACACTCATAAATTCGTAATTTAGGGAAGCCAAATAGGTTTGGTGCCTCATTGTGAAAAGTCTGGTATCCAGATGGATGCAATGTCTCATGAGACACATCTTGCAAATTGGCGAGAGGGACAGTCTTCTCAGTGTAGTTACTGTTACTCCAGTCGGGTCCAAAGTAGTAGGAGGTATTCGACATAATGCGGGTGAAGTTAAGTAGGAGAGGGAAATGATATGCTTCCTTGGGCATCTCGAAAAGAAGTGTTCGGATATTTGGACAGGTGAGTAAGATCAAGGAAACTTGAGCATCGGAACTATCTATTGTGAGATCGTATGTCCACTGAGTAGACCATTCATCATTATAGGGCAGTTGTCCTAAGATATACTTGATATGACACTCAAAGATGTCAAGCTCTTGGTCTGAAATTAGGCCTTGGTCTTGCTCTTGATACTCACTATTTCTAGCTTGTGAGAATCTGCCGATAATAACAGTTCGAACATGTTTAGCCAACCATGGCTTTGAAATAAGAATATAGCGTAGAAATTTTATATTGCGGGCCCGGGAACATGGACCTTGGTCCTCAGGGTAAGGTGCTGTATTTCGGAACACGCTCACAGATAGTGGAAGTGCCGCATTATAGAGCTGTTGACAGGTTCTTAGGACCGCTTGAATACTAGATCCGCCAAATGATGTAGTAAGGTATGACAGGATTTTAGTTTGTAATTCAAGCGGTAGTGTCAAGAGTGTTTTAGATTCCATCTCGAGTGTGCTTCCCGTGTATGTTCAGACGTTGTAATTGGTTGATGATGCGATGAATTCGAACAAAGCGATGATGTCAACGGATGATGGGAAGCAAGATGGACCCTTTCTATAGCATTCACGCCATTCTATATTTAGCTCAAGCAAATTTGGGTACAGGGGCTTTGCAAAGTGCATGAGTCTACAAATGCCCTGGGTAGCTAATAAGAGCTAAGATTGCTTACATGCAGCGTGGCTTCTCAAAGTTCTGTCTGACCAACACGAATTTTCAACTGGGTATGAAAATATACACCTTGCCCAAAACGATTTATCGTAACCAACAGAGTAATCACCATGCCTTGACCCATGGCCCAACAAAACATTCAGAGACCTGTTACCTTACAGCATTTCGAGATTGAACTAGCGACTTGCAATCGCAATCACCAGGGGCATGGACCTCGGACGGCGTTCTCCCATCTCCAAGGCGTACAGAGGTGTCGATCTCAGCGTGGTCGAGTAGAGCTTCAACCGCCCTGGTGTCACAGCAAAGCATGGCCAGATGGAGTGCCGTCCAGCCAGCTTCGGTGGCGATGTTTGGATCAACATTTTGTTGCTTCAAAAGCAATCTTAGCATACTCTCTGATCTTGATAAGTTCACGGCCAGATGCAACGGGGTCCAGCCCTCCACGTCTCGCATATTCACGGCCTTGCTGTCGGCCTCGAGTAAGCGTCTCACCATGCTCTCCCTGTTCCAGTGCACAGCCCACCAAAGTGCGGTTCGTTGTTCACTACTTGTTGCGCATACATCGGTGCGAGGGTCCTCGAGAAGGATTCGCACGGACATGAAGAAACCCTTTCTGGCCGCCCTCAGCAAGGGAGTATCGTCCCATGTGAATCTCATGTCAAAGTCACCAATAAACTTCCTGTGCGGATCGTCTGAATCCTGTCTGTAAACAATAATGTTGTCTTGATAACCCTGGGCATGAATATTGACATCGATATTGGGGTTGTGAAGCACATCCTTCAGCAGCCTTTGGTCTCCTCGGTCAGCGAGCAGTCCCAAGACCGTCCCGTCGAACCTTGTGTGGTTGATGTCCAGTCTTGGGTGGCTCAAGACGAGCCGTGCAGCATCGACATGCCCTCTCCGAACGGCGGCGAAGAGTGCCGTGTCCTCGCGAGAAAAGCACGTGGAATAGGTGCGGTTCGGGTCTATCTCGTCGTATTTGACCAACTCCCTAACCATGTCGGTGGCGCCTTCGAGCGCCGCTTGGCATAAAGCCAGGCTGAACGCATATGACAAACAGCTTCGTATCTGGGCATCCGCGAGGAACAATCGGACTAGATCAATGCTACCACGGCGGACGGCAAGCATAAGAGCTCCTTCCAAATGTTTGTCTGCTTTATCCATGCGTTCGAGGATGAGTCTCGCACATCTAACGTGGTGCTTGTAAACGGCAATCTCCAATGCAAACATACCGTCATAAGTAGCCTTGACATCTAAACTTGGGCTCTCGAGCAGAACTTCAACCACATTGGCCTTATCTCCAGCGGCAGCATAGTGTAGGGCGGCTTTTTTGTATCCCAGGGCTTGGTAATTGGGGTCGACGTCGTCTCGCTCCAGGAGAGCCCGGACAATAGATATGTGACCAAGCTGGGCTGCCAAAACTAGCATTGTCTTCCGATCGTTAATCAATATGTTGGGGTCCACAGCGTATCGGTCCAGGAACAGCCTCACAGCCCAGTCTCTGTCATGCTTGACAGCTAGCCATAAAGAGCAGCTCCTCCTCACGCCGAAGTTGGGACAAAAGTCGTCTCTCGCGACAAGCAGCCTCACAATATCCTCATGTCCCTCCCTGACGGCGGCTTCAAGATCGGCCGGGCCGGGCTCAGTGCCAAGGTTCGACAGCAGAAGTCTGACCGCTTCGGTCCAGCCTCGTTCAGCCGCCCAGAACAGAGCAGTCTTTTCGGTCGCTTCATGCTCCGTGCCTGTTTGGATGTCTGGCAAGGCGAGGAGGAATTCCATAATGTCCCTCCGGCCTAGTTCACCCGCGTAGAGGAGCATATTCCTGGTCCCAGTCAAACATATCTGCGCGTTCGCATCATGGCCGCAACGGACTAGGCCTTGCACGATGTGAGAGTGGCCCAGCGAAATAGCCACACGTGCTGCGCTGCCGAAGAGCGCATGTACATAGTCGGCTCGAACGCCTACCTTGATAAGAGACTCCATTTTTGGCCAGTCACCCGATGCTGAAGCAATCTGCAGCGCGCCGTAGAGTTCTTCTGGTTCTGGCGACTCATCTACCCGCTGGTCAGTTTCAAGCCTCTTCTTATACTCATCCACCTGCTGAGAATAAAGAAGGAAGAACCGCGGCCCTTCACACAACCAGTCGAGGATCCAATGAGCATCATGTGCCGCGAGTATAGTGCGACACGCAACATCAAAGAAAACCTCCTCATCCGCGGCGCATGTCGCGCCGCGGTGTTCCAAGAACAACCTCGAGTCGAGTAGAAGTGCAAATGGTCCCACGCGGTCCGCTCGACTCATCCGCATCTTGGTCATCAACAACCATCTGAGACCAGCTTGGCTGATGGCCCCTATTGGGTCTCTACACGTCCCAAGCGCGTATAGGCTCACGTCGGGCAAAGCCACACGAGAGACCAGATCATCAAAATATCCTATGAAAGATTAGCACAGGACTATAGCGAGCTCGGATTCTCTGGTGGCTGCATACGGGAAACTCGTCGCAGCGCGATGAACTTGCTGACATGTTGGCGTGACACACAGGGGAAACAGCAATCGTGGAGGATTGGTATCAAAATTTCCGCGGGTAGTGTTTCGAGAGACATGGCGCGTTATAGAAGTCATAGGTAGGTATTGATAGATGCGATAATGAAGAGTAGGGATCAGATGCCCAAATTTACAATGGTTATATGTTATATGCCTCAATATCTAGAAAACGGTGAGGGGGAAAAACTTCGATATTGGTCGTTGCCATGCTTATGGTGTCTGCGATTAGTCAGACATAAAAATGCCATGACCTTGCTCAGAGTCTGCCATTATCCATTTCACCCTGTTGCTTTGCCGATTTTTGGCATCGATTAACTTCATTCCTCATCATTCTCCAGCTGCTTGAACAGGTTATACGTAGCTCAGTCACCAAAAGCCAGTGTACATTATCCTTCTCAACCACGACTTTAGCAAGCTAAGTAAACTCTTTAAAAGGATTAGGTACCTATATGAAAGACGAACAGTTTCGAGCAACTATCCATCAGACACATATTAGCGTAAAGGAGAGGTAAACCACCCTTCAGTAACGTCAGCATAAGAATTCAGTATCACAATATAATTACACACCTCCTAGAATGATTGGCTGTTTCTGATCAATCATTCCGGCGTACGCACTTGCCAGTTCAGGAACACTGCGGAAATCACCGAGGTAGCGGGCCGAGATGCCGTATACGCAACGGCTGAGCTGCCGTATGCGAGCATACATGCTCTTCGTACCACTGCCGTTGCGAATTAGACAAAGCGGAGGAGTGGTCTTGGGACCGGATTTCAACAGATGTGGCATATTTGCAGTATGCAGCAACATCGTCGTTGGCGGTTTTGGGGGACTCATTTCAATGAGCTGGATCACGTCCCTGACCGTCTTACACGATTCAAGACCTAGGAGCTCTTGGCCTGGCACTCCCTCGGCATTCAACTTTTCAACAACTTCCAATGTCATCAGCGAGTCAAACCTCAGGTGATAGATTTCCACATGTACTGGACCTCCACGTTTCATTGTTGTAATCATAATCTGAATCTACATAGTTTATCATAGTCTAGATTTACTTCTGCTTCAGAACCATAATGCAGTCATTGCACTGAACGGTGTACTGAACAGTCCTGACCAGCTCCAGCCCAACAGCTTCGAAAATCTCGCCCCATTCCTTGGCGGAGCGCTCAACACCAGCAAGACACGCAAGCATGTCCATGTCGAGCGAAGCCGCACGCCATGGTGTAGCAATCTCGGGAAGTACCATCTCGTCAATGAGAATTACGGACTGCTCTGTCATGCCAGCCTTGATGTTTGTGAGGATCTCCTTGGCCTTGTGAGGAGGGAAGTCATGCAGAACATTGCGCAGGTAATAAGCCCGGGCCCCTGGCACAATCGTTAGCTTCATCATTGTTCAATTCGGGCAAGTTTCAGAATAAGATGACTTACCTTTCAGCTGTTGTGGTCCCCAGAAGTCATAAGTCTGGGCGTCAATGCCGTCCATGCCAGGGGGCGGTGCGGCCTTGACCTGCTCGATAACATGGGCCTGTTCTTGCAGGACAATTCGTCCGCTGTACTGAGGGTATCGGGACTTGAACAAAATGCACTGGTGGCCGATGGCACCGCCAACATCAACAAAGACGGGCGCAGAGCTGTCGCTTCCAGCGCCGACCTCCTTCTCGAAGTCAAAGGAGTCGAGGAACTCAGGGTTTCCCTCTCTCTGGCCAGCCATCCAGGGGAGGAAGTACCCCATACACTCGGGGTGGGTGTTGAGCCAAGAAAAGGGGGACTCTTCCGTCTTGTGGCCAACATGCCAGGGGCAGAAATCTGGGTTGCTTGGGTTGGCATGCTCGGTCTTACGCAGGTACTCGGGGATTCCCATGAGTGCGGGATAGATCATCTCGGCACTAGCAGCAAGTTAGTCATGTGCCGGATTGTTTTTCCCAGTCTATGCACCTACAAGTAGTTGATACCAGAAGAGCCGCCGACGCTAGCCAAAGCCTTTGTGATGTTGTTGGGCGCAAAGGCATCCTCACCAGTCTGAGCGACCATGCCCTTTGACTGGTAGTAACGAAGCAGACGCTCTGGGATCATAGTCAGCGAGAGAAAACACTACAGACATGACAGATTAATTTGGGCTTACTGAGAAGAGCAGGATCAATCTTGGTCTCTTTCGCAAGTTGAGAATTGGTTAATGGCAGAAGGGCATTCTCCTTGGTAAGGGCAGTCCATAGTCCGGTTTGGACACCAACGCGAGAGAGAGCTAGCTCTAGGGGCTGGAGAATCGACTGTCAGTATAAAAGAAACCAAAAAGGGGGGAGGCGGGGGACAGCCTGAGTGTCGCCGCTTAGGTTGTATGTGGTTTTGCTTTCATACCGCATTGGTGAGTCTGTGGATTGTATCACCACCGGCCTCAAGAGCCAAGTTGAGGCGGAAGGCAGCCTCGGAAAGTCTTCGCTTTGTCACATCATTGTCAAGGCCAGAGAGGGTCTCTGGCTTTGCAAGGACAGCCTCAAGCTGGTCGGTAAGGGTGGTAGCATCCATTTTTGGAGAAGCGATATTGATAAAGTGGGATGGTAATCTGTGTGTATGGGTAAAGAAGAAATCAGTTGGAATGGAGCGAAGGCGGTAAGGTCAGCTAAATGAATGGAGAGCCTGGCCAGAAGAGCAAACAGCCAACATACAAAGAGTTCGCGGGGTTGTTGCCTAATGTCTACCTGCTGTTGGTTTGCTTTGTTCTGCTTACCTGTTTCTTATGCAGTTGGCGGCTGCTTGCAGGGCTTGGACCAACAAGATGAACGTAGGGTGGCACGCAGCGGAGCCCCCAAAGCGATGCCATGTGATTAAATGTGTTGAAATCCGATATTGCGGCGAGACATTCCTTTTGCGGTGAGATGATGGCGCCAACCCAATCTACCTACAAGGAACAAGGTGAATCATGACCATGTTGGTTGTGTGCTCAAGAGGGACTTTGGCCGGAAGCAGCACCCCTCCCGGGGGGTGATTGTCGTGGCATGAGGCTGTGTAGCATTGATGGATTCTCTGAAGCTTACATGTAAATTGCAAGCCAACATACCAGTCTTTGATGATCTACCATGGATCCATCCAAGATTCCAAAAGCTTGGACCGAGGAGCCCGAAATAAGGTGACTGTGGTAAACGAAATCATTGACATCAGCTCGCCAGGCGGTCTAGTTTGCTTTACCGACACGCCATCTTCAGATTTAAAAAGTACGAGTCAATGACCCATAAACTTCGTAGAATCAATAAATCAATCTGTATCATTGTGTCAAACACGTAATCAGGGAGGAAATCCGCATTTCTATCGAGTTCCTACTGTTTTTCAACAGACGGTCATGATGGGTTCAAGCATGCTAACTCATGTACTCCGGCTTCTATTAGTCTTGGTCGTCACAGCTACAGCAGGTATGGTCGATTGACAGTACGTTGCCCTTAATATAATTGGACTTGGCCTTAACTTTCCCAATCGTTTTAGCCGAATGCAACGGAGGTTCTTTATAATACTAAGTTACACTTAGTCAAGCTCCTTCAAGTTTCTTCTAACAAAGAGCTTTTCTAGAATATACCTAGATACTAATATCCAAGATATTATAAAGCATATTAGGCATTAAGCCATTAATTGCATTAACAGTATAGATAACGAGGTGGAGAGCAAATGAGTTTTGGGGGGATCCAGGAGAATGACAATGTGTGAAGAAGAAGATACAAAAACCGTCATTATGGAAGAATAATGAACTAGTAGAGACTGAATCCGATAAAAGTAACGATGCTCTTGTGATAATTTCGGCATTAATTTCAGTTCTCCTATACCCTTGAAGTTCTTATACATGCGTTTATCTAATATTTTCGCTATTTACTGATCCACCACGAATCCATCCCTGTGCGGACGCATCTTGATAGGCTGAACCAACGGCGGCCGGATCGTCTGTGCATCAGCAACAAGATTCATGCCGAGCCCAGGACCAGAAGGGATGTCAACGAAGCCATCCTTGGGTAGGGGCACATAGTCCACGATATCACTGCCCAGATGGGTCGACTGGCTCGTGAACACGCCAGCCTCGAAGCCCGTAGCATACTCCTGGATGGCAAAGTTGGGGATGGCGGCAGCCACCTGCAAGCACGCCGCCAAGCCGATGGGCGAGAGCGGGTTATGGGGGACAACCTGCACGTGGTGCGCCTCAGCCATGGCGGCGACCTTCTTGGCGCCGGTGATGCCTCCGCAGACGGCCACGTCGACGCGGGCGTACTCGACGGCGTTGCGGGACAGGAGGGCCTGGAACTCGTAGATGGTGCAGAAGCGCTCGCCGGTCCCCACGGGCACGTTGATCCGGTCGGCGACTCTGGCCATGGCGTCGGCGTTCTCGGGGCGGATCGGGTCCTCGACCAGCATGGGGACTGTGTCCTGGATGCCGTTGCAGAAGGTGATGGCCTCGGCCGGCGTCAGGCGGCGGTGCAGCTCGATCAGGAGATCGACCTTATCCCCGACGACGGCGCGCATCTTGCGCACGTTTTCGATGGCGTCCTGCATCTTCTGTATGTGCGTCTTGAAGTAGACCTGGTCGGTGCCCTCGTCCAGGAAGGGGTTGATATGGCCAAAGGCCGTGAAGCCCATGTCCATCTTGCGCTTGCACTCCGCGAGGACGCCCTCGATCGTCTTCTCGTAGATGTGGCCGTAGATTCGCGCCTTGGTGCGGCAGGCTCCGCCGAGGAGCTCGTAGATGGGGACGCCGAGGGCTTTGCCCTTGATGTCCCAGAGGGCAATGTCAATCGAGGAGATTGCGGCGTTGATGGCCAGTCCCTGGAAGTAGCTGAAGCGGTGCATCACGTTCCAGTGGTGCTCAATGTCAAAGGCTCGCTTGCCCTCGAGGTACTCGGCAAACCGCTTGATGCAGGTTCCGGCGGCCTCGATGTGGCCCCAGATGCCAGCCTCGCCGTATCCCACGACGCCCGTCTGCGTGGTGATGCGGCAGAACATGAACTGGCCGATGTGTAACGGCTCGACCGTCTTGATGATGTGCTCCGTTGCCATCTTGAACAGCGCCGGCTGTTAGCCTAGATTGGATCCTTTCTGAGTGAGGGCTGTACTTGAATACCTTTGCGTCGAATACTTGTGCTATCCAGACGGATCTTGTTATGAGAAAGAAGGTTTAAACAATCTCGAGTAGTAGTGAAAGACAAGGATGGCCGACTTCCAAAGCTCATGGTTGCAACGTGCTTCATGTTTTATGATTGAGCCATGGCATTGACCACGCCGATATCGCATTCTCGGCCAGGCGAGCTGCCTTGTCGTTCCTCGATCGAGCATCAAAATGGATCACTACGGACGGGCGTGGCCAGTCCCCGGCTCTGGCTCCGGCTATAACATGCGATGCGAGGGAAAGCGTGGAATCAGCAGGAGAGAGCTTTTCCGGTGTGGGACCAATGCTTATAGCCGTGCCTCGTACTATGCCGTAGCCTTGGCTTGAGACTCGGGAAAAGAGAGGCAACGCCGCTTGTCTTTTCCGTATGTTAGATCGCTAATAACAAATTGCTTGGTTGTTTGTTTTGTAGATTAGTGAATGAGTTCAATAAACCCAGGTTCCTGTTTCCATTCAGACACTGTCAAAGTGACTGATGCAAGCACATCTAGAACCTCTGACGTTGAATTTCAACACAATATCAAGACAATTAACCAATCATAAATACAAAATCGAGCCAAATATTTCAGAATGATCTATAATTGACTTCTGATTGTGTATAGTATTATTATGAAGAAATGAGGTCCCCGACTTGGGTGAAAAGAGCTTTGTTGTGCTATGTTTTATGTCAGTCGCTTGACTGTGGAGGATCTCGGTCCTATTACAATTAAGAAGGTATAGATCATGTTATACTGCTAAATTAGCACCAGCTAAGTTTTCCTTCTCGTCAACTCCCCAGGTATGGAATGTCAGTATAGATGAGGTCCATATCTGGAATCATGTCACCCAAGTCCAAAGCCTGCCGGGTCATTAGCCTGGTTAAAATGCTCCCGTCTATACAAGTCACCAGAAAAAGAAAGAAATGAAGTACTTACAAGGTAGTCCAGCTGCTCCCAGTTAGGAATGTCGGAATATTCTGCTACAGGATCTTGCTGGGAGCTCATGTTCGCGACTCCATTGCCAGACATAGGTCCAGTGAATGTGCCAGAATGGCGAGGGAAACCCACTGCGGCTGGGGAATCCTGGGCCAACTTCTGCGTCACCTCGGCTCGATACTCCTCCATGATCATCATTAAGCGCCGAGCCAGAGACGTTTCATTGTTTATGCCGGCAAGGAGGTCCTGGCAGCGCTCGGCGGCCCGAAAGTACTTCCCCCAAGTGGCAGCGTCCTCGCGTGTGCTCTTCAAGGTGAATGTATACAGGACAACCGCGGCACAGAAGGCTTGGTACTGGGCAACCCACGATGCTGCGTACAGCTGATCAGCCTCGGCCATGCGCTCAACTACTCTCACAATTTCCATCGCGGCACGCAGGCAGATCTGTACGTTAGAGACGGTGGAGTCTGTGGATTCCTCAGAGATATGATGATGCCGTGTGTAGTCAGAGAAGAGGCAAGGTCGGTAGATGAGGATTTCGGCATGGCCAGCTGCCAAACTCAGTATGTTACTCTGCCTTTGAAATAGCGGCTTCAAAAGTCTCGAGTCCACTCTCTCTGCGTTCAGAAAGGCTGGCAGGCTCTGCCTCCACGCATCCACATCCGCACCTAGTTCCTTCATGATCCGGTAACGACGCTCTTGTGACAGCGGGGCCAGACCATAGAGAGAAGAAAGAACTTTACTTAAAATGCGACCCAGCTTCTGATTATGGATTGTGCCCAGCATGACGTGCATGTTGTCGTTATCGGCGACAACTATGGAGGTCGAGGATAGATCCTGGTCGTCGACGACATTTGGCAGGTCTTGGTCAATGTCGCAGTCATGAAGCGCACACGGCCGCCCCAAGATGGTGCTCAGCGTCTTATCCAGGTTATAAGCGCACCAGAACAGACGCTTCCGGGACTCATATTCAAGGTGGTCTACCTGCGCGCCTGGTCCCTGACCAAGCTTGAGGTCCCGGCGATGGAACCCGAGGGCGAGCATAAGCCTCGAAGTTGTCCCAAACAAGCTCCAGCAGTGGTTCAGTCGTGAGCGTGTCAGCACGTAGAAGCAGCAGCCCAGGAGAGCCTGCGCGCTGAAGAGGCTGGCTGGTTCCGTCTCAAGGGCGAGTTGATGTTCTGCCGCTTGGAAATACGCGAGTCTGCGAAGATGTGATAAACATGTTAGCTAAAGGAGCTTCAAAGAAACAAATCAAGATAGTTTACACCAACCCTAGGTTAGGACCTGCTGCGACATGTGAGTCCGGGTATCTTGAAGCTTGGGCAAACATGCTCAGCACAACGGCAAATTTGCTTTGCCAGTGCGCGCCGAGAATTTGCCCATGCTCATATATCTGGCTGACCCAGAGCTCTACTGTTGGTCTGTGTAAGAATCTGTATCCGGCCGAGGAGAGTTCGAAGTAGATCGACACGAGGGCATCTGCCTCCTGACGCGTTGGCAGGGTAAAGGCAGCGCTGTTGAACCTGGGCAGAGCAGGGTCACCAAGAGTGAAGAGGGAAGTTGGAGAGGCACTGTTGTTGTCTCCCTTTAGGCGGCGTTGAAGTCGTAAGAGGAAGCTGAGACCAGAGGATTCATTCAAGAAGTGGCCTTGCCTATCACTTGCGCCTATCTCGGGAGATGCAAACAGGGATGGAATGGGTTGATCGGACAAACCAGACTCATTAACATCAATACCATGACTATTGTCGTCGGGGATGCTTTCCGGCAATGAACCGTCCAAAGATGCGGATGTCCCCGTCCTATCTGAAGAAGCAGCTCCAGTCAAAGGCCTAATGGCAGCTGCGGCAGATGTGGTCCTTCGCTTGCCCCGGCTATAGGGCGCATTAAAGGTACAGGTCAGCGAGTCTTTCGTGCAAAGATCACATGGCTGCGTCCCACTACATCGGATCTTCTTCCTATATCGTTGTCAGTCCTCCTACTTCTACCAGAAGCCGTGACAGCCCCTATTTCTGATCCGGAGAAACTAACTTTTTACAGAAGTCGCAAGCCCTGCTGACACGCACGCGCTCTTTGTGCCGAGCCATGGAGCACAGAGTGACTGGTTGAAGTCAGTCTGGTGCCAAACCCCATCTGCTCTATAATGCTGTTCCAGTCGAGGTGGAAACGGTGCTTCGGCGGTCAGGCTGTCACTGACACTCACCGTTTAATCGAGATTGACGAATGTACGGGTATGTGCTGCGAGATCTGAGATTCCGGGGTTGAACGGGGAAAATCTGGGGAAGTCCGAGTCATGGAGGCGGATGTTATAGCCGAGCTGCTGTGTTATAGCCGACGCGGGGCAACGCCAGCCTCACGCGAAAGAGATCTTCAAGCTCTTGGCCCAATAGTAGCTTTAGTTTTTGCTTAAGAAAAGAAAGACTGGTATTTCATCTAAATTACGTGCTCTACTGCGCTACTGGCAGCCAAACTTTGCTCAGTTGCTCGCTCTTAATCTCTCGTCGTCCCGGACGAACTTCTCCGCCATTTCCATCCCGGGCTGTTGACGTTGATATAGATATTTCTTCATATATAATCTCAATCAGTTCGCGGTAGCTCGCCGTCAACGTGCATCTTGAGTTCACCGTTTGAAGCCCGAACAGCATCTTCAAAACTATCCCATCCATCGTTAGTCATTCTATGAGACGCTATATGGGGTGTGTAGATAGCATAACTCACCATGATTGGAACATGACATACTCCATCTCATCCGTAGGGACGCGATGTGTGAACTGGGCCGCCTCGTGGCTGACCTTAATGGTGGGGGTCCCACGACCAGCCGCGGCAGCATCCGCGAGCAACTGAGCCTGGATGCAGCGGTCCATGGCGCCAAACAGGAACGTAGCGGCGTCCACCGTCTTCGCAACCGTCAGGATGCCGTGGCTAGAGAGAATGACGGCTTTGTTGTTACCCAAAGCCTTGGCGATCCGCTGACCTTCCTCGTGAGCCAGTACGGCACCGCCAAAGCTCTCGTAGATGCTGTGATCCTCGTAGAAGCGGCACGCATCCTGGTTGATGGGCTCGAGGGTGCAACCGAGGGCAGAGAAGGCCTTGGTCGGGACAGAGTGGCAATGGCAGGCGGCCACGACATCGGGGCGAGCCTTGTGGACTGCGACGTGGATGGAGAACCCGGCCGGGTTGATGGCGTGCATGTTCCCGGGCTCGACCACCTCGCCCAGCTCGTTCACGAGGCAGAGATCCTCGGGCCTCATGTGGGTGAAGGAGACTCCGTGGGGGTTGATCCAGAAGTGGTCAGGTAGGATCGGATCGCGGACAGTGACATGGCCACCGGCGCCCTCGTTGTTGTAGCCATTCAACCCCAACCAGCGCAGGGCGGCAGCGTGGTGTAGCTTGCGCCACTCACGCTCAGCCTCTGGCGAAGCGAACTTGGGGATGCGTATCTGCTTCACTGGCTTGCTCTGGTGGCCTGACAAGGGGTATCCTCCGTAGGTGAAGACATCGAGAGGGCGGTCTTGGCCATTGCGCATCAAAGCCTGAGCACGCTCCTGGCCCGTCAAGGGCTTGGACGGTTTGGCGGTAGCCGAAGCAGTGCCGGCTGCGATGGGAGCGGGAGCTACAGCAGAGGGAGACATGATATGACTCTTTGTGTATTTAATCGGGCAAGGCGGGTTGTTGTGGTGTTGACTTCTTCTAGTTGAATTACTGATAGTAAGAAGTTGGTTTCCAGTAACTTAGGTTCTTATAGCTTCTTTCGCCTAGGAAGACCACACGTGAACACGCCACCGTTCACTCACTCTCGGTCGATACGTTGTGTTTGTTACCCGAGCACTCTTCCAATAATCAGCCCACTACATCTCAAATATCACACCGAACACAAAACCTGCTTTGATGGGTGCCGGCTACACTTTCGCATTTGCACGTTGTGTTCGCACGGTGCGTATCCGGAGCGGAAGCTATAGCCGGGAGTGCTGATGTTATAGCCGGAAATGCTCTTGAGCGCGGAGTTGCAATTGCCATCCAAGGACGTCTCTTTTCTTACCATGAAAGACGTGGAGCTTGAGCTTGCTAAGAAGATTTTTTCTCTTTTTTTTTCCCGAATCAATCGAGATCACCACTAGTTCTATGTTTGGACGCCAGAGCTAAAGTGGCTGAATACAAAAATGTGATGGTGTGGATTATGCACAACCGTAAAGGCATGTCAGTTACTAGCTAGATCAAAGGAAAGAATTTTAGCATTGCTTTGATGTTGCAGGTTCCCGCTATGCTAAGAGTTAGAATATGAATCATGATGCCATCTCGCTTTAGGGTATCCGAAACGGCTATTGAGATTGTCGCATCTGTAATCCACCCTGACTTGTCTTTAGAGATTACAGACGGGTCTTTCTGGTCCCTATCTGATGTTTTCTAGTTGCCCCATTAATTGCAATATGCAGATTGTTATATTTAAACTAATCAATCGAGATGGTTTCATCTTTTGCAACGGCTATAAGAAGATAGCTCGTGCTTTCACACCTTTTCAGGCAGAAAATATCTGTACTTTTGCATATCTAACATAAGAAGGAAAAGCTACTATATTCCATTGTTCTTATAAACTTCATAGGATATGAGGAACGTATGATGCTAATCTCGTGTTAGATTTTCTCTATATACTTCTCGGCTTACAGAAAACGATTACTTTATTTAAAAGCAAAAAGTTGAAGGAGCGATCCTATAGAGTCGTTCAGTTAAATTCTATGATCTTGGGCAGTCCGAGTAACACGAGCCACGAGGTTTAGTGATAGACGAGGTGGAAAAACTAGTATCGACCCGTCCAGCATCCAATGTCAAGCTATCCCAAACTCGGTCCAGCAGCCGCCCAGGAACATAAATAATGTATTGTTAATCATAGGGAAGAACATAATCGCTAAAGAAGAAAAGCCCCATTGGTCGTTTTCTCCATGTTTGTGTAATATGGTTGGAAATGCAACCAGCCTCGTTGTCTGGCCCCCAGAATCCTAGATGACTCCTCGGCAGTCTTCTCGTCGATTGGGCGAGGAGTGCCATTTGCCGCTGCCGCCGCGTCGATCAACAGCTGAGCCTGGCAGCACCGGTCAAAGGCCGTGAACCAATAGCAGGCCTCATCAATGCTGGTTCCGATGGATAATAAGCCATGGTTTCGGAGGATAACCATGTTGGTATCTTGGTGGATGACTGCGGCAATGGCTTTGCCCTCGTCCGTGTTCAAGACGGGACCATGGTACTCATGGAGTATGCTTTGTCGCTTGTAGAACTTGAGTGCATCCTGCATCAGGGGAGCAACGGGTTTGCCGAACACACTGAAGGCTTTGCCGGCGGTAGAGTGGGCATGGCAGACTGCGTTCACCCAGGGATGCGCTTGATGAATCTCTGAGTGAATTGCGAACCCGGCCGCGTTGACGGAGTGGATGCCATCAATGACCCCGGCCTCCTCTGTGACCCGGACGAGATCCGAGACAGTGATGTCGGCAAAGTGCATAGAGTATCTTGAGACAGAACATCAGGATATGTTTGCTTACTCATGTAAAGGAGGCTGGGTACTTACGGGTTGATCCAAAAGGTATTGGGCTCGACGGGATCACGGAGCGACATGTGGCCGCTTAGGCCCTCGTCAAACCCGTTGGCAGCAAACACACGGAACGCACACGCGAGGTGCTCTTTGGCATATTGGCGTTCCTCCTCCTTTGTATTGAAGTCGGGAATCTTGGGGATCGTGCTCTTGCCACTCTTTGATCCCACAGCAAAGTTGAGGAGGTCGGCGCCCTTCTTGTGGAAAATGCTGGTATGCTCCAATGTACTGGCTGATTCCTCAGGGTGAGGTGTGGGAATTGCAGTGGGAGCCATTGTAGATTGCGAGCGACTAGGACTTTCTCCAATATGTGCGAGTGCAGCGTTTTGCAGTTCCCGCTGGACTTTGTCTGTAAACCTTAGGGAGGATAACGTGGCTTTGACAGATTCTACGCGAGACGGTGGGCTTAAATGCTAGTCATCCCGTTTCCTTGCCTGAAGTAAAGGCTAGATGGCCCAATTGTGTGCCTCTACTCTGGTGGCGAGACGGGATCAACTTCGGGACCAGCTGTGCGAGCCTAGTGAGTGTTGTTTTCCGAAGTAACCGGATGTTACCAAAGCCCGGCTGCCGTCTCGAGAGTCATAGTGTAGGTGTCCTGGTAGCTCGAATGACACTAACAGCCCTGTCTCATGTACACTAACAGCTGAGGTATCCGGCTTGTTAGACCTTATTGCTAAAGGACCGTGATAGCCGTAGCCATTGTGTATTCGGGGAGAACTCGACAGCATTACGCCTAGCTGTTTGAAATAGCCGCTCTCTATACCGAAATTAGATAGCCACAACCTAGACAAATTACGTAGTACCCTTTAGATCTTTCCCCAGAAACTGCAATCGATCGACATGTTCGGATGTATGACCCCGGACTTCATTCCTTCCCCCCTATACGGATATGCAACCATCTACACCTCTACTCGCCAATCCTGGGGTGTCTATTACTGATCATGCTCCACCTTGTAGCTCCCTTTGCGATTCAGAGCCTGTCCTACCTGCATTCTATAGCCGAAATCGAGGACGTAGCAGATGCCTGAGGGCTGTTCTTGGCTCATATCTCGAGTTGTGTCGCTAAGAATAAATACTGGCATTGTGCCAAGTTGCTCTGATGGTCTTGTTGGCCTCTCTATCTCGAAGCAGCAGTTTCCACGCCATACCTAGCCTATCGTCTTTTCCTCATAATCTTCATATCGTCCGTTTGATCATCCTACCACAATGGCTGACAAAAAGTCAGAGTTCATTGCTCTAGAAGAGATAGAGAAGACTGGCGTCGAAAATGTCAATATCGGGGTGAGAACGACTTATCCGCCTGATTTGACGGAAGAAGAGATCAACTTCTTCGAAGGTTTTACAGAGGAACAAAAAAAGAAGGTCATTTGGAAGGTTTGCGAGAGTCTTAGCTCCCAGCATTTGGACCGTCGCTCATATGGTTAGATCGACGTCCGCCTCGTACCCATGTTGGGGCTTTTATATCTCTTGGCAAATATTGATCGTGCCAATATTGGTGAGGGTTTCGATGTCATCTCACTATGATAGCACTAATGTCAGCTATAGGAAATGCGAAAATCGAAGGTCTCACTGATGATCTCGGATTAAGCAGCAACCAATATAATATCTGCCTTTCTATCTTCTTCATTCCTTACTGCCTTCTTGGTACGTACAGACTAATCTGACCTTTTTCTCACCATGGTTAAGCTGACTCGATCACAGAGGTGCCATCCAACATTGCGCTCAAGTGGTTCAAGAAGCCTTCTACCTACATCGCCATTCTCGCCGTTTCTTGGAGTGTTGTCTTAACCTTGACTGGAATCGTACAGAGCTATGGCGGGCTTATTGCTGCGAGGTTCTTCCTCGGTGTCACAGAAGCCGGCTTCTTCCCTGGAGCATTGTATATCATCTCAACCTGGTACGACCGCAATGAAATGGGCACTCGATATTCCATCTTCTATATGGCTGCAGCTCTTGCGGGAGCATTCTCAGGTCTTTTGGCCTATGTGATCGTAAAGATGGATGGCGTTGCTGGTGAGTCTAACAACGAAAGGTGTAGACGTTATGCTAATCAGAATAGGCGTTGCGGGTTGGCGTTGGATCTTCATTATTGAAGGTCTGGCTTCCATCGCTGTCGGCCTGGCGACCCCTTTTCTCCTTCTGGATACCCCGGAAAATTCCAAGATCCTTACAGACGACGAGAGGCGATATCTCATCCTCCGCAAGATCATCCAGGATGGCGGCCGCGAGATTCAATCAAAGGGGAAAAAGACCTCGTGGCCTGTCCTGCGCTCCGTCATACTTGATTGGAAGTTGTACCTCGCCGCCATCATCTATTGGACCAACACCGGCACCAACTACGGCGTCAAATTCACGATGCCTCAGATTATCAAGAATATGGGCTATTCTTCAGCCAACGCGCAGCTCCTTACGGTGCCTCCATACGTCCTGGGCTGCATCTCCTCATATATTGCATCCCGCTTCTCCGACCGTACAACCTGGCGCATGCCCTTCATCGTGGTCTCCCAGCTGGTTGTTCTCACCGGCTTCGCCATGCTATTCGGGTTCGCTCCTAACCTCAATAACCGGATCGCCGAGTCTTACACAGCCATCTTCATCTGCTGTGTTGGCTTCTATCCCATCACGCCCAACGTGGCGGCGTGGATGTCCAACAACCTCGCCGGCCCGGCCAAACGCGCGTCCGGGATTGGCTTCATGCTGACCATGGCCAATACAGCCGGGATCATCGGCAGCTTCATGTACAAGGACGAGGAGAAGCCTCGCTATCCCACGGGATATGGGACATCGCTGGGCCTGACCGTTGCCGGCATTGTGGCCGCCTTGCTTCTCGAGTTTGGGCTCTGGCGCTGTAACAAGCGCGATGGCAAGATGAGCGAGGAGGAGGTCCGGGCAATGTACACGGACCAGGAGCTTGCTGACATGGGAGACAACAGCCCATTATTCAAGTATACTTTGTGAGCAAGCTGAACTAATTCGAAAGAGATGAAAGCCTCATATGTTGCCTGATTCTCGTATGGGCAGGTCTATGCAGGCCCGTTGTCTGTAAACAGTTGCCTGTGAAAACACGCGAATTCTATAGAAATAAACTGGTCTGAAACCAATATGGCACTGATCTATGCTGTTGAGTTGATTGATGGTAAGATGGCAGTCCAAAGCGCCGATCAAGTCCCGTGTGACACACTCTAATATGTTGGATGTACAGTGATGTTATTTTTTCTAATAGTTTATCCCATACAGAGGACATTGGGAGATTCTGAAAGGATCTTCTTAAATCCTATTTCTGGACCTATAATATTTTTGGGTCTCTTTGTTTGATTTGCGTACTTCCTCAATTCTCTGTAGCCGATTTCATCCTATCGACTCAGGGATATAATACCCAAGCGCACACTTGCGCAGATAGAACCCAAAAATAGAATATTTTCGATCACCTCTTTGACAATCTCCCCGCAGTGAGTAATTTGCATCGTTGATTAATTTTTCAGTCCAAAATGATCTCAATTTGAGAGAATAATGTGGTTGTAGTTATAACGAGGTCCAATAAGTGAGAACGTTGGCGAACGGTTGGGTCTTACGTTGAAAGATGGAATTGCGGGCACATTGCGGCTCTTCGATGCAATTCTGGCGCCCATCCATATTTTATTTAATATAGAATCCAATATCCAATATATTTTGACTACTATTTCAAAGAATTTAACATCAATTCGCCTTTTTCACGGGATCTTCCCTGGTTGACGGTCACGAAAAGGTGCTTAGGTAATCATGGTTCCAATGCAGATCTACAATCTTATCTCGATTCTCCACAACGAAATTTCTCCTCTAAACTTCTTCTCTCAGAGCACCCGCCAACAGGTCTTTCCAACTAATTGCCCCAAGTTATCAACATGGGTGTCGCCAAGAGAACAAGAAAGTTCGCACAGGTACATTCCAACAGACATGTCTCAAGACGGGGACAGTACTGACTGGTCAGGTTTAGACAAAGCGCGTGATCGGTCGTCGCGATGATCGACTCCGAGCGAAGACGACGCCCACCCAAACGAAGCCAACGAAGCCGAACGGAGATGACACTGTGCGACACGTTCCGCGTCCCGTCGCACCTCTTCTTCAACTCCAATGAAGCCCTCCGACCGCCTTACAATATTATCCTAGACACCAATTTCTTCGTGAATTCCGTTCGCCATCGCATCGATATATCGAGCGCCTTGATGGATCTACTTCTGGCGAAGTGCACACCGGTTGTGACAGACTGCGTCATCGCGGAGCTAGAAAAGCTTTCTACAAAGAATCGCCTTGCCCTACGAGTAGCAAAAGACCCTCGCTTCAAGCGACTTGCGTGCTCCCACTCTGGGACATATGCCGACGATTGTATCATGTCCATCTTATCTGAACACCGGATCTATCTCGTCGGAACTGGAGACGCTGATCTCAAGAGGCGGTTGAGGCGCCTTCCTGGTGTGCCGCTTGTAGCAGTAGGGAGGGGCAAGTACTACGTCGAGAGATTGCCCGAGGCCGTAGCCTAGCTGGGACGTACATGACAGCGAGAATGGACAATCAATTTTGGGGAGGGAAACCCCGTCTCATGATCTTGAAAGACCAGCCAGCCGCATACCGAACAGCTTCCCAATCTACAAGCTGGGTGGACATCAGCACTGTTGTGGGGATCAGAATAGAGTGGAAAACTCGTCGGAGAGCTCACCTCCTGCTAGTTCAGGAGCCTACTCTGGAGTGAGCAAATGCGACACGATGCATTACTACTCGACTTCGTTACTTATAGGGCATTTAGCCTAGCGGCAGTGGGCAGCCAACGCGAGAGAGGAGGGCATTCGTTACTGCCTTGGTAGGGATAACACCAAAGTGCATCCTAGAGACTTGAGGAATTGAGCGGTTAGAGGGAGAACGAGACGACGACACAGGCGAGAAGGTCCCAAGAGGAAGGACCCAAAACAAACTTGAATGGGTGCGCGTTCATTCAACGGATCCTCGGAATCACCATGTAATAGTCATCACACTTGGCATGCTAAATATCAATGAATATGGAACTCTTCATCGTGCCGCAATGGGTCGTCTGGCGGAAGATAGAGGGTCAGATCCGCAGTGATATCTCGCCATAACACCAGATAACTGGGTCAGCTTCTTAGTTCGACTGTTGTAACCGCTAATTACGAAGTCCGAGTCGCTGGCTGGTGCTGAAAGTTGCAGGGTCCCAAGAGCTCTGAAAGTGACACGTTCACGTATAATACCATGTTGCCGGCACATATGTCCATACTACCTTCCAAAGTCCCTGTGCAGTGATGTTATTGCCTAGTCGAATGAAAGTGTGCCAAGTATCAAGGAGGTCAACTTTGTATACTTCGTCTGAATGGTTGTTAAGCGTGTGCTGGAAAGTGATTGATTTGAGGTAAGAGCTGAGAGTGCCACACAGGGAGACGTCACGAAATGCGTCTTGCCCCAGCCACTCATGGACAGAACTACTCGGATGAGTCAGGCGCCAAATTAAGCGCTTGTTAGTTATTAGTACTTGGCTTCAAGTCTTGCATACCTAGCCAACATAAAGGTGGAGGATATTTTTCAGCCGGCATGGCTATTTTTAGAGGCATTGAAGATGCCCCTCCTCGATTTAAGGCTACCATTTCTGCCCCTCCCAAGACCAGCCCTCCTCTTGCTACTACTCCTTGCGCTACTATATACCCTGTCTACCCACCTACACAAAGAAGGCAGGCCAGTCAGGATTACAACACATTTCCCGAAACTAACCTCTACCGCTTCAGGAAGTAAGTCTATTATCATTACCCTTTGAAAGACTTCATCGGTCGGGCGGGACTAACCGAAGACTAACATAATGCGGAAATTGAAGACTACCTTTACTTCCTCAAGATGGAGTACCCGCCGTATTATCACGACAACGACGTGGGCCCCTTCTCAAGCGTCACTTACTCGCTAACCCCTGATGGCCCTGGCCTGCATGAGCTTGATTTGAAGTTGCGTGATCGCGACGTGGTCCTCATGATCGAGGGTGACGATGAGGATAAAACCGTGCGCATATTACACCTGTACAATGTGCGCGAGGACACGCTCGCCGAGGCCAAAACAGCCGTCGATGGCCTCCTGGGCCAGGTGAAGCCGCTGGGCGGCGGCGACAACACTGGACATACCGTGTTTAGGATGTTCGACAAGGTCTTCTACGAAATAAATAGTCCAGTCGCCTGCCTTCTGGAAGATGCCGACGATTTGGAGTCGAAATTGGAAGCAATCGACGAAGACGATTCGGTTCATCCCAAGAGAGCAGCAGACACGACCTCTGAGCTCTTCAACCCAGTCGCCGAGCTCCAAGCGGCCTGTAGGGACTTCATTGACCGAGTGAAACCAATATATTCCAAGGTGGAAATGTATAGCGAGGAAAGCTGCCCCAATAGAAGGGCTACGATCCTAATCAGGGTAGCTGAATCAGTTCACATAGATCTTCTTATCTATGCTCATGAACAGAGCGCGAAAGGTGGTCTAGTCTTTGCTTGGGATAGAGGCGAGTACCCCGAGCAAAGGACGCTCATGAGACAGCCGAGATACTATATGCATTTCGAGGGCCAGCATTTCGATCACATACTCCAAGATTATCCCGCGAACCCGAATAATCCCCGCGGGGAATAGTCCGATTAGGCCCTTAGACTTTGCTTGAGCAGGTATCTCACCGGGCGAAATACGAATATCAAAGCACAGAAGCGAGATATTTCTCCCAATAGAATTTATGATGCTCCCAGTGAAGAAGTCTCTTGTTGGAGAAAGTTGGTTTCTAGTCATGATCTAGGTATCTTGTATATTCTCTGTCTGGCCCAGCTCCGGGCCCGAGATGTGTGTTCCTCACTGTTCAACCGCGTAATTATTTAGCCCCCCTGCAATATGCGTGATCATTCTTGAGCATTCATACAATGATGGAGAAGTTTAAAGCACAACATGTTTTTTCAAGGTAGCTAGGCTTCATTCTCATGACTTCGTTTATGAGGCCTTTGTTTCCGGACTCTTTCGTGGTTACTCATCCACATAACGTCATTCATCTCATGCCTAAATTCCGTCCCTTCCGCCCCAGCGGCATGATTCTTAATATGATCCTGGGCTCTTGCTCTGTGATAAGAGGATTAATTTCAAAGTCTGTTATAAGTGAATTGTCTTCGGGTGACTTACATGCCGTCTGCCATCTGCTGTACAGTAATAGGCCTCGGATGGGGTCCAAATATCCCTTGTTCCTTATCTTGCCTCTCAAGCTCTGCTTCTGTTTTGGGCCAAATGTCATGCTTCTCAGTCCATCCCACTACAAACAGCGGATAATTAGACTAATGCCACAATAGAAAGTTGAACATGGTACTTACGCTCTCCCTGTGGTGGTGTCGGTTTGTTAAGCCCAAATATTCTCTTTTCCTCCCTCTCGCCTGGCCGTCCTTCTCGCTTCTTTGCCGGTATTTTCATTTCTGGAATAGGATCTGGTGGTTTTTTCCCATCCTTCTTCGCTTGCTCCACTTGAGCCTTGTAGTGACTTTGCTTCTGTATATCTGATGGATCTTGGTTCTTGCTAACAGCCCAAGAATAGCTTCCAGAATGTGTGTCATACTTGTCATGTCTTTTTTCATCGCCGTCTCCCATCTTGATGGTGATATATTTTGCACCTGCCGGGATAGGCTCATGTACGTTCGGCCAAGCAGCAAGGTACATGGCGTGTTGCCCAGGATCAACGTAATTTTTGACATTATTTGGCCGGTCTTTTATGTCCTTCAAAGGGACCTTGGGATCATCAGTGTTTATCAACTTGCCATCATTTGGTGGGCGGGGTGATGGGCCATAGCTGCATGCTTTCAGGCCCCGACATTTCAATGCAGGGCGAACCTTAGACGATGCGGGTTCAGGGGTATTGGGGCTTGGTTTGTGAATGTCAACCTTGGGATGGCCAGGCTTTTCCTTCGCATTATCCTTGATTTCATGTCCAGCCTTGGCTTTGGATGCAGGGTTGCCTTTGTGACTGGATTTCTCTTTGGTGGTTGCTTTGGAGTTGGCTGTAGGACTAGCCTTTCCTTTGTGGCGTGATCTCCGCCCCGAAGTGGCTTTTCCCTTGCGGTTAGGTTTTGTCTTGGAAACGGCCTTTCCTCTGCTATTAGACTTCCGCTGAGCAGCAGCCTTAGCTTTTTTACCGGCCTTTGCTTTGTTGATGGGCTTTCCCTTCGCAGCACCTTTGGCTTTTGGAATCGCCTTGCCTTTTCCTTTGCCTTTCGCTTTAGAAGGAGCTTTTCCTTTGTGACTGGAATTTCCCTTGGTAGCGGCTTTCCCCTTGTGACTTGACTTGGCGTTAGAAGCCCCTTTGCTCTTTGGCGGAGAGCTACTCTTGTTTGAGGCCTTCTTCTTAGAAGCAGGCTTGCTAGATGCGCTGTTGCTCTTAGGGATAGCCTTGGCCTTGGCACGATTCCTTCTTGCAGAGGTAGCTTTCCCCACGGGACTAACTCGACCCTTGGATACAACTCTGCTGTGAGTCTTCGCCAGCGGTCTCGGTCCGCCATTGGTAGGTTTCTTTCCCTTAGCCCGGGCGGTATTAGGAGTATCCTTTCTTCCACCCGCTCTCTTTGGGTTCGACTTTTTGCCAGCCTTGTTGGAAGCTATCTTCGGGGCTGCCTTCGGCGTGGCCTTCTTAGCTGATGATTTCTTAGAAGCAGCCTTTGCTGAAGTGGCCTTTTTAGTTGCTGGTTTCAGTGTGGCCTTCTTTAGAGCCGGTTTCTTGCTGTCAACTCTTTTGGGTGTGGCTTTCTGTGGTGCTAGTTTCTTAGGAGTGGCCTTCTTAGGTGCCGGTTTTCGTGTGGGCTTCTTTTGTGCCGGCTTCTTGGCTGCTGTCTTGATGTTTTTAGATACCGGTTTCTTAAGTGCTGGCTTCTTCGCTGACGGTTTGATATTCTTGGCTGCTGGCTTCTTCGGTGCTGGTTTCTTAGGTATTGAGTTTTTGGGTGCTGTCTTCTTTGCTGCTAGTCTCTTAGGTACTGGTTTGATATTCTTGGCCGTTGGTTTCTTATTTGCCGGTTTGATGTTCTTGGCTGCTGGTTTCTTGGGTGTCGGCTTCTTGGGTGTTGGCTTCTTGGCTGCCGGTTTCTTGGCTGGCGACTTGATGTTCTTGGGTGCTGGTTTCTTGAGTGCTAATTTCTTGGGGGTTGGCTTCTTCGGTGCTGGCTTCTTGGGTACTGGCTTCTTAGCTGCCGGTTTGATGTTCTTAGGTACTGGTTTCTTGGGTGGTGCTAGCTTCTTAGCTGCCGACTTGATGTTCTTGGGTGCCGGCTTGATATTCTTTGGTGCTGGCTTCTTGGGTGCTGGTTTCGGGGTGGCCTTCTTGGGAACTACTTTTCTTTTGAAAAGTATATCGTGCTCAGGGGGAATTTTGCTCTTGCTGTTAGAATATGACTTCTCTCCAAACTTGTTTTCGCCCCCCACCAAACCCTGTACATTATTTAATTAGTATCATTTTGGCTTTCACCGTGTAGCAAACTGACTAGACTGACCATATCATATGCGGTATAATCACTTGTTGGGTGTCCAAGGCTTGCTGACTGCTTGGAAAAGGCTACTTTCGCTTTCTCCCGTTCTGCGTTTCTGAGAAGATCGGAAACCGTCGCGGTCTCGGTTCCAATATCTCTGCCTGCTTCGACCCTCAGGGCCAAACAAAAGATGATAGGAACAGCATTGTAGAGTAGCATGGTTAACGACGTCGGCCAGCCATTCAAGGCGGAGGAAATAAACTGGAACCGATGCTCAAATAGGCACACAATTTTCCAAGCTCTTAATTAAGATCAGAGAGCTATCTAAGGTAAGAGAGTTCCGGAGCCTGACATCATTTCTTAGAACCCAAAGCCTCTTTATCATTCCCGGTGTTCATCGCACTACGCTTTACTTCAGCCCTGTTGCCCCTGTAATCCTTATATTTCTCCACTTCGGACAAGGTAATAATAGTATGAACCGTCTGTGGCTGCAAACTAGACATAAGGAAGAGAATCATATTGCATATATTATGATTATGCGCCTAGGCTTGGTCCTACCCCCATTCATCGTAGTTGCATGCATGTTGAGGACTTTTGTCAACTTTTAAGCGAGAGGTACAGCCCAAGGCTGAACTCTCGGCTTCAAGGAAGAGCTCACATCGCATTAGATCAATCCTATTAATACCTACCAAATCCACAAACCATCACGCTAAAGCGTTACTAGTACTAAACCACCCCATATTCCCGCATAGAGCGCCTTGAAATAGAAGACCACAAGCGCTGAAGAGTAACGGAATTGTCTAGGCCAGCGAGATCAGGTGGGAACTGTACGTGTGCGCCTCGCAACATGTCGTGTGGATGGGGTTTTCGCCAAACTGACGATGCGAGCCACAAAGATACATCGTCAGTTGCATACTCAAAGTATTTCCCCCTAGATGCTGTTGAAAGAAAATGACTTTCCAGCTCTTCTTCAGAGGGATGTAGGTCGAAAATAGCGACACACCAAGAAAAAAACCGGACTGCTAACAACGAGGACTACCCCTGTTTGCTCCTGGCATGAGGGCATTCACAGATGTATCCACCTAGTAACCTACTAAGCTCTGTGATCACGAGCGCGTCTGTTTCCACCTCAAGGACAAACAGCTCACCCATCCCATTTTCGTTGCTGCGATTTATGACGGCCTATTGCTCCACCCAACGCTTGCATATTGCAGCTATTAGGCTGCAATTACGTGAGATTTACCAGTGTAAATCGCAACGCAACAGAAGCACCCAAGCTGTAGTTGTGAACACAACCAGCCAGACGATGTGACATATCTCATAAATGTAGTGCAAACACGTACAGATCCTATGGAGGTTATGTATAGAGTGCGGTAGCTCAGGGCAGAAATATATATACAAGTTGTCAGGGCTGATGTGCCTTGATGCAGCAACTAAGCGCCTCTATCGATACCGGGGCTTTAAAAGCGATCATAACAATATTGCGGAATTGGATTTAAAAGAAAAGGTGAGTAAAGGGCGCCTTTTTCGCAAAACTACGGCCATGTGTACTGAAAGTGGCGAGCCCAGAGCACTGGGGCATGCGAAGTGCAATCGATGTTTCACAGCCTCGCTGCGTATCCGAACCCACGAACACTGGGATAAGACCCTGAAAGCGGGAGAAGTGACCAGATTGTGGCGGGCCTCACGAGAGTAAATGACTACCAAGGTGCGAAAGCTGCTGGAAAGATCATCCGCGCTGTCAAACGACAAAAGAGCATAGAAAAGCTGTGGGATTTGCCTCCCCCTCTGAAGAAGCGTGGAGTGAATGGCTTGATAGACCGGATTTTCTTGAACACGGTTCGAAAATCAGTGTGATATTCAACGCCTATTTTCATTCAATCATTCGTAACCTTCTAAGATCATGTGCACCAGTAGTGTTGCGCCAAACAAAACAATACCGGGACTGGGAAGTGCGCGCTCTCCCTTGGGTAGATGATGCTGTAGATACCCGCTGCCCTGACAAAAAGCACGTCCCAAAGAGCTGACGGCTTGATACCCTCCGCGTGCGCCCATCCTGTCGGACACGACTGAAAGCGCTATCGCTTGTATCTATTTCTAATGGATTAAGGGCAATACAAAAATGCCTCTCTAAGACTAAAGCTATTGAGTAGGCTGAGCCAGAAAACGCCTTCCAAGGGATGAGCCAGTCAACTCTACAATCCAATATAGCTGGATCCTTTACATGGTAGGAATACCCTCGTACTCCGCATAGCCAAGTGCGAGATTCAAGTTTTCTTATCAAGTTAGCGAAGGATCAGAACATATCATGGAACCAAGAAACTTACGTAGGCACTGAGTACTGGCTCCCTTGTTCAAGTTGTCTATCGTGCTGCAAACAACCACCCTCTTGCCGGTACTATCAACAGCAAATCCTCCGATCTCAACACCGTGTAGCCCAGAAATACTCCTTACAAGAGGAGCTTCACCGACAACCTTGACGAGCTTCTCGCCAGCGTATCGGTCCTGGTAGATGTGGCGGATGTCGCGCGAGGTCATGGTCTTATTCAGGGGAATGTTGACGGTGAGATGAATGCCTCTGAACCAGGAAGCGACATGTGGTATAAAAGCAACCGGGGTGCCAAGGTGCCGACTGATTTCTCGCTCGTGAATATGCCCTGTCAACGAATATGCTACCAAGTTGTCCTTCAGTCTGTTGACATCGTTATTCGGGCTAGGCCGAGTGCCTGCGCCGGAGTACCCCGACACACCAAATATACAGGGTTCACCTCCCAGGTGCTCAAGCAGGGGGGCTAGGGTGAGCTGGGCGCCCGTCGCATAACACCCAGGGTTCGAGATCCGAGTCGCCTGGCAAATCGCAGATCGCTTGGTAAGCTCCGGCAAAGCGTACGTCCACGAGTCATCGAAACGGTAGTCGGCGGAGAGATCGACAATGACGCTCTTCGACTTGGCATTGTCAAAGGCCTCAACAAAAGGCTTAGCCACTCCGTTGGGGAGCGCCAGAACCCATCCGTCCACCTTGCCAGACTTGTCTAATTCGATCGCGTCTTCGGGGCTCAGGTTTTCGTATATGATCTTGCGCTTGTCGTATCCCTTGAGCTCTTGGCCTGCCAGCTCGCGTGAAGACACATGGCGAAGGTCCATGTACGGGTGATTGTTAAGAAGGTCGATCAAAGCCTGGCCAGTGTACCCTCGAGCTCCAATTAGAGCGATACGGGACGGAACATCGTTCGAGGCATTCTTCTTCCCCAGAGGAGGGTTCGGGTTTGCCGTAGTAGCGTAACTCCGTCCTTGCCAGCTAGGGGTCGCCAGCAATTTGGTGGATGTGACTCGAAAGGGTGTCTGGCGCGGGGAGGGGAGGAATGGGCTCGAAGACGTGAGGAGAGACCGGACGGCTTGGCGGTGGCCGTTGCGCATGGCCACCGAGGTGACAGGGAGCATGGTTTCGGGTACTTCTCAGGCCAATTGAGTGCCTGGTGGGCGGTAGGCACGTTTTGTCTCGGCGACGTCGATGTTGCCTTCAAGAGATAGGTTGAATTGGCAGCGTTTGTGTTCTGTGTCCGAGATCGGCGAACATCTTCGTTTGGTGGCGGTCCGACCATTAATCCCGGAAACACAACCAGACATAAAACATGGCACATCTAGATATTGCAGCGTTGAATTTCAACAAAATATCAAGGCAATTAACCAAATAATGAACACAAAATGAAGCTCAATAGTATGGAATAATTCATTTTTCTCTTTTTACTGTGTTCAGTAAATCAAGATCCGTGCCTAACGCGAAAAACGAGCTTTGGTACACACTCAATTTAATGGCACGCGACTCCCCCACCAAAAGAGAGAGACCTTAAATACAACATTTTGATCTGGCTTGTATGGAGGATAGTTAATCAAAAAACAAGCTTGATGAGCTAAAAAAAAAGTCCTGGGGAATATCCTATGGTTCTTTATATGGCAATTGCCACCACAATTACATTTGCATTCCCTTCATTTGATTGCATATGAAACCTCACGAGTAAATTCAGACGAGAACATAATTCCGGATCCGAAACCCGGCCCCGGCCATCTGGAGACCCCTCACCAAAAGACCACAACCAGGCAACCTCCATGATCTCCATCCAAGCCAGCCAAATAAGATCTCTCGGTTGGTACAACATCGCTTATAAGTTGAGTTGAATGGTGCTCTCGGAAGTAGGCAGGCCGCGTACTCCATCGCCTTCGCCGACGGAGGCAGACCATTTCCGGTAGATTCGATTGTCGGATCAAGGGAAATCTAGGGCATGAGATATGCGCAGCTCATACTCCCTGAGGCCAAAGCTTCGCCGTCCCTTGGTAAATTTTACCAGGAGATGGAGCTCTCAGAATCAGCTGGAGACACAGTTAACGGCCCGTAATGGCCTTCGATGGACCCAGCCTCTTGGTCTTTTCATAGACAATGAGTTTGTTAGGAGCCAAGAACGCAAAGCCCTGGAAACTGTTGATCCATTGTGAGTTTTTCTGCGATCTCCATGCCCTTATCCTGAGTCTAATATTCTTGGGGCAGTACAGAGCAAGGCATATGCTCTGTTTTCGCTGCGACACGAACGGACATTGATGATGCCGTCGCCTCAGCTCGGAGGGCTCTCCGCAGCCCAGCCTGGAAATCTCTGTCCGGCACAGACCGTGGGAATCTGATGATTAAGCTGGCTTCTCTCGTGGACCAACACGCTGAGACATTGGCTACCATCGAGAGTTTAGATAACGGGAAGCCCCTCTCAGCATCACGGTCCTTCGATGTGCCACAGTTCTCGGAGGTTCTTCGCTACTATGCCGGCTTCGCCGACAAAATATTTGGCTCAGTCATTGATGTCGGCCCTAGGAAAATGACATACACTCTAAAACAGCCCGTCGGTGTCTGCGGCCAAATCATCCCCTGGAACTACCCTCTGGCCATGGCAGCATGGAAGCTCGGCCCTGCCCTCTGCTGCGGCAACACAATCGTCCTGAAACTCGCAGAGAACACTCCGCTATCGATGCTCTATCTCGCAAGTCTGATCCGGGAAGCTGGTTTCCCACCTGGCGTCATCAACATCGTCAACGGGCACGGATACGAGGCCGGGGCGGCTCTGGCTTCCCACGCGGATGTAGATAAAATTGCGTTCACTGGCAGCACTTCTACCGGTAAGGAGATTATGCGGATGGCGGCGGCGAACATGAAGGCGATTACGCTAGAGACGGGTGGCAAGAGCCCGCTGATTGTCTTTGAGGACTGTGACTTGGAGCAGGCCGTGCGTTGGGCTCACGAGGGCATCATGGCCAACCAGGGGCAGGTGTGCACGGCAACCTCGCGGATTCTCGTGCAAGAGAAAGTATACGAAGAATTCTTGGATCGCTTCAAGGCTTACACCAGCCAAGTCTCGGTTCTGGGTGACCCATTTGATGAGACAACGTTCCAGGGTCCGCAGATATCAGCGCAACAGCGAGATCGAATCCTCGCGTACATTTCATCAGCCGAAGCAGCTGGGACCTCGATATATCAGCCGGTTCCCGCAGCTCTACCCTCTACGGGCTTCTTTGTCCCCCCAACAATCTTTACGGACGTGTCGACCTCTTCGGTCGTCTTTCAGGAAGAGATATTTGGGCCATGTGCAGCCATTGCGAGATTCGCAACCGAGGTGGAGGCACTATCGATCGCAAATGGAACACGATATGGCCTTGCAGGAGCGGTCTTCACCAATGACTTGGCGAGGGCGCATAGATTGGCGAGGAATATGGAAGCAGGGATGGTATGGGTGAACAGTAGTAACGACTCGGATGTGAGAGTCCCGTTTGGAGGTGTGAAGGAGAGTGGACTGGGAAGGGAGCTGGGAGAGGATGGCTTAAGAGGCTACTATAATGTCAAGGCAGTATATATCAACTTGACCAATGAATGATGTTAGAGGCCGAGGCTAGTAGTAGAGCAACGGGGAGCCTTTGGAATATGTAACTCTGTGCACAACTCCGATGTTTCCCTTCCGAAAATTAGCTATATTACCGCCGTCAACTTGTACAGCGGAAAATAGCCCATATGGAGCAGACATAGTTACCTCTTGTCGTGCCCCTCTTTATAACAATCAATTCATCAAGAGTTGGCCCAAGTGTGTTTCATCAAGACAGGCGATAGCTGTAGACCGGACCTAAACGTTAGCTATTATGCAGGATATCGAGCTGGTTTTCATCCATAAGCACAGTCATTTCGTTGTCAGTGAACGAAGCTATCTCTCCTCATGAAAGCCATAGTGCCCATGATAAGGGCAATACAATTGTTTCGCTGCACTGACCATAAAAAACATGTTATTATTACTAGAAGCTACGCATTAACAAGCCCATATTGCAATATTAGTGTAGTAACCAAATCGAAGCATTTATAGTCAAGCCTTTTTAACCCCTTGGGATGTTCAAAACTTGACGACTTCTCAACTTGATGTATCAGTTAAGGTTAGCAATCTAGCATCAAGCACTTTCCGACCTACTAGCATCCCTCATGCTAATTTCATCTTTCCACTTTTGTAAAACGGATAAAGTCCGCAGAGTTTCATGATGGTTCGTCCCAAGGACCCGCCGTTCGGCTTCGATACACTCCTGCATCAAGGTCATGGCATCGTCATCTCGGCCCAGCTTTTTCCAAGCGCTAGCGAGATTATACATGCTCCTGAGTGTAGCAGGATGATCTACTCCCAGTTTAATCTTGCGAGTCTCCATCACTTGCGCTAATAGCTTCTCTTCCTCTTCCAATCGGCCTCGTTTACGGCCTCGTTGACGCAAAGTGAAAGCGAGATTCATTATGAAAGTGAGCGTATCAGGATGATCCGCCCCTCGTTTCATCTTAGAAGTCTCTATTACTTGCACCTGTAGCTTCTCTGCCTCTTCGTATCTTCCTCGTTGTGCCCAAGTTAGAGCGAGATTGTTCATGCTCTCGAGTGTGTCAGGATGGTCTGCTCCTAGTTGAATCTTGCGAGTCTCCATCACTTTCTCTTGTAGCTTCTCTGCCTCTTCCAATATACCTTTATGCCTCCAGTTTACAGCAAGCACCGTCATGCTAGCGAGCGTATCAGGATGATCCGCCCCTAACTTAGTCTTATTGGCCTCCACTACTTGCACCTGTAGCTTCTCTGCCTCTTCCCATCGGCCCTGCTGGATATATGTTCTTGCGAGGCTATGCATGCTGGCGAGTGTATTCTGATGTTCCTTGCCCCTATACTCTGTGAATATAGTCATTGCTTCAACTTGTAACTCTTCTGCTTTGTTAAAGTCGCCTTGGTAGAACAAATACGCCCCCATATTGTGCAAAAGCCATGCCTTTACCCTCAGGTCTCCCGAGGGCTTCTCAGTCCACTGTCTCTTTTCACTCAGTTCATTTATGATTTCTGCTTCTGTAGTATTTCGCTTTGTTGAATCTGTTGTCTGTAACGCTGAGGGGAAGGAACTTTCTGTTAAACATGTGTCCGTTTCGCCATAATGTGTGCATCTGTGATTCTCTAAAACAGCATATGCATGCGGAAGAAGTTTTGAACATTCTTCTTGCGCCTCGTGAGTGTCGCCAAATGGATAAAGTGCGGTCACCGTTTTAAGAGCTCGTTGTCCGAACCCGGAGGTTGTACCCTTAATAGCAAGCCATTTCCGCGTCACCAGCTGTACGAGCCGGTGCATGTTCATATTCCGGTCCTTGTCCTCTGAGATGAAAGAAAAGGCTTTGAGGATGCCCAGGGCCTTTGTAATTGCTGTCGTTGTGGTGGTAACTGCATCGCTCGGTGACAAGCGGCTACAATAGTCATGCACAAATTCCTTCGGGATCGCTTGCCAATGGAAGAAGCTAAGGAAAGATAGGAAGTTGCTTGCCAACATATTTCGCTGCTTTATTAGTTCGAAAGAGATAATCCATGTTGCTGTGACTGCATGCGGCGTTTCTGAATCTCTTCCGACTGTCACAAAAGACTCATTCAGGCGGCTAAGCAATTCTGAGTCACTCTCATCCAGTAACTGGATATATTCGTTGATAGATATGGTATTTTCTTGAATAAGGGACGCTGCTTGTGCGAGGGCAAGTGGTATATGTTCGAGTTTAGCCGCGAGGAGGTGTGTGTCATGTTCAGGAAGCTGGTCGTCGTCCAAAATTGCACATAACAGCAAGTGTGCTTCATTCTTCTCCATATTGCCGACTTCAATCAAGGACTTTGCTTGGGGGGCCAACTTCAGCCCTGCCTGTTTATTTCTGGTGGTAACAAGGATTGATCCGTGCCTGCAATCCGGGATATAGCACGCAAGGTCATATTCTTTATAAGAAGATTGGGTCGTTATCCTTGATGGCGTGTCTTCGTGGGACCTAAAGAACAGCTCGGTGTCATCAGCATTATCAATCACCATTAGCCACCGAGTCTTGAAGCTTTGCTCCAGCCATTGCTTGACGAGCCGTAATATGTCGGCGTTTGGATCATCGTGCCCCGGAATGCTGCATTCTCTCGCTATGGAAGCATAACCCTCATGAAATTGTCCTGCTCTACCGCCATGTACCCAGAATACTGCAACGTCGGGATAGGTCTCACGGAGCCAGTACACATATGCCAGTGCAATCTGTGTTTTCCTGTAAAAAGGTCAGTTTTGGGCTTGAACATGACCCAAGGCAACATACCCGATCCCACCAAGGCCATAGAGTGCGACTCTTGAGTATGGCTTGACGGACCCTTGTGACTGCCCAACGTTAAGTTGCTGTTGGAGTCTGACTAGGATATCTAATCTACCAACGAACTCGGCATTTTCGTTATACGGGACCAAGACTAGGTATTCTTAGCATGTGAATCATCGGTCTTATGTACTTTGCATGCATACATTGAGCCTTTTTAAATAAATCCGGGGGTATCTGACTTTCGGCTCTTCTTAATTATGTGGTTAGCTGTACATACATAAACACCTACGTCTTGACCTTGTGCTTACATCTGCGTCTCCTCAATAGGCATATGAAAGAACAATTGCCTGGCATACGCTGCCGCAGCCACTGCCGCGAAAGCTTTCCAGTCATCGTTCTTGTGAGAGTCGCAGTAGTCAGAAATGCCACGAATAACCAGGCAAGGGAACTCGGTAAGCGCCCCAGCAGCCTCCATCTCAAAGCACAAGAGACCGTACTTCTGCGCTAGACGATCTCTCTTCTTAGCATCCTTCAGTACTAATTCTCCAGAGGCTATGGTGCCTCGATGCACTACAACAAAAGACTCCTCGTCTGGATCTATAGCTCTCTCGATACGCTCCTCTGGATTGCATCCTGCTTTGTCACAAGATGTCCTCGGTCGCTTATGTTGATAATGGGGTTTATAGAGGTAATCGGCGGTGTAACCTGGAAACTTGAATCGTCGCAAACCCCGGCGTTCTGTGTGTATTCTTTGTATGTTGCTCCAGACAGGATCATGGTCCATCATCATCCGCTGTACAGCTAGGTCTTGTGCAGCATTGAGAAGCGCCGCTGGAGGCGGCATAAGAGAGCCAGTGGGCTCAAAATGGCCTTGACTTGCCTTTCCATGATCATATTGTATGGCTCCAGAGTGTTCACCCGTTGGCTTACTGACGACCACATGGCCTAGCCGGACCATTCCTTCGTCAGTCTCAACCGGTACTCCACCCCCAATGCCAACCAACAAGGCATATCTGAGACGAGGGAATGTCATCCTCATCTGAGTGACAACAGTTGCTGCAGGGCAATTTCCCGGGTTGTGGAGGCCTGCGATGACGACGTTGTGCCCATTAATGCTTCCGAGGTTATAGACATTGTTATCGGCGGGAGATTGGCCAAGACGCTCATGCTTTTCGTCAAGCATATGCATTGCCGCAAGCTGCTCGACTTCCAACGGGCAGATCCATCCCACTCTGTAGCTCTTAGCGCTGAGCTTCTTCATCGGCTGCATTATTGACGGCGAAGCTGCTTCAGGCTGGATGTTCGCCAAGCCCTGGGCCATCGGTGACACGGCATCTTCGCACTCGGTCCAAGGAGTCTCATCATGGAGAGGAATTCCCGCCATTGCATCTTCATACTCGGTCCGAGGAGTCACATCATGGTACTGGATCTGGGGGTCACCTGCAAAGGAAAGAATAAGCCATCTGGAAGACAGGCGATAACGATATCGGATCAATGGGTTCCTGATGGGCAACCTACCTTTCTCATTCCAACGCGTGCGAGTATATGTCAGATCGTGTTGGCTCCACCCCCATTGCGTCCATTCAGTCCATCTATGTGAGTGCTTACCCATAGCGGCATAAGCAGAGAGTAGGCAGGTAGCAAAGGGCAAAGCTCAACCGAGGGCGCAGGGCAAGGCAACATCCAAAGAAAGTAGAATGAGCATAGGTCGAAAGTGGTCAGACAGAAAGATGGGAGAAAGAAAAGTTTCAATGAAAAGTATCGCGTCTACGTGGACTGGTGGACAAAATTCTGACCGGATATGACCGAAATTCGTGAGAGATGAGAAAGAGGAGGGGTAAGCATAAGCTGGATGGTTGCCTCGTGCGGCTGAGTTTACGAACCCAGCCAATAGCAGCTATGAGAATGTCTCACTATGACTGGTTGAAACCACAGTCAGGCGTATTTGGCACGTCCTACAAAGGAGGAGAGTATGTTGGGCCTTATTTGCATATAGTTGACCCAGGGTCCTCATAACGCAGTGGCGAGCCTGAAAGTAAAGGGTCGATTTAAGTAGGTCACACACCCTGCGATAAATATCAAAGGGCATATGGCATACTGACTATGGACAAACCTCCAGACGCATCTCTAGATGCCGATCGTGAACTTTGCTTACGCTTCTCGTCCAGCTTGCATCAATAAATCTACTTAAGCTAAGCGTCGAAATTAATTGATACGCTCAAGCATGATCCCGCCATGTTTTCGAGTCTATGATTGGCAATTTCGGGGTATTAAGAGCTAATAATAAGATATTAAGAAGTCATATATAGTATATTATCAATGTGTACTGATCTATATTGCCAAAGTATTCCATTTATTGCACAAAGTACTCTACGGTTGACTGGTGCTCAATCTGGTGTCTCGTTTCTTTTGTCACCCAATGTAAAGGTGTGGCGGTGCGAGTTCAGCCACACATGTACCCCTAAAGAAGTACTCCGTCATCATCGTCGATCTGCATGTGTGGCATCAACTGTCAAATATCTGGTCTCAACCACACATCCTATGCGCAACAAGCGCCACACAATCTAGCAACTTGCCATTCGGTCTTCCTTTCCTCCTCTCGAAATAACCGTCGCACGCATTTTCCTTTTCTCCAACATCACCTCAACACAGGTCGCGACGCCCCAAATCATGGCTCCGCCATTCGAGAGTGCGAGTATCGAGCTCAACTTCCCGCTCTATGCCATTGATTTCGACACAGAGGATTCGAACCGACTTGTAGTAGGCGGAGGAGGCGGCGCCGGTCGCTCTGGCGTTGGAAACAAAATTGTACTTACTTAAACCTACCATCCTCCCGGCGCATGCCAAGGTCGCAAAGCAGCGCAGCTAACAACCATTGTCCAGGCGGTTCTAGAAACCACATCGCAAAATGAAATCCAGACAGCCGGCGATATCACACTCTCGCGCGATGAGGACAGCGTAATGTCCCTCGCCCTAGGCGCTCGCAAGGGCAAGACGACTCACCTCTATGCTGGCGTCAACTCGAGCCCCGAATCCATCGCAAAAGGCATTAACGAACACCTGCGCACCCTCGCCATTGAACTGCCCAAGGCGCGCGAGAAGGTCGCCGGCCCTTCGACAAAGGTCTCGGAGGTATCGCGCACATCAATGTTCACAGATCCGGACGAGAATTCATACCAGCGCCTTCTGCGCGTTGTCGGACAGCTCGGCGTCGCCTCTACAGCTATGGGCAAGGACCCCCAAATTGGCATTTTCGAGGCAACTGGACCCAATCCCAAAGTCAGGGGCGTATTTGAGCTGCCCCGGGAGGCTGAGGATCTGGATGTCATTCAAACAGCCGAAAATGAGTATCTGGTCGCATTTTGCCACAAGTACGAGCTGCATGTGGTCAAGATCTCCAAGGAGCAGGGCGACCCAGAGCTGGTCTACACGATGCCCGACGACCATGGAGAGAAGCCCATGTTCCGCTCCATCCGCTTCCTAACGCCCAGCTTCATCCTCGCCATCTCCAACTTGCCAAAGAGAAATGGCATCATTATTCAGGGGCTCCGCCTGCCGAAGCCAGGGCACGAAACGGCTAGACTCGCGGTCACGGCAAGGATACCGGGCAAGATCAACGCAACCGCCCTGTCCGTGACAAATCTCAGCCCCCCACCGAACTTGACAACGCCAGTCACCGAGACGCAGTTCCTCATAGCCGTCGCCGGAAACGACTCGGTCGTCTACGTCTATACGCTGGAGCACATGATTACCGCGCAGCTTCCCCTCCTCGTCAACCTCTACCCCCTCACAACACTCAAAACCCCCAATAGCTCTGATAACCTTACTGGCCTCGCTTTCTCTACATTCGTCGCTCCAAAGTCGAACCCCCGGCCACAGTTCGTCAAGCTCGCCAGCATTTCTCTACAGAGCACAGTCACAGTGTACTCGATCCCCCTGAAGAAATATGTGGACAAGACACCACGAAATCCAAAGGGGCCCCCGAGGGCGACGAGATACGTCTTGGCCATGAAGTCACAGACACCTTCGTCTCGCCCCATTATCATCATCATGACGGTCATCGTTCTGCTACTGGCAATCATCGGACAGGCCGTCATGGAGGTGTACGGAGGAAGCAAGCCCATCTTGCACGCCCACAAGGTCTTGCCCTCGTGGCACGGCACCCTGCGCACCCCCAGCCATCAGGCCGCAGCACTCCTCCAAGAGAGCTTCATCGCCAATCTCGTCGGAGGCAACGAGGCGCTGACTGGAGAGACCCTTATCCTTAGGGACATTCTGCCAGGCGTCGTTGAGGAGGAGGACGAGTACAATGATGAAGATGAGGAATACGAGGGCGAGGAGGGAGATTACGAGGGTGAGGAGGATGAGGAGTACAGCGAAGTTGAGGAAGACGGCGAGACGGAGGAGGACAGCGAGGCCGAGGGTGATGGCAAGGTTGAGGAGGAGGCTCCCGCAGCCGAGACTCCCACAAACCAGATCCGCGTCGACGCCCACCGGGAGGCTGACGACGAGGCCAAGCGCTGGGACCAGCTGTCCGAAGAGCACAAGGAGGCATGGAAGGAGAAGCTGCTCGAAGCCGGGAAATGGACCCGAGATATGGGCGAGGGTGTCTTCAAGGGCATCTTGTTCGGCGAGCTGGCCGGCGCCGTTGGCCAGGCCTTTCGCTAAAGCCCTGGAGGCGGGAGGGCGCGCAGGTAATGTAAATGTACAAGTCAACTCCGTATAAAAGCGACAAATCACGATATTTGGTTTCCTATTTTAGTTAGCTGGTTACAAACAATATCGCCATAGTGTATCATAAGCATCTGAATTAAACCATCTTCGCACGCATACCACGGAGCCGAACATTTCTGCAAGTCATGCCGGCAAGTGATGCTCAAGAACTGACGAGGCAATATCAACATCGTACTACGATTGACAATGCGTACCAAAACAAGGCTGATCTTATATGGAGAAGGTGTTGAATCTCATGATCGAGGCTCGTGATCTAACATCGTCATAGATAATTTCAGGTACAACGTTCAATTTCGCAGCCTGCCTCGAGCCATTCCTTGATCAACACTATGCTCCGTGCTCAAATCTCATCACCCGGCGCAACTCACCAACGACACAAGATCTCATGGGGCAGGAATGCACGCAGGTTGCCTGGACTACACCCAAGTCACAAGCCGCATCGAGACCACCCGACATCCCCTTTCGTGTCTCAGCGGCTCGAGATCAACATGTCTCACCCACATTTCGCCCAGCTGCGCGCGCCGCATACCTGTTCCCAGGGAGATAAAGAAAGAAAAAAATGACTGTGCGAGGGACCAGGTGGGGTAGGTAATATCATTTTATTGAACAGGAACTATGCTCTCCTTTCTTTACTTTTCCTTTCCCCTCCCACCGGATACTATTTGGGGCTGGAGGTTACGTTTTGTTAATGGGACGGGACCGGATTCATACGCGGCGGCCGGGACCAAGGTTGGCTTTTAACGAAACCCCCCAATAGAAATCTCACACGAATGGGAGATTGCGGGGAAAGGGAGGGGTGGGAAGGGTTCACTCACTTCTTCTTGGTTATCCCTCCTTCCCTTCCTCCCTCCGCATCGAGAGTAAAATCTTCGACGGGACAGTGAAATGCCCGAACCACATCGCACTGGACACCGGTTGTGCTGTGAGTCAAGTGAATGAGTCTGTCTCACCAGCGGACGGCTATTCTTTCGACCCAAGGGGTCCCTATTGCATCTACGTGTGGGGGGGGAGGCTTTCCAGCTCGTACCAGTGCTGCCACTTGTGCTTGGATCGTGTGCAGCCTCGTGTCTGAAGATGGGGTGGCGCGGGTGGCGTGACTCGAAGGGAGAGCGAGTGGGCTACCTCGACAGCGAAAAAGAAAAGTGCAGAGGGGCAGAGGGGGATGGCGTACCAAATTTGCTGTAAATTATAAAGGTACCCAATCTGGTTATAAGAAGAGTGCGCTATTGCCTGGACAATGCCGACTTGGGATTCAGGTCATGCCAGCTCTGGGTGTACGTAGTGATGGAACGGATTCGGTCGAAAAAAGCGACTGAAACGAAACTTCGAGCGCTCGTTTCATCGTGGGGCAGATGGAGTTGGGAATTGGGGAATTGACCTCCTTCGTCTTGGGGGGCGCGGAGCAGGAGCCGCGAATGAAACAGCCCTCAGCAAAGTGACAGACAAGACGTTCTGGAAGCAACTTGAATGACCACCCCACTCGCACTCTCTGGCTGCATACCTTCGTCATGCTGCGTCGATGAGGTACATGGCATGGGAAGATACAATTGTGTGGGCAGCAGAAAAGCCAAGTCGCTCGCTTGATCAGGTGCGCTGTGCAACTTTGCAGTTGGGCACAAATGGTTGCACCGCATGCAAAAAGAGGCACGCGGGTACCAGGAGACAAGGTATCGGTACCTGAGGTACTCATGTGCCATGGCAGAGCATTCGCAATCAGGTACCGCGCGTCTCCCATCGAGCAGACACGCAGGACGCATGTAGGTGACACCTCGCTGGAGTTGGCAGATGTCAATGCTGGGCACAAACCTGCCCAGATGAACCGCAGTAGACTCGATGATTGATTGACAGCCCAACTGGCCATCTGCTTCACCTGAGGTACATCTCGCCCTACAGAACAGAAGAGGGCGCCTTAGCTGACAGCCCGCCCGCCTTACCTCGAGAGCTAGAGGCAGGGCCTCGTCCTTCCCTGGACCCTTGCGGCTCGCACCAGCCTAAAATGCGTCCCAGCCCTTTGGGAAGGCACCAAAAGATCACCAGTCGGTAGTCGCCACAGCCATGGATGTACCACACAACGGCAAGGGAGGCAGGCCAACACGATTGTCGACCAATTGCCGGTTCCCCTCACTGTCGAGACTCGAAAATGCGTTAGGTACTCGAGAGCAAAGACCTAGCGTTGCCCATTGGCAGCCGCCTTGCATTAAGCAGACATGACCATGCATCTCCTCCATCAAACATTGCCTACGTACCTCGCATCAATCCCAGCAATGGCATTGAACCCTCCTTCCAAGATTCAGCTAGAACCACGCAATGCGCAGAGAGTGTGTGTTCGCACAGCTGGCTCGAACTTTTGGTTCACTGCGACGAGGATTCACTGGTCTGAGTAATGGCGCGGCGGTTATTAATGGAGACGGACGTCCCTTCTTGGGTAAGAAGGATGGCTCTGATACTAAAAAAGTGGTAGCCCCCTGGTCGAGCTGGCACATATCTGGATGCACTTGCATGCGACTGCGACAGTACTATTACCTTACCTTTGTCGCTCTCTCTGTGCGAGCCACACAGACGGATTTGACCGAGGGCTGTCGACACCTTCGGTCGTCTTGTGCTCTTGTGGCAGGGCAGAGTCAGGGCGATTATGCCCACATCTGTCACAAAGCCCAGGATTAATCTCGAGTACCGGCCAGCATTGTTGATTGGATAGATTCTTACCTCAAGAGGCGGTCAAACGGTATGAATTTCTCATCCGGGCGGCTGGCCAGATCTCCTCCAGGGTTCCTCTACTCGCATCCCGCCTTCCGGGAGGGTGGGGGAGGGTAGGGAGCCAAGTATCGGCCGAGCCAGATCAAGCCAGCGCCATCGACCAATGCGCCCAGGCACCTGAGCCCGCAGGACAGTACCTGGCATAAACCCAAGATGAATAGGCTGAAAACAGAGGTGAATGAGCCCACCACGGGCAGCTGAAACAAGGACTCGACACGTACTCGGCTTCTTGCTTCTGCTGCCCTCATGCCAGCTGCTGCTGGTGAGGCTAGGCGGCAGATGACAAGTAGACTTGGGGCCACGGGACTGGCAGGCGTCTGTTTAGGTTGGGCGCCACAGACAGGGTTCACGACCAGGGTGAACCATGCAGTGCCAGCAGGGGACCGCCAATAGAGCCAGTCAGGTCCTCTGATTCGGTCCTGAAATAACCAATACAGCAGCAGCATTGCTCGAGCGAATTGGGTCATCTGGGCGGCCGAGCTGATGCTCCCTGCCTGATTCTCCCTCGCTGCTCATGTCAGCGTGTCGCCCTGTCATCCGCCAGTCTATTCTTATTTCTGCAGCATGTCGTATTGACGTGCTGCAATCGAGATGGACAGTGACAGAGAGGGCCGATGCGAGGGTAGCATGCTGGGCGAGGTCTGGGCTGGGCAGGCGAGCGACAGGCAGGGAGAGGGAACCTGGTCCTCCCAGGATCGACTAGCGGTGCCTATGAATGGAAAGCAAAGGCTGTCATTTGCTGCATCGCCCAGGCAAGTGCCTGCTAGTAGGGTGGTGAATCTCGAAGGGAGACCCGTGGATCCCCTGCCGCCCCATCCGGGATCCACTGATGTCCAGGAAGCAGGTGTTGGTATTCTCGAGGGACGCCTGGGATGGGGGAGAAGCAACAGACATTGAGATGTGGCCTGCCTGACAATGCTACGCCTAGCCGCCATGATGCTGGGTCTCGCACATGGATGCTGTAAAACACGGCCTGCTACAGCCTAGAGTAGTTGGTAGTGCAAACCTGCGTGGTGTCGGAGCAAAGGCCACCAATAAAGAGCCATCATACTTCTGTCGGTCCTCACTCTCACTGGTTTGCATGCAGGCTCGGTCAGCGCTGCGCTTCAACGGTCATCCTCGTGGCCTTTAATTTTTTTCCCTTCATGGACCTACCGTCGCAGCGCTCACTCACATGGTAAGGTACTTGCAGGGCCCTGGTCGTTGTTTTTTTGGGAAGGGTGGCAGCTCCCGGCTGGCTCTCCACTTTTCGTGAGGTATCCGACAAGGCAGCTTGCCAATGGCTTCACACCACCAGACGTACCTTCCCATGACTGCACTACATACTCCGCTACATCCCGCCAGGGAAGTTTAAAATGGAAAACACGGTAGCACTCGAAACGCTTGTCAGTTCCCAGAGGAAGAGAGGGATTTGCCATTGCCCGACCTTATTACACAACCCACGAGCTGTCCCAGCGATTTCAGTTCGCCGGCCAGGACTTACATTGTATGCGCTGCTAGTGCGCTGATCCACCCGCCGGTGATGTTTGCCCAGCTGGACCGGGGTGGCTGGCGCTGACTTTTCGACGTCAGTTCAACCGAGTAGAGTGCCTTGATTCGACCAACGTCCTCCGTTCTCACAAAAGAGTGGCACAAATGATATACAGCAGTGGCGGCAGACGTGATGCAGAAAAACAGACTGGCGGAGCAGAATACCAGGGGGACAGGGTAGAATGCGCTGTGGTGAATGCGAATACCAAGGACCGGTTTTGATTGCAACGTTAGACTTCGAGACCTGGCTTAAGGTCAGAGATAGATCCTGGCCTAGCTTATCCACTATGGGGAAGCGTTTATGACCTGCCGACGACACACACTCACACACACACATCTCGACAGAGAGGAGGGGATGCACCGGTTTGCGCATGCCGCCGGCACGAACCGGATCCTGGGTGATAAGCGCCCAAGTTGAAGATTTCGCATTGCCGCATGCTGTGAATGTGCAGCAGCAGCCCTGGAGGTCAGGCAATTGTCGTGGGCGGCTGTTGGCCAGCAAAGCAGCCGTGGCCGCGCTAACCTTAATTGCCGTAGGTGCTGCTATGCGATGCGTGCGTGCGTGTGCAGCGTGTGCGTGGGAGCGTGAGTGTAGTGTACCTGCCTGCGGTGGGTAGCGCGAGGGCAGTCAGTTGGCAGTTGAGTGGGAGGTACCTGCCGCCCGACCAGACGACCAGGCCTTGTTCGCCCACCGCACCCACCACGCCAGGGAGGGAGGCTGCAAGTCAGGGACCCTCCCGCTTCCCACCCAGCTCAGTTGCTGGCCGGCCTGTCTGGTCCTGCTCTGTGTTGTGTCTTGTGTCTTCACTCATCATCATCCCATCTTCTCGTCGCTCCGCTTGCTGCCTGCCTGCGCCATTCTGCAAGGCTTTCTTGCTTCTTTTTCGCTTCTCCGCGTGTTCCTCGCCCTCCAGCCTTATCGCATCGGCACTCTCCGCCCTCGCTTTCTTTCCGGGCTGTCTTTGTTACGTTGTTTGCTTCCTTGCTTCTTGCTACATGTTCCCCGACGTCCAGCCTAGTCCCGGATGATCCCCATCGAATTTTACGTATTTGGACACCCCCCCTACACGGCTCCAAGAGCACACACAGCCCAGCAGCACATCCACCCACCCACATAATTGTCTACCTACCTACCAACACCGCCCTACACTCGTCGTTCCTCAACGCTTCCTGTCCCGCTGGTCAGCGGAAGCCCGCCTTTTACGCAACATCAGGCTTCTCGCCTTCACCCCTCCACTTGCTACTGTTCATCGTCTTCTTACAATTTTCTTATCTTGTAATCGAACCAATAGCACATCTGGGTATTCAACCGATCTCTCTGAAGCCCTTTGCTGGTGCTCTAATACCCGAAGAAAATCCTAACCAGCTCAACTCGACACAGTCCGGACCCGACCCTTTGGCCAGCCAGTACTCTGCCTCGTCCGCCTTTTCTGACCTTCTCACGCATACATCGACCGCAACGATACGAACCGACTCTTTCCCTCCATTCGCGCGTCTCTTTCCCCAGTGCCGAAGCTTCGACCGAGCTCACATCGAGCGACCGCCGTCCTACCAGCCCTTTACAGGTCACCGGCTGCACCATCGCATGCGTGTTCACGATTCCTCCACCTCGCGACGTTACGCAAGCCCGCTCTATATGGACTTTTTTGGCCACAGATAAATCCTCCAGCAGCAACGTCGACGCCCCTACCTCTGGTTGGGAAAATCCCCTTTTCCAGTTGGGTCACGGAATTTTGCGACGCAAGGTCATTAGGCTCTGATTGTATCCACGCGGCGTGAACTTTCTCCGCCGTATTAAAGGACAATCCCTCCCCTCCGCTGCCTCTCCCCAAATTCAATCTATCCTTGATTGCGTATATTCCTTAAGCTTCTCCCCGTTCAACCACAGCCACGGCCATGGCTGCAAACCTGCAGCAGATGGCCGGACATGGCCCGATGATGCAGCAGCAGCAGCCACAACAAAAACCCGGCTACCCCCCGGTTCAGGTGCAGCGATTCATGGTCTCGTTTCTCAGTTCAAATCCTCAGCAAATCACGCCAGGAACATGGCAGGCCTCCATCACCCTCGCAGAGCGAATGAGCAAAGCGCTACAACTGTAAGTGATTGTGTTCTTGACCCAGACACGCGTATGACTTGAAGACCTCTTTTCCCGACTAACTTGACCAATTCAGTGTCACGAACGCCGGTCTGTCCCACTCGAGCATTGATTTGATGCAAGCAGCCCAGTTTGGGTGTACCTTCGAGCGCGACGCATTTACTAAGATGCCCACAAAGGTGAGCATCCTCCCCCCTCGCTCCAACAAAAACAGGCAACAAGGAGCGAATACCATCTTCAAACAAAGCTAACAGAGTTAGGATGCATATGAGAGAGCAATGGCACAGAAGACCCTCGAGTACTATCGGAAACGACAGGCGAATGAGCCAAACCTCCAACAGCAACTCAACCACAACGCTCAAGCACAAGCTCAGGCTCAGGCTCAGGCACAAGCCCAGGCGATGATGAATATGGGCATGCAAGGCCAACAGATGGGGCGTGGGATGGGCCAGCCGGGTTTCCAGCAGATGCAGCAGATGCAATCCTCGCAGCTGACACCTCAGCAGCAGCAACTTCAGCAACAGCAACAACGAATGCAACAGCAAAGACTACAGCAGCAGCAGCAGCAACCGCAACCTACTCAGCAGCAGTTAGCACAGCAACAGTTACAGCAACAACAGATGAACATGGCCATGGGGAACCAGGCTGGTCGCGGTATGGGTCAGAATCAACCTATGATGGGAGCCATGGCACAGGGCCAAAATCGCCCAGCTTCTGCAGTCAGTGAATTGCAGAGGCTGTCACCTGCTGATAAGCAAAAAGTTCAAGAAGTTGCCATGAAAATGATGCAGAGTTCGTCAGAGGAACAGAAGAATGTTGCCAGGATGCAACTTCACCAAAGGTTTTCCATGGCTCAGCTCCAGGAGATGCAAAGCCATGGCAAGGATCCTCTCATCCTGTTCTACCAAAATCACGCATACCAGGTACTCAAGACGAATGCCGCTCGGCAGCAACAAGCACAATCAGGGCAGATGCAAAACCAAAACCCAGCCCAAGCCCCGATGATGCAGCAACAAGCGAGCCAGCAGGCTTTGCAACAGCAGAACATGAACGCAGGCCAGGAAGCGGGGAATGATCTATCGCAGTTCAATCCCAGCATGGAAAGCATCAAGGACCAACAAATGACTGGGTTCATGGCACAGAAGGCTGGTCAGATGGTCGTACCGGCTAGCAACGCGCAAAACCGCAATGCTGGAGGCCAGCCTATGACTCAAAGCATGTCAAACCAACCGAATGCAATGCAAACGCCTCGACCGGCCTCGCAACAGCAGAACAACGCTATGCAAATGAAGATGAACCCAGCGGCTCAACAGTCGCAGGCGCAATTACATGCTCAACAGGCGCAAATGAAGCAAGTACAGCCCCAGGCCGGCAACATGGGTAACATGGGTGCCGCTCAAAGCCCTGGAGGTGTTGGCACTCTCAACACCCCAGTTTCCCGGCCACCATCTGGGATGAATGCCATGGGCAACCAGGCCATGGGTCAAGGAAACGCTCAATTCGGCAATCAGCAATTCAATCAAGGTCTTCAGCAGGCTCCCAACCCAGCTTACAATGCCATGCTTGCAAACATGTCGCCAGAACACCGGCAACAGGTGAGCGAGATGCCTCCAGAGAAGGTCCAGGAAATTATGCGAAGCTGGCAGATGGCACGTCGGGAGCAGATGAATGGAACCCCGCAGCAGAACCAGAATCAAAATGCCATGGCGAACCGCCAGCCGGGTCAACTCGGCCAAATGCCCCCCAACATGACTGCCCCTGGCCCGCAGGGCATGCAACAGATGGGAAACCAAAATCAGGCTCAAGGTCGGATGCCTAATCCGAATGCTCAGGGGGCATTGATGGACTCGATGGATCTTCCTGCCCAGGCCATCAATCAGATAAGCCAGTTTGGCCAACTTCCCCCCGAGGTGAAGAAGTGGAAGGATCTCAAGATCTGGCTGAGCCAGCACAATACAAACCTCCCTCAGCAAGTGAAGGCCGAGTTGTCACAGTGGCAATGGAGGCAGTTCCAGCAGGTTATTCAGAGGAGAGCAGCAGCTCAGCAGGGGCAAATGGCCGGCATGAACCCAGGAGTGCCGAATGCAGCAAACCAAATGATGAACCAACAGTTCCAGGCGGGTGCCATGCAGCAACGACAGCCAGTTAATGCGAATATGCCGGCCTTCACAGTCACTGCGGCAGACCTCGCAACAGTGCGCAACACCAAGCCACAGCTGGCCCACATGTCTGACGACAAACTTCGTACGATGCTCATTAACATGAAGCAACGCAAGGTCTTGACGCAGCAACAACAGCAGCAGCAACACGCTTTGAGAGTCGCACAACAAGTCCAAAACCAAGTACCTGGACAACAGGTTGGAATGTCAACTATGCCCACTTCGCAGCCTCCAATGCAACAGCAGCCCATGGCTCAGCATGGTCAGCGCGGCCCCATGGGCCAAGGTGCTCCAATGCAGGTTAATGAACAAAAGCCGCAGGGCGCCGGCCAGAATCAAATGATCAACAACCGCGCCAATAATGGGGCTGCTCCTGTCTCAACCTCCCCCCCTACAAAGAACTTGAAGCGGCCCAGCAGCGACGATCTGACGGTCACCGCTGCTCCAAACCAGCATATGCCACCTCAGCAGCAACAGCAGCAGCCCCGCAGACCATCGCAGTCTCAAGGCTCCAAGGCCATGGCACAGCCATCTGCCGATGACACGACTCAGCGAAAGAGGCCGGCACCAGGGACCCAGCCCGCACAGCAGCCTGCAGGCCAGGCCGCGCAGTTCCAGGTTCCGGAGAACCTGGCTCGCCTCAAAGTAATTGGACAAGTAGAGCTCCGAGCACATGCCCAGGAGACGATGCCTGATATACCCATGAGCCCTGAAGAGCACGCTGAGACTTCGAACAAGCTCAAACGCATTGTTGTGGATATGAGCAAGATTGGTCGCGGTTTGAAGCGATGGTACGAACTGACACAGGATGACGAGCGGGCGAGGCAATTCTTCAGAACCCGACTACGCATCGTGAAGCAGTTCGCTGATGGGGAGCAAATGACGAGCATCAAGGAGGTTCTCAGCATCAATTGCGCCGAGCTCGACCAAGCCCGTTCGTTGCTGGAGAGCATGGCCAAGGATCTCGCCAACAGCGTCTTTGGCCGCGGGAAACCAGGAATGCCACAACAGGGCCAGCAGCCTCAACAGCAGAGGAACGCGCAACAGCAGGCACAGGGTCTTCAACAGCAGGCCCAGCAGTCGGGTCCTGCACCCCTGAACGCGGCCAATCTGGCAAAGAACTCACAGGCCCTCCGAGCTCAGAAGCATTCGAAGCAGGACATCCCCCCCAGCGCTCCAACCACAACGACAGCGCCTCCATTCCCATTCCAAGGTGCTGCTGGAAATCCCATTTACGCAAACGCACAGAGCCCGGTCAACATGAACCTAACGATTCCTCCCAACAAGAAGGCAAAGTACCAACAGAACCATGATTCGAATGCATCTGCCTCTCCCCAAGCCGTCAAGACGTCACCTCCCCGGGCTCAAAATGCACCTCAGCGACAACCAGAACCCGCCAAACCTATTCTCGTTTGCAAGGAGCCGGAATGTGAGACATCAGTCGCAGGCTATGCCACCCAAGAAGCCCTTCAGAGGCACATGGAGGAGGAGCACATCAAACCCAAGGAAGATCCTCTGAGATTCGTCCAGGAGAACCTTGCACTTGCTCTGGGTCTCGAGCCTGATGGCAGCGTAAAGAAGGAGCAGAAGCCGACCGTGGCGCCAGACATGAGTTTGACCTCGTCCAAACAGGGACAAACACCCGGATACCTTGCGGCCGGGACCCCACTGTCCCAGGATGGTACGGCGATGAAGAGATCAGCAAGTACCAATAAGGCGCTTGGCAAGGGAGATTTGAAGCCTGTTGATCCATGGGCGAATGTGACCATGGACTCTCAGGCCTTGATGAACAGCCTCGGCCTGGAGAGTGGGCTGAACAGCGTGGTTATGGACCCCAACGCGTTCCGCAACTTGACTCCTAATGATACCCCCGAGTCCAGCAAGGACAGCGGGGCCAGCGAGCCCAACAGCGACATCTCAGAAGGCGCCACACTCGACATTGGTGTTCACTGGCAGAACATTGATTCAGACCTCATCTTTGACATGGACAAGGCCACCTTACAAGGCGGTTTCGCTGGCTTTGGCGACATTGAGGTACCCACAATGGATCCCTCACTTTTGTTCAATTCATCAGGCATGGATGTACCAGATTGGGACGATGTGAAGATTGATTTCACAAAACCATTCCAACTGGACACCAAGCTATATTCCATGGACACTCTGTAAAGAGCTGTGTGTTTACAATAACAATGGGAATTGGTTTCACCCTTTGGATTACAACCTCGTGGAGCGATTCTCTTCTTCTTTTTTTAATAATTTTTCTTTCTCTTTTGCTCTCTCAATCTTTCCGCCTTTTGAAAGATAGACGAGCGCAGGGTGTTTTATGATTTCGATTGGCTTGTGGGCTCGGTTCTTCCAGAGTCGCAAGATACATACTCTCAAGGTGGTTTTGATGACATACATACCCAATTGGTTTTCACGCGACCATCGATTCAAACACGCAGGTTTACATTGATTGGGCGGGGCGGGCACAAGGAGTCAAAAAACGAGGGATTCTCTTTTTCTGCTACTTGCTCATTTTCGACATGGCGATTTGCATTTAACCCAGGGACATGGAAACTGTGTGATAATGACGTTATTTGATTATTAAAGGGACGGATGGGGAGGGCCTTTTCTGCTCGGTGGTCTTGTTTTCGGTTTTTCTCATTTTATGCATTTTTATCGCGTTTTCTTTGGTGCAGGGGACTGAGCCGCGGGAAGTCGGCTCCAAGCTTCTTCTATTGATTTTGATGTTACCACTTGTTGTTCTTGTTCTCTGTTTTTTCGTTTTCGAGTATTTTCTTGTTTTACATGGAATGGCTATGTGCCAATATTGTCATGGGCGATTCTTTTACTTGCGCAGTGGAAAGTGGATGGAAGGTTGTGTGGTTATATCTCGGATGACTTGATTTACAAGGTGCTTCTACCTGGCAAGCTCTATGGAATTGCGCGATCACGGGCACCAAAAGGCGGGGACGGTGTGAAAGAATTGATACCCAACCAAGGCGAAGGGCAGCAGTAGGCGGTGCTCTTTGGCTTTTTGGCGGCGAGAAGGGACGGGATGGGACGCTTGAGATTATTTGCTTAGCTATGGTGTTTTCTTATTAGTGCACCGGAAGAGACAAAGCCGGTTTCCGGATAACCAACATGAAAATATTCGTTTCCTCTATTCATATTAGCATCGTAGTGAATGAGTGTCGGTGCAATTCTTTGCTTCTATCTACGTCTCATGTCTTAAAGCATGCATGTCGTGCTGGGAACCCCCATCTTGCCCTGGTCGCAGGTGAATAAGGTATCAGTGTCAACTCGGTTAGCGTCATGCAGCCGGAAGCTGAGGTTGTTGTCATTATGATGTGTAGGTATCCAGGGTGGTGGACAGGCTGGGGAACACGGGAAAGCCGGGGTCGAAGAGGGTTCTGTTCCTGCATGGTCACCATCAAGCCACACCAAGCCTCAGCGTGCGATGCGCGTGTGTGCGACACACGCCAATGAATTGATAGTGCATACAGTAGTGGCGTAGCGTTCCCGACGGCAGCGCTAGTACCAGCATCGACTAGCGTAGCCCGGCCAGGGTAGGCTGTACCCACTGTAGCTTCTGGTGCTGGGTAGAGGTATTATTAGGCCCATGCACCAGAACGCGGGTGCGAAAAACGCGGGCGTCCAGAACCAACCACACAGACGCCGCACCTTGCACAACACTCAGATGCAAGGTACCCACATCCCGCGCTGGTCCATCCAATCTGCAGCGCCGGCTTCTGCGCGACAGGGTCCCGGCTAGCCCCGAAGAGGAAATAAGTAAATAATGCTTGCTGCCGATTTGTATTGTACACAAGTTCTCCAGAGCGACATGGGTTGAAACGCATGCCTCCCATGTGTCCACTCTGTCTACACGCGTTGGAAGTGACGACTGACTAGTAGTGGGTATGGCCTCTTTAATTGACCTGTCCAATGCATGAACCATTCACTAGACCTGCCACCTTCACTTTACGCGGCTTCGTTTTCTGTTAGTTTTTACGTGTCTCGGGCCTGATAGTCTCGCGCGTCGTTGGAGCAGTACAGGACACGGACGTTTCCCTGGTCGTGTGTTGGCTGTCGTACCTGCCTTACAGCTTAAAGTCAGTCGAGAGTCTGTCCCGCCGAACCTCAACATTTGATCTCGCCCATTCTATTGTGTCCGAACAGATCTTCTCCCGCTCTCTCGCAGGCCAATCATCTTTGTTCTATACCCTCCCTTGCAATCACACACGACAAAAGGTGTCAATTATAGCAGCCCCTTGACGAACCTGCAGCCCGCCCGAAATGGAGACCATCACAAAGTCGCCAACCAAGAGACGCGCCCTCGCCGCCCTGGACGCGAACGCGCTCGCCTCCCCGAAGCCTCCTCACCAGCTCAAGAGCACGGCCAAGAGCCCCGTCAAGCGACCTCTGGAGGAACCAATGGCCGCCGCCACTATGAGTCCTCTGCCCAAGAAGAGGGCGTGCTTCGAGGTGTGTATTATATCTACATTGTGATCCCCTCCCCCTCCAGCACCATCCCCGCCTCATGTTCTTTCCCAGCTCTTTGATTTCATATCATATTGTATACATACTTTGGCAGCTGTGCTTTAATATGCATACGGGGAGGCTAATTCATATGGCACAGGTCGCACAGGACGATCTCTCAAGGAGCCAGAGCCCAGAAGCGAGCTCCATATTCGACACGTCCGCCAACGACTCCTCGTGGGCCACTGAGCCGGAGGCGTCGCCTGCGCCGCGGGTCATGACGAGACAGCAGGCAATGGAGGTTAGTTCGCCCCGAGAGACACAGATTGGAAGTTCAATGGCAGCCCACCATGGTGGGGTTGGGGATGGGGATAATGAGACTGACTAACACGACTGCGATAAATAGAAAGCCGAGATCCTCCGCCTGAGGCTTGGCCTCGCCAGCTACAAGTTCCGCACAGGGCAGACGTCCGTCCCCCTCGCCAACCTGCAGAAGATGCCGCTGCCGCCGCGGGCGAAGAAGGCCGAGACGACGAGCGATGCCAAAACCCACGAGTGGAAGGTGTCTTCACAGGGAGACAAGAGCGACGAGGCAAGGCAGCAGCCACGGGCCTGGGGCAAGATCTCGCACAGCCAGAATATGGCCAGCGAACAGAATCTCGGTGAAGACTCGAGCGACAACGACGAGGAGGGGGAGGGGCAGGAGAGCGAGGACGCGGCGCCGGAGCTGCCGCGCCTGTCCCCGTCCAAGTACGCCATGTCGGCGCTGCAGGGCACAGAGGGTACGACGGGTATCCTGACGGACCTGGCAGACGGGTTACTGAGTCTCTCGAGGAGCAATTCAGATGTGTAGCACCTGGGGTTTCTTCTTCTTCTCTCTTGTCGTTCTTGTCAGGGTGTTTTACTAGTGGGATGTCACGGAATGGGGGTTTCCAACGGGGATTTGATATGTTAGGGACAATCATGCCACCGGGTGTTTTTATACGCGTCACGGAGCCACTGTGGGAAATTATTGGGCGTTATTGGAGTAGCGGATCGAGCATACATGAGTAATTAGGACATTCCAGAGATAGATGTGCCTACATTTACAGATACTTTATACCCATCAATTCCATCTGAATATGTGATGGGGATATATCTGTGTTCATCATCTACACCAGTGTGTTCAATCCGTTCATGACCTGTCTGACTTGCATCTCTTTTTCAACCTCATCACTTCAAAACATCATCACACATCTACATCGTGCTTGAGAACCCAATTGTCCAGGGTTATTCCCATCAAAACTCCTCAACCACAAACTCCATCCAACACACATTTATCTAGTCCACGAGAATTCTAGGCTCCAGGGTCCCGTAGTTCTCAAAGAAGTCAGAGAAGAGCTTGATGGCGTACCCGACATCCTCGGTACCGCCCGTCTCGCGGATGCTATGCATGCTCAGCTGGGGGTTGCCGAGGTCGAGGGTGCGCATGCCGAGGGCGGCGGCGAGGCCGGGCCCGATGGTGCTGCCGCAGGGGGAGTCGTTGCGGACGACGAAGAGCTGGAGGGGCACGCCGGCGGAGCGGGCGCACTCCTGGAGGAGGACGATGCCCGGTGAGTTTGTGGCGTAGCGCTGGTTGGCGTTGATCTTGATGACGGTGCCGCCGTTGATGGTGGGCTGGTGGGACGACTCGTACTTGCCGGCGTAGTTGGGGTGGACCGAGTGGGCCATGTCGGCCGAGACGAGGAACGAGCGGGACAGGGTCTGCTCGAAGGCGGTGGCCTCGTCGCCGTCGTGGGTGACGTGTTCGTAGCTCTGGTCGCTGTGGGCGTCGCGGTTGCCGGGGAGGACGGAGAGGCGGCGCAGGACCGAGGGGAGGAGGTTGGAGTGGGCGCCCTGGGCGGACTGGGAGCCGATCTCCTCGTGGTCGAAGCAGACGGTCAGGCGGATGGTGGAGTCGTTGTCCAGGGACGAGTCGTCCTTGAGGGAGGCGATGAGCCCCTCGACGGAGCAGTAGGTCATGCCCAGGTTGTCGAGGCGGGGCGAGAAGACGAACTCGTCGTTGATGCCTCCGATGACCGACTTTTGGGTGTCGTAGAGGACCAGCTCGAAATCGGCGATGGCGGCGGCATCGATGCCGAGCTCCGAGGCAACGACGTCGAGGACCCGGGGGTGGTGGCGCTCGCTCATCTGCTTGAGGGGCTGGAACTCGGGGTCCGCCTCGGCCTCGTCCGCCTTGGACTCCCCGCTCTCATCGGAAGGCTTGTCAGCGCCCTTGTTCAGCTCCGCGGCCGCGAGGCCAGTGATGGGGAACAGCTCGGTCTCCTTGTTGGGATCGAAGTTGGACTGGCGGTGAAGGTGGATGGCGAGGGTCGGGATCCGGATCAGCGGCTTGTCAATCTTGACGAGCTTCTGGACGAAGTTGTCGCCGTCGCGGACGAGCACGCGACCAGCCAGACTGAGATCACGGTCGAACCATGAGTGCCAGATACCACCACCATACGTCTCGACGCCGATCTGGAGGAAGCCGTTGGCGGCCTTCTTAGAGACGGGCTTGACCCGCAGGCAGGGAGAGTCGGTGTGGGCGCCGACAATGGCGACGGGGTTTCCAGGGCGCCACTTTCGGCCGATTGTGAATGCAACGATGGAGGAGCCGTTGCGTGTGAGGTAGTACTTGCCGCCGGGGCGGAGGGTCGATGCCCAGGAGTCTCGCTCCTTGATCAGCTGGAAGCCGACCTTTTCGAATCGTTGAGAGGCAGAGTAGACGGCGTGGTAGGCTAGAGTGGACAAGATGGGGTTTTTGTTAGTCTACTGGGTCATGTATGTAAATCGAATGGGCTGTGGGTGTTTAAGCTCACGGGTTGGCGAGGCATTGACGAAATCGACAAAGTCGAGAGCTGTCGGGTTGGGAGCCATGGTGATCGTGGCAGCGCTGAAGCTTGCTCTGTGCACGAGCGGGGTTGGCGAGTCCAAAAGAGGTCGGAATCGGTGGTGGAGACGTCGAGATGCAGTCAATGATGCTCGGTGCGTGGTATAGGCGATGCTCCGGGGGCTGAGGACGACGGGATTGAACATGGAGGGATCAGATCAAAGTGTGCCGCCGGATGCTGCAGTAGATCAGTCGTAGATAGACGTCACATGTGCCTTGCTGCCATTTGGTAATGGGCAACAGGCTGGTTGGCTGACTTACCCCGTACTTGACCCCGCCCCAGGGTCTTATCCTTATCAGGCCCTAACCCCCTTGGGCGAAGCTCCAGGATGTGAGTTTACAGCTTCGTGTAGCTACAGAAGTAGGTGGGACACAAACTTTCGGGAAGAGCCGCGATTCGAATTATGTGTGTCCTATGGCAGGTAGCTTTGGAGATATACGAGCAGTCAACGCCTTTAAAATTCATAGGACACGTATGTGGAATATGATCATATCTGGACCAGAGAGTAATTGCTTGTTCTACACTTCTCAAATGTACAACAGTCCACACCAATGTTATAACTATATGTCCCACACTAAACTTACAGATATCAACTAAAGAATTCGAATAACATCAGATATTCCCTTACAAGATAAAACAGGAACAAGTGAAATTGATTCGGATCTATTTTGCACATACGGTCTCAAGGTCAATCGCAAAAGCAAGTATAGGGTAGCTTTTACGTCACGTCCAATAAGACCTACTTCTGTTTTTAGATACAATAAGGGCACCAGCAGTTTCACGTAATAACCCAAAGCTGGCTTGAGGATTGTCAGGCCCGACCTCTTCCCCTCCCTCAGATCCCATGTGTGGTAAATGAGAAGGGCGCACGGCTGGGCCTCTAATCGTCCAAGCTTTCATAGTGTCACCATAATACGAGGGCGGTGGCGAGTCCACGGGTGAACTCTAGCTAGAGACCTGGGCATCATCAGCGCGCGCGCACCTAGCCGAGATTATCTCACATCCTTCCTCCAGGACCAGCTACCCACCCTTAGGACCCGCCGTTGAGCGGCGTATTACGGAATCCTTGCTTGCCCATTCTGCTTACGCCCGTGCCCCATGAGTTTGATGACTTGCGCATCATGCTATTTGCGCAGGCTACATCGAAAGGAGGTGTCTGGTATGGGTTAGCAGTCAATTGAGGCCATGGATTTACAAGTCACGAGAGCGAGATCAAGTTATTGAAGAAGAAGAAAAGGGGTCATGATATTTCTATCTGAAAAGAAAAGAAGAGAAGATAAAATAAGAGAAAAAAGAAGAAGTAAAAAAGTTGAAAAAGAAGAAGCCCAATAAAAAGTACGCCAAAAATGTCAAAATATCAAATCATCACCATCGCTGACCGTTTCCATCCCTGGTCATGCGATGTTTGTGTGTTCCGCTCCACCAATCCGTTTATCCAAAGTGTTTCCACCACCCGCTCGACTCAGCCTCTTAGACGTGGGCAGGTCGGTACTGCATCTGCGGCTTGCTGATGACAGGGCGCTGGCCAGTGTGGTTGTTGTAGGCAGGTCGGGTGTGCTGGGCGGGAGGGTAGGAAGGCCTGTCGTTCACAGGGGGGTACGAGGGCCGGTCGCTGTTGCGAGCAGGAGGGTAGGCGGGAGCCTGCTGCTGAACGGGGACCGAGTAGTGGGCGGGAGGCTGGTAGGTAGTCCTCTCGGTCTGGACAGGAGGGTAGGTGGAGGCGTGGTAGGCGGGCTGGCTCATGGGGGGGTAAGTGCCCTTGCCGATGGTCGGGTAAGAGGAGTCGTCGCTGTCGGATCCAGTGGACTTGGCAGGGTACTGGATGTAGTCGGGCTTGATGGCCAGTCCTGGGTGTCCCCAGAACAGGGCGGCGGCACCGAGAATCATGAAGACACCCTCAGCAATGATGAAGGGGACCTCGTGGGTGATGGCAGTGCCGCTGTATCCCTCCTTGAGCTCGTAGACACGGAAGGCGCAACGGGCGAGGATGATGGTGACGGAGAAGCCGATACCAGCAACGAAGGCCTTGAGGCGCCACTCGACCTTGGGCAGACGGTGGGACATGAAGAAGCGGATGAAGAAGTCGGCGAAGGCGGCCATGAAGCCGACGAGGACGACGAGCTGCAAGCTCAGACCAGCCTGACTGACCTTGTTACCAATCTTGCCAGTGTCGGAGGAGGTAGCAGTGACCGAGAGGGCACCACCAGCACCCTGGAGGACGAGGCAGAGGATATCGGCGGGAAGGAAGATCCACACCCAGACTGAAGGCTTGACTCGGGTCAGGTCAGGAGCAAAGTGGGAGATGCTCGCAGACAGGGTGACGTAGATGCCAGCAGTGTAGAAGATGGGGGCGATGGTCAGGGCGACGGTCTGGACAACGAAGGGGAGGAACTTGAAGGGGTTGGCGTGAAGCACGACACGACAGGCGTATCCGGCAATCTCAAGGAGACAGCCGAGAATCATGCTGGTCATGTAGCCCCAAGTCTTCCATCGGATTCCCAGGTAGATGTGGCCGAACATGATCAAGGCGAAGATGACTGTGAATGCCATGTTGACAGCCTTGTCAGGGTTGTACTTGTAGATGGTGGTCTCAATGGGGCACACATCGAGAGTACAGTTGGCCTTCTTGCCGAAGGGGAGGTAGTACTGGTCATCGATAGGGTTGTGGTAGAGAGGGCGAGACATCTTGACTGATTTGAAATGATAAAATCGACGACTGAACCGGGAATTTCTTTTGACTTTTCTTTTTTTCCGAAATTGAATGCTTCTCGTGGGCAAAACAAAAAATGCTGCGAAAGAACAAGAGAAGAAAAAAATAGAGGTTATTTGAAGAAGAGAGCTTGCTCAAGAAGAGAAGAAGAGAATAGAGAAAAAAAGGAAAAAAAGGAAAAAAGAAAAGAGAAAAGAGAAAAAGGAAGATGGTTGATGAGGCTCGTGATGAGTGGTGAGGAGAGAAGAAAAGCAGAACAGATGGTGGAGGAGAGCTCGCCTCATATAGGCTTCGGCCCTCGTTGGGAGGGAATTCTCTCAGTTGCCATATTTAGACTATGAACATGGTTTCAGCCTTACATCGCAGCGTGGCCTGCAAGTTGCTGCCCGCTTAGAGGCACAGGCTCCACCGATGAGCAGTAATAAGGTCCAGCTTGCGCACGGGTTCGGAGCCAGACCCTGTCTGCTCGAGCAGGGGGTTGTCAAGTTGTGCAGGCCTCGCTTGAGCTTGAGTCTTGTCCACAAGGCGCAGCAGCTTTTGCGTGCTTACTCTGGCCAGCCAACGGCAGCCAGGCGACATGGGGACCGTCAGCGCCGCATGCACGCTCGGATGCAAGATCCATCCATTTGGAGATTAGCTACGGGGGGTATCTTGCCCAAAGAGCGTAAACGATGTCGGTCTGGCATCCACGTTGGTTGTTCACTTGTTGGTGCGGTGACCTGCTATCTGCACACACGCTGCCAACAGCATAACCATCACATCACTATCGCATCACTAATGCATGCGGCCATTCACTGGACCAGTCTGGCGGCCAGTCTACTCACAAGGCAGTGCTGGCCTCACCGCTGCGAGGCCGGTGCAAATAGAAGCGACCAACAGAACACCATCTGGGTCACTACTAACCCAGGCCTGCTGCGTAGATTACGTCCATGTAGGCCAACGGCACCTCGAGACAAGACAGCAGGTGGGACAGGTCTTGGGCTGAGCGTCGAAAATAGTCCAAGGTCCTAATTTCGGCACCTGCGTCCATTTCCCGTCTCGATCTGGGGATGCAGAATGGGAGTTTACTAAGCTAGAGTGACCTCAAGCCCACATGTAGAGATGAGGGGCTTCATCAGTGGACCGCTCCAGGGGATTAGAAAGACAAATGGGTCAGTGATGGACTGAAAAAGAAAGAAAACAGGCTCAGCCAGCCCAACCTCCTCCAACTCTTGGATCCCTGCCAGCAGCACGCACCTCATGCCGGCACGTTTCAACGCCCCAATTAGAATCCGCCCAGGGCTGTCCCAACTAAGCAGCGTGGCTCCATTATAATAGTCTGTATTATGCTTCCTCCCACTGCTTATTCGTCTCCCCACCCGCCAGAAATAGAGTAGCAGCCTCAGTGGCTTACTGTCTCAACTGCCTGTTTGGGTAACTGACCGCCAGCCTGCTTATGCGTGTTTCTCTAGTCTCAGTCGTTTGACGGAGTGCGAGGACCATTCACGACACCTGCAGTCAAGAATATACGCTGGAAAATATGAGAGCCTGTGTAAGTGATTCGGACACTATACCAGCGGCTTGGTTGTGTCTCCCAAGGAGAGCCCTTCGCGCGCGTGAACTGATATCTCGTACTGAAATGCGCTGGCTCATTTCTTTATTTGCCTCCTTACCCCAGCTCACTTGCAAGTCCCTGCCGTGCATCATCAATTGGTCATTTCTGCTGGTGCTGACTGCGCGATGCAGCAAGAGGCCTCCTCGTTTACGCCTGCATGGTAGCTACCACAAACGGATGCCTCTTAATAACCTTGTTGATAAGCCTCTTGAATTGGACTTTGGTTCAACTAATTATTAGGCCAAGCCAGGAATAGGGAAGCACCAAGCACGTCCCATGTTAGCCTCTCCATCGCTCAAGGGATCGTCCAACAACCCCAACCCTGGGCCACTCTCGAGCTCCCAAAGCGGTTGGAGTCTTCGTCGCCCATGCATCTAGCTAAATCTCAGTTTCATGACATGATGTGATAATGAATGCGCCGCAGTAAGACACCACACCAAACTTTAATCGCTCTCCTCATGGCGCGTGAAAAATGACCATGCCCGGTGGGTAACGGGACACTACCGGCAGGAGTCGACGTAAGCACTTAGGCGATTAATAAAATTAGAAAACTGAGCCGAGATTGATTCAGTAGTCCGAATGGATTTCGGGACCGACTCTTGCTGGATCTGCGTGTGTCGAGCCCACTTGCTTTACACGCGGCCATTGGAGGCTTCGTTCACGATGTTTCTCTCCCAAACATCGTCCGTCATGGCTAATCTTTGTTGAACGACGATTGACTTGCAAGCATCTGGCGGTTTGTATCCTCAAGTCGGTTGCTAAACAAGATGTTTTTGCCGTCGTTGATTGCTCTTTTTTGGCGTATTACGTCCTTTTCCTCCTGGCAACTGTTCACTAAGCTGGTGCGGCCAAACCCCATGATTGGCATCGCTGATTGTCATGGTAGATGTTCAAAGCCGACATGTTCTCTCTCTCTCGCAGATTTCCCAACGTCTTATTGATCAAATATGTCTCACTGGCCACGAAGTCCATGCGCCGTTATTCGATGGTATCTGAGTTGACATTCTGTGAGGCATCCAGGCACCTCAATGCGATCACCTCCAAAGCGATGAGATGATGGTAGCCAAGGTTCGACAGCTGGGACGAGGAATAGATTCTTTGGAGGCAGCACGAGCCACACATCTCGCCGTTCATTAGAGGCTGGGCGTTGACCATGTGTTTAGCCACCTCACCGCGGCCTGGCTATAACTTCCGCTCGAATGTGGTCATTATTACAAACGTGATTTGGGTGCAAACGGTATAAATCAATATGCCCCGTCCCTCAGCTTATCAGCTTGTAGTATCTGTCTTAAAGTTCGGCTACGAGAGAAATACTTGACAACTACGTGCCATCAGTGGCAACTCACAAGGCTAGCTCAAGGACGAATGGCTCAATCGACGTCCCCGTATAGAGTTTGACGCGCGCTTATACGAAGATGCCGGCTTGGAGCCTAAAACTTGTGCTTCCTAGCAGGGAGATCGTGAAACAAATAATCCACGGTTGAGAGGCTCTTAACAGTGAACCTCGGCTTGTTCATTGATCTAGGAAGCTGCTAAACGATCAAATTGTAGCCGAGATGATGGTATCTTTAGGTCGAAAGGGTTGAATGCACCCTCACAAACCTAATCACTCAGGATACGAGCGACAATGCATCTAAGCCAAGCAACTAGATTTCCTTCGAGCCACTCATGTTGACGCAGGCATGCTCGCCGCCCGAACCGGTGAACTTACACTATACCATGAGATCGAATACCCCGTTCGCTCCGAATTTGCCAAACTGACTTCATGTTCAGCAATTTAGTTGTGACATCTATGTCTACGAGCATTCCGGTCGCGGCCATCATGAGTTGGAAATTGGGACAGCTTGATCGACGATCACAAGTGAGATATGGGCATCATCGACGCCGCTCACTCCTGGTTGTTTCAAACAAACGGAAAATAAGATTGAACAACTCTGTCCACCCGTCCTTAATTCATCTCACAAAGATACAAAGACAGATAAACTCCCATTCGACCAGGTCCAGCCTCTAACTCGCCAAAAAAATGCCGTTACTAGATACAAAATAAGAAACGAAAGGACTGATAGGCCCCTGCTGAGACTCGAGCGAGAGGGAGAATGGTTAGACCAGACGCAAGGCGACTACCAACATTGCTGGCTCAGTACATGCAATTCATACATGATGTCCACCGTTGAAGATCGGCAAGGTCTCGACTCACCCTTCTCAATTCGGATTGTTTGCGGATTTTCCCCCTCTCATCACCGCCCAATTGATATCTTGGCATAGGGCGTTTCTCTTGCAAGTCATCTTGTTTGAAATGAGGCTGAGAAGTGGTCTGCTTTTATGGTCCGGTTTGCTTGTTCCAATCCCTGGAAACAGGTGTGAGTTGATGCATTGATATTGTCCGTGGGGGGATTAGTCTTTTCCTCGGCGGATGTGTTTCTTTTTGTGACTTCTGGTAGCTCCCCGGTGTATTCATTGACCGATTATATAGTCTCAGCGACATCATTTCTCTTGTCATTCTTTACCACCGCCTCGTATCTTTCCAACATTACCTCTCGGGTGCCAAGATACTTCTTGCCATACACGGCATGGACGTCGATCTCTGAAACACCGACGAACTGCCTGCTGTGGTCACCTCCTTGCTCGCATAATATGGCGCCCGCCGATGGGATTTCCATCCTCATCCCAGGCATAGACGCCTGTGCATCCGCTCATGTTAGGCATAGTCACATTGTCGCCATCTCGGATAGCACCCCCGAGCCAGGATTATCCTCTTATCGTTCGGCTTTTCCATCTTAATTGTCGGCTTTCTTCTGTGGAAACAGATCCTCCCTATTGAACTGGTGTTGTTTGATCGAGCAACTTAGACCGGCCTTTCTAGCATCCTTGCCGACCTTCCTGTCACCAACACTCTTCTCCTTCATTTTGTTCCTGCTATTGGTACCAGTCTCCTTTATGTTTGTGCCTCTGCCAGCCTTGTCTCGAGACTTCCTGCAAGCATCTTTTCGCCTAGTCCCCTTGGCTCCAGCCTTCTTTAAACCAGCCTTCTGAGAGCTAGCCTTGCTAGAAGCCGCGTTGTCCCTCGATTTCTTGGCCCTCGTTTGTTTCTGCGAATTTTTGGGTTGGAAGGAGCTTTGCCCTGGGGTCCGTTTGAGAAACGCAGTCTTCTCCGTCTTCGCTTTCTTGGAACTAGCCGTACCTTCAGTACCCTTGGGACCGGCCCTGCTCTTGGCCGTGGCCTTTCCCTTTGGCCCTTCAGCATCCACCTTCTTGGAAATAGGTTTGGTCTTGGAAGCCGTTTTGGTGTGCGATGTCGTCTTGGTGTGCGACGTCGTCTTGGTATCCGACGTCGTCTGCGTGTTCGAAGTCGTCTGCGTGTTCGAAGTCGTTTTGGTGTCCGAAGTCGTATTGGTCTTGAAGGTCGCCTTGGTCTTGGAAGTGGGTTTGGCCTCTGAAGTCGCTTTGGTCTTGGCCGCCGCAATCTCAATCTTGAATGTCGCTTTAATCTTGGAAGCAGCCTTGCCCTTGGATCCCTGAGCAACTGTCTTCTGGGACCACCCTCCTTTCTAACAGTCTTTCCATGGACCCCTTTAAGAGCCGGCTTCGATGGGCCGGTTGTGCCCTCGGCTACAGCTTTCCCGAGGCTCTCTTTCTTCGAAGCAGCCTTGCATTTGGCTCTCTGCGAAGCCGCCCTTTTCAAGACAGGATTCTCACTAGTCTTTCTAGGGTTGGCGTTCTGAGCACCAGCTTTTGCCTTTAGTCCCTCTTTCGTAGCAGTGGTAGAGTCCGTGGGCGTTGCCTTCTTTGCTTTCGTAGCAGCCTTGTTAATGGCACTTGTGGGGTTTATTGTTGGGGGAACTGCCTTCTTGGGGATGCCAGGCGTCGGGGCTTCTATATAGGGCTCATGGGGCTCCCCAGTCACTGGAGGAGTTAGGATACATGTCTCATCATCCTCACCGGGCTCGGATGCGAGGCCTATGTAGTCGACGTTGTCAATATCATTTCGGACGTCCAGGTCGGCTTCAGCAGCGGCGGTGACCGTAATCAATTTAAGCAGGAGGAGGAGAGCTGCAAGTGCGAGATACTTGCAAGAAGTCATTCTCAAAGTGGTAGCTTGTTGAAAAAATGGTATTAAGATAGCGAGGGGAAGTGAAAGGAGAAGAATAAAATAGAAGGGAGTGTCGTCTAACATTAGGGCTATGTAAATTCTATTTCTCATCCTGATTAATTTTGTTCTAAAGCATGGGAAAGTTTGTGGGAGATGTGGAAAACTGGCCTTATGGTACACGACCGAACGTCACTTCCATCTTATCGTCGAGATAAACAGGAAAATGACGAAATATGAAGCGCATATCTCTCATATAGAAACTTCGGCACAAAATCCAATGCGCTGTCGACATCTGACTCGGGCGGCGTGGTCGTACTATGTAGATGCCACGGATACAAATTCGCCCACATTGTGTAGTCCTACGAACCCTCGGGAGACAGAGTCCTATGAAACAGCTGCATACCACGCTGAATGATGGGGATTTCCCCTGAGCACCAGCTTTCTTGGGAGCCGCTTTCTAAGTGCCGGGCTTCTTTGACATAGCTTTGCCCTTGGATCCCTTAGAATCAAACTTGGGTCTGCTCACGGCAGTCATCGCATAGCTCGTCGTTACGATATCTGTAGTCTCCCGGGGACAGACGACAGGCAGCCAAATGTGCGTTATCCTGAACGTGGTTCTGTTGGCAAACACAACATCACTTCTGCATCTGGTGTAGTCTTGGGCTACGCTGGAAATCTCACTCGGCGCCATTGCTCGCTTGAAAACTCTAGAGACCACCAAGCCTCGCGAGGATAACGTCTCGAGATGCCTCGCTCCCCTTAATGACTAGCCCAATGTTGGGGTCTATCATCTCACTGCTATATACAAGCAAATAATTCAGACTGGTACACGAAAAGAAGATGCGGAATTCTACCATGTCGCAGTGCCGACACCGTTGCCTTGGCGGGGTTTGGCCTGTCTATTAATCCTTAATCCTGGCCAGATGATTGTCATTTGCGGTCGCACTGGTAGGCAAATAAAAGCCGATCCTGATTGATAGGTATATATATACTGACTTGTCGCATAGTGGAAAGAATTCACTCATACGAATACTCCTCAGACTGGACCTATGAGATTGAAACGCCGTATTAGATGGCAGAGACATCTCGCGCGTGCCTCCAGAGTTTCTACGCTGACGCTTCTTTATATCAATCTCTCAAGATGCCCTATTATTCCCAAACGAGACTTTGCGTTTCAACCTCAACCCAGAGTGCTCCTTGCTGGACCACAAGCCGCTTTTGTCTCGGCAAACCACTGTGAGAATTCTCGGCCAGAGGCTTCCAGATTACCACAAACTCTCCGCTGGCCAAAGCCAAAGCACTACGGGCGAGGGAAGCTCGGCCGATTGTATTACTAGATGAGTTCACCGTATCCGTGGACCTCGAGACTGAGTTGAATATGTACGGAATCATCGAGGACGAATTCGCTTCGAAGGGATACACAGATGCCACAACTTTCTCGCAACTTTCTCGTCGGTGGTAGAAGTAGGGTTTCTATGAGTAACTTTCTGGTTCTGTGCCAATGATCGCTTTCATGTAACACGTCTTGGTAACAGCTGCATGCTACATGTACACTTACCATAGACAAGGTACTGACAAATGGCGGGCTGGCATTTCAAGATTGGTGCAAGGAGTCAACGGAAATGCTCGTCCCCCAGACGATTGACGTAGGCTCTCTGATCATGAGTAGACATCAGCATTTGCAGTGTTAGTCCGCTTGCTTATCCGGGGTCTTGTCACCAAAACTCTCCAGGAGAGAGAACAACAGAAATTAGCCATAGATTCTAATACTTGTTGCGATAAATATGTCAAATACCAGGGGGTTTGAAGTCACCTTACCTCCAGACGAGACTAGATGATTTGAACTGACAGCATCCATTCAACTCCATTATCCTTTATTCAGGACTGATATCTACGCTGTCCATTGATTGGAGATATGTCATTCATAATAGCCTACCTTGAGCATCCAATAAATAGTTTTGCCGCGTACGTGGAACCTTGTACTGTGCAGGTAGTTTTCCCGCGCTCTCATGAGGGACTTCCAATACTAGATCTCTATGTAACTTTGCAACAAATAATTTATTTCAATCGAATCGGGATGCCCTACTAAATCACTCCATCTTGATGGCTAAAAGAATAAAGAAAAATGCCCATGCACGTAATAAGTCACTACGAAAACTGAGGCCTGACCACTTTGTCAATCATCTCTCTAAGAAAAGCCCCGAACTCGCGCTCATAGCTCCCCTGGCTCTGAGGCCATTTCTCCTAAGTGTTGCTTTGTCCGTTGGCAGCTTCTGCTGCTTTCCTTTCTCTCTCTTGCCTTTTTCTCTCTTGCCTTTCTCTCTCTTGCCTTTCTCTCTCTTGCCTTTCTCTCTCTTGCCTTTCTCTCTCTTGCCTTTCTCTCTCTTCCTGCTGCCTCCTCCTCGCCGCCTGCCTTGCGGAAAAGCTGCCCTCAGTAACTGGCAGTGCTCTGAATAACGCATCGTTCTGCGCTGTCTGCCTCTGTATTTGCTAATCCGTTTTTCCCTAGTTTGGGTTTCCTTGATTCGCGGCTTCTCAATCTTCTGTGCCTGTCTTTTGTTGAATGCATTCCTTGCCAGAAGTCATCGTTAAATGTACCCTTTCTTTCTTCTCTTTGTGAAATTGGTATGTTTGCCCTTCGATCAATGGTTTGGTTTCAAGATCGCTCTGCAGCATGTATGAAATGTAACCTTGTGTAACTTCAGGGCTGAAATACAGGGATCTTCGGTAGTTACCTGGACGGCCCCGGAATAACGTAAGCCTCACCTACCCAATGGTTTGGAGTGGAAGGAGAATCAATCATTTACCTAAGATCCAATGTCGGATGCTACTTCAGCCCTCAGCTCCCAACACCATCAGGTCCGACATGAATCAATCTGCGTCGAATCATGGGCAACAGACTTGGCCAGGGTAGGCCCGGGCCTGTGTGATCTGCCACTCGAATCGCTTCAAGAAATCGCAAGTTATCTCGCCGGCTCATATCGACCAAGTCTTTGCGCCTTCAGTCAGACAAGTAAAGCTTGTCATCAAGCCAGTACTCTATTCATCTTTCATCAAATCAATCTCAGGATTTGCACCCGTGAGAAACTGCAGAACGATGTTGACAGTCTCGTCAAGACTCTGGCTCGTACGGACTCCGCCCGCCACGTCCACTCCATCAGCCTCCGAGGGTTTCTAGATATCAAGAAACCAAGAAATGAGAGGGGGTTCACGGACACCGATCCTCTGGCCTGGTGGAACAGCCTCCGTGCTGACGAAATCTTCCCCGATAAGGAACCAATCCCTTCTACAGAGTATTTCGTCTACGATGAGTCAGTCATCAGCGAAAATTCCGACGAGGACAAGGCATGGGCCCCGTTGGTCAACTTCATCAAAACATTGCCATCTCTGAGAAAGCTCGTATACAACTGCCCGAACCAGTTCCCACCTAGCCTGTTATATACCTTGCATGAAAACCACCCGCAGTGCGAGCTCTACCACCTCACATTCCGGCTACGGACTCTCTTGTGGGACACTCCCTATCCCTACGAAACGGCTCTGGCTACATCTCCATGCTTGTACAGCGTCAAGGTCGTCTGCTCCGGCCGGGACTCGGACGGCGACGATGACTTCAACCAGGAGGCGACGATGGAGCTCGTTGCTGGTCTTGCGCCCAATCTCAGGGAGGCCACGATGATACACCTCTCCATAAGCCACAGCAAGTTTACCCGGGACAGAGCCCAGTGGAACGGACTCCCGGGCTTCATCCCAGGAATGTCCGGGTCATTGACCTCCCTGTCGCTCGTGGGGCAGGGGGGACATTACTGGCGCCCAGAGTACATCCAGACCTGGGCCAGATTCACAGACTTTTGCTCCCTGCGCCGCCTCACCATCGAGGGGCCAGGCCACAGGGGGATCGACGGCGAGGTGATGGGGTACATTGCCAAGAACCACTCCTTCCCTCAGCTGAGGGCCCTCAGCGTCAGTCTGGAACGCCAGGACGCGAGCGTGGAGAGGCCCGACTTCACCGCCAACGCCGTCCCCTTCTTCACGGCATTCGAGCCCCTCGAGGAGCTCTCGGTATCCGGCCCGCTCGAGCCCGAGATCCTGGACGCAATCCTGCACCGACACGGGCGGACGCTGAAAAGGCTCATGATGCGTCCAGACGAGGTCGAATCCCCCGGGTTCGTCGGCCGAGACCGCAAAGAAATCCCCATGACGTTCACCAAGGAGCACATCCTGCAGATCCAGGCCGAGTGTCCGGCCCTAGAGGAGCTAGGCGTCCGGATCAAGCGCAAAAAGTCCAGCGCAGCCGAGGTCTAGATATACAGAAGCCTCGCCAAGATTCGACGCCTAAAGTCCCTCTTCCTCGCCCTGGACTGCTCGGACTGGCGGGTCCACCGGGACAGCTCGTACGACCCTTCCTTTGACGGGGAGGACCGCGACAAGCTGGAGTACGGCTACATGAAGGGCCATCTGCGAGAAGCCCTGATGAACTGCGCGGTGGACGAGACGCTGGCGCGGTCGATCTGGGGAACGATCCGCGAGGAGGGCAGGGCCCTCGAGTCCCTCAGGCTGTGGACCACCGGCGCCGGGCATTTCGGCAAGGGCCAGAATAACATGGCCGACGGCTACCTCAACCATCTGAGTCGCTCGTGGCTGATTGAGCGAGTCCCCCGCGACGATGTGGAGATTCTACACGTCAAGGAACTGTGCCAGTCCGAGAGGGAGGCCAGAGATGCATCTGGGTACGGGGCCCGGAGGCCCAAGGAGACGGAGGTATTTCGCAGTCTTTGGCCCAGCAAGGAGGGGAGCAGGGGCTGGCAAGACGATTGGTCAAGCATCCCTCTACAGGTTTAATTTAGATAGCCAAAATATGGCATTGCAGGCTTCTATATCCTGAACCATATCCTTGCTCTATTGTTTCAAATGAATGATGGGGAGCACTCGCCGCAGTGTTATCTGGAGAGTCACCAAGAATCAGCACCCATCCGTAGCACAAAATCGTAAACAAGAGCGAAAATGAAGGGTTATGGGTAAAAGGCAATCCTTATCGGTGATTTTTGCAGGAGCAGTCTTCAAGGGTGAGGTAAGTTCTCTTGGAGATGCTAGCAAACTAGAAGTGGAACCTACTCAGGTAGACGTCACCCACTCGAGGGGCCACAAGACGCTGCTCCCAAGCAAGACCAAGCACAGTGACGAAGTTCCTTTGAGAAACCCACGACACCGTTGCATCACAGAGCAGTATGCGAGAAATCACGGCGAGCTTCAGCATCTGAAGGAAAGAATGCTAGTGTTATTCTGCTTGTGTATCTTTACTCGACTCTATGGTTTCTGCCCACCCGCCAAAAACTCCAATAGTGTGTGTGGATATCGCTTTTTCTTCTCTGGCTCTCTCTCTCAGTCTCTCTCTTCGTCTCTAAAAGTAAAAATGGGGGGGATTGGGAACATATGTAAGAGGGTGTGAAGATGAACATAGTAAAGTGTAGTTAGATGGATAATGTTACTTTGATTTTATGTATCTTTGTTTTGTGTCTTTTTACTACACCCAGATGGGGACCAGGATCGCTGATGTGCTAGGCTTGCTGTTCTATGACTGCCAGCTCTTCAGCAGGCCCATCAGGTAGTTGCAGAAGGCCTTCCTGTCTACGGATGTGGTGAGCGATCGGAGGAACTCGTCGCCGTTGATGCCGAGGCTGGGGAAGAGCCCGGCCTGGACGTTCTGGATAAAGACGTCGCCAGTCTTCATGTAGATGGTCTGCTCGAGACGAGCGAGCTCTGCAAGCACCTGCTTTGATTGGGCATCCTGCGCTGGTCGGAAACTGGGATTACGCATGACCTCCCAGCAGACGGTGTGGAACCGCTCCAACATGAACTGGTCGAACCCAGGAATGGCCGGGTTTGGCGGTCCGGTAGGTGCTGTGGGATTCTCGGAGACATTCGCAACGTCGGGTCCGCCCCATATGGCAGAGATGCGTGCCATGACGCTGAAGGCGAGTCGCGCAGGGCCCAGGCCCAGGTTACCCTCCAGGGTTCGCCCAATGTCGGTAACAGAGGTGACGATATTCTCAAAGAATCCCTGGTTCTTCTCGCTGATCAAAACACCATCCAACCCGTTGTTGAGGATGATTTGAATAAAAGATAGATACTCCCGCCTAAGCTCTGCAAGCTGGACCTCATCGTCCGTCCCTATAATAGGCTCAGAGAGACCGCTGAAGATTCTCTCAAGGAGCGGGGTGAGGAGGATGTTGAGAATATCATAGATTTGTGACTTGAAGCCAAAAACGACTTGGTCCAGGAGTCGGAGGAACATAGCCATCTCGTCCTTTGAAGAACTCTGAGCCAGCAGACCCTCGATCCATTGTGGAAGCTGTGGGAGGACAGCGGGGCCGAGAACACCCAAAAGCTTGGAGAAGGCAGAACGGCATGCCAATCGGATGTCCGCAGAAGCACTCAATTGGCTAAGAGCAATCAAGATGGCATCGGCGGCCCTCGAGAACTCATCCGACACCGCTTGGTTTGGCAGGGGACCCTGTGGTGTAGTAGCGCTAGGAGACCAGTCTGAGAAGCCGTGAGCCAATGTTCCCAGTGCCATCACAATGTGGTGGATTTGCAAAACGGCTTGGGCATCGCCAGCCTTTGCTCGAGGGAGATGGGCCTCCATATCACTAAACAGGGGATCGATCACGGAGCGAACAATGAGCGCCTGCTTCTCTGGCGGTGTGCTCTGTGTGGAAGAAATGCAGCCAATCGCCTCGAAGAGGTAGAGCTGGCCAACAAACAGCGCATCTGCGGAGTGATCAGACTCGTCAGAAGACATGTCGTCGTCAGCATCCTCGCCAGGAACTTCAGCTTTGATCGGGAGCAGGTCGGCAATGGATTGAATTATCGTCTCAGCAACGTTGCCAACTTGCGCACGAAGGTGCTTGATAAAGCGATAGAAGAGATACCATGACCGTGTCTTGATGCGAACATAGTCGAGATGGACAAGACGGACAAAGCTTTCCAGGACTCCGGGGATGTACTGGCCATTCGTTTCGAAAACAACGCAGTATCGTACGCATATTTCCATGTACTGGAGCAGGATTGCAGGATGTTCGAGGTTGGAGATGCCTAAAGGTGAAAAAAGTTAGCAGGGTTGCGCACGGTGCTACTTGACTCAAAATAAATCACTACCTGACTCGGCCATTTTGCGCATCATGACCACCAAACGCTCAGAAGCCTCGTTGGATGGCTGGTTCTTTGTTCCCAACCCTTGGTTGGGCAGAGCCAGTTCACCAAAGAGATACATCTCATAAAGCGCCAAATCGAGGTCTCTCCAATCCATCTGCGATCCTTGCTGCTCCAAATTCTGGAATGTGGTCCCCACAAGGGTGCTCAGAGTCTCCATGTACAAGGGCTGGTCAATGGCGGCAATCGTCTTCTGCAAATTCTGCAGCTTTCGTCGGAGCTCCTGGAACTCTGCCTCGTCCGTCTGTTCATCCTCGTTGCCCCAGTTTGCCGTCTCGTCGTATCTCATTTTGCGAATAATGGCATTGAGAATAGGAGGGAGCATCTCGGAATACTCTTGCGGGATTTGCTTGACTTTGCGGAGGAAAGTCAGGAGGTCGGTGAGCGCTGGTATCACGGTCGAGCAGACCTCGTCATATTCGTCCGAGAAGAAGCGAAGGAGGAAGGGCAGGAAGCCGTTCAAGAACTGGTTTGCCCTTGTCCTGGTATCGTCTGCGATTTGGCCGTCCTCGAGAGTCTTGACAATATCGGCCATGACGGTGTTGACCAGGTTGGCCACTTTCTCGGCAAGGTCTGTATCGTACTGTGAGGAACCTCTGTACTCACTCAGCGCGGCGCTGCTGATCAATTGGCCCACAATCTCCTGCAGGTTCAAGAAAGAGATCATGTCAATCTTGTCGCGAGGCTGCATCTTCTTTCCACAGATTTGGGTCAGAGTTTCGATGGCAGAATCCCGAACTCGGTCCTCATTCCCCGCATTTGGTGTCCGCCCAACCAGTGGCAGAAGAAGGCCGAGCATATCTTGGCTAACAACCAGAGAAATGTCCATCCAGCTGACCCATTTCGAAATGACCTTGAGCACAAGGTCGACTACGGAGTCCTCGTTGCCGTACTGGACCAACAGCTGCTTCCACGAGTCTGCGACCTTGTAGACATCCTGGGCTCGGAGCTGGTCTTTGAGCTCTGTGTTTCGCTTCGCTTCACCATTTTGGCGAGCCAACAACATGTCGGCAATCTCGTCGTGGATGGAGCTCAGGATTCGCAGATAAAATATGACACCCGGGGTGTTCTGAGTATTGCTGGTAAGACCAGACAGCTCTAGGAAGTCGTCCAGGAAACTCTGCCAGCCAGCCTTGTAGAGGAAGACAAACAGGTATGTGAGCGTTTGGGCAAGCTTGTTCTGCAAGTGGGCAGGATCAGGCTCTTGCTGGCGTTCCGACCCATATGTCTGCCGCACGTATTGTAAAAATGTATCTTTGAGATATTGTAAACTGGGGCCGTCGAGACCCTGTGTATGAACGGCATAGTTGACGACCTCGAGACAGACCAAACGCAGGACTTCGGATGATTGGCTCTTGACGAAGAGAGTCGTGCACACTTGCCACCCCTGGGGGTCGGTTCTGAGTTGGTTGAGATATTCGAAGGCTTGCTCTTTCAAGGAGTTGTCGGAGTGGGGGTTCCCCAGGATGCCAACAGCATTCTCGATCTAGACGAAGGGCAGCATGGCTCGTCAGTATTTGAGCTGGTTTGCAAATTGGAGGATGGGTACATGAAGCCATTCGGTACGCAAGGGATCGATGTGGTGACGAGAGAGGGATCGGTGAGCCCAATCATGACCCTAGGCAGAAATGGCGGGGCACATGCATCACCAAGCATGTGGGCAGCGACTCACCTGAGCCTCCATATTCAAGGTTGGAGCAAGAGAGCGGCGGGCAGTCGCAACACGAAGAGATTATTCGAACACTAGGGTGCTACCTATCACACTGGCAGCCGTTTGGAGCAGCTGCATACAGCATTTCCGGGATCGAAGGCGGTCTGGAAAGCTAGAGGGGTGCCATGCCTAGCTCACGAGGGGCGGAACTTGGGGAACAAAGGTCTGGCAGAGGGAATACACGGCGGGCCTCGGGTTTATGACCAATCCGTCCGTTCGATCGTCGAAAGCTCTATCCGCCGGTAGGGATAATTTGTCGTCGTCGCCGTAGTCGCCGTAATGCGGGTTTATCTGTCTGTCTGCAAAATTTCCAAAAATTCGATTCGGTGCGATAATGGTGGTCTTGTGTTGATGTGGGGTTGTGACTGGACATGTGTGTGGTCTTGGATCAAGGTGGAGCAGGCCGACCAACGGAAGATTCTCGGGCGAATATTTTCCAGAGTTTGTTGCAGAACGCAAGGCCGATAAGATAACCTGAAGTTCCTTTCTAGAACAACCTTGGAAGGTATTGATTATGTAAGGTAGTACAGGCACCATCAAGATTGGTTATGGACATTGTCTTCTTCAATTGGCAATAGCTAGCAGTGATAATTAAATAACGGCAAATTTCTTGCAAATGTCAACCTTATGATAATTTCTCTTGATATTCTACCAACGGTTAATGACATTTCTTTGGGTGCGTGATGTTTTATCCCATCCAAACCACACCAATGGTCAGAATGGTAACGTCAATGCGAATAGTTGAGTCGGATCAGTTGAAGCATCACGTAGAAACCAACTCAATACAAAAATCCGAATTTAGCACATGAACACACAATGACTTAAAAACAGGAATCTCAAGTAAACCTTCGCCATATTAACTCTTTTCGTTCTCAATACATGAACTTTTCTTTGATCGGGGTAGTTATCTACAGGGTAAGCTAGTGTCCTAACTACCCTATTGCTTCCCCAGCCCAAGAGATGGCCTCATGCATGTCCCATCAAACAATTCATTTCAACAAAGTTCATATGAAGCCTTGTTTTCACACCGGGGGCGAGCAGAGAAACTAAGTCATACTATGGTTAAGTACTCCTAGATCAATGCTGCCAATTTGGCTTCCAGTTTCACTAAAGGGCAAGTAGAGCCATCGAGGCGGACCAAGCAGGGCAATGCTAAGTCTGATTGGGTCCAAGGTGGTGTGGACCAGCAGCCCATCTTCTGCTGCAGTTTTGACCTGGGCAATGTGCAAATGGCTGGTGACACAGGCAATTTTATTGGGCATAAAGATGTATCAAACACATGCTTGAGTCAGATCACTCGGACGACTTATGCTTCAATCTCGCAGATGTAACGTGTAGCGAGCTGGGAGCCTGGAAGCGCTGCACAAGTTCAAGTCGTCCCAATGAAACATTACACACGAGCCAGAATGGGTGCGCCACCGAGCCTTTTGCTCCTGTGGCTATTTAATGCGGGGTGTCCAACCCACGGCTGGAGCCTGCCGCATTCAGAGATGTGAAACAGACCCAGGGAGATGGGACGAATCTGAACACGCGAGAAAATTGAGCATCGGGGTCTGGTTCCTGGCCTGGCGGCTGGGAAAGAGACAGTCTTGCGCGATATCCGACTCTGAGAATTTGATTCAAAGGCCGACAGTTATACCTTTCTGCTCATGCAGCAGAAGTCCCAGGCGGGGTGGATAGAGAAAAAAGGATGGCATCGGGAATTGTCACGCCAGGCCTGCATTGGCAGGCTTCAAACGCGAGTTTCAGAAACCCACAAGCTCCCGGATCCCACATCATGCAGCAAAGGGAAGTAGGACAAGGCCGATTTGACTAGGATCATGCGAATCATGCCGAAAAAAGGAGATGAGAGAAGAGCAGGAATCTGGGTTCGCTTTCGCAGAGCCTGGGAATACTACCTTGACAGCCCAGGATCCCTACTTCATCTCGGTAAGCCCCAACCTGATCACCAGGAAAATAATGTAAATACAGCGCCGATGGTTTAAGCGCCCGAGAGTCATGTAAGGAGGTTGAGCAAAATGGCTCTAGCCAGCCGCCCGCGTCTAGCTTGTATCTGGTGTGGCAGACCGACATGCGATAGGTCATAGGTGGACAGCGACCTCCTGGGAGAGGGTGTCCTCGACTTGTCCTCGACCAGAGTCTGTCAAAGGCCGGACGTCATCTAGCTCTGATCACACCCTTGATGCGGAGTGGTGCGACAAGGAGGTGCAGAAGAGTGGAGGACCCCTGCGCAAGGGTGCTGGTCCGTGAGGCTGGCCGGCCCTGGTTGGCTGACCCATCGAGTCGCTGGAGATGGTAATGAGGATAGGCAGGATAAATTGCCTGACAGCCTGCCATGTGCATAGGTTTCGGGCGAATGAGTTGACTGGGATGGCGGCTCTGAGGGATTAGTACACCAAGCGCATCATTGTACTTGGTCATGTTGTTGGGCACCTTTCCCTTCACTCAATGCTGCCATGGACTAAAAGTTCACTCTCCAAGTTGGGTAGGTCTGGCGACGCTCGAGTCACTCTGCTCGGTGTGTAAAGTCTTACTATCCCTCACTCCTTTCCAAGGTTTGAACTAGGTTGGCGAACCCGGCACTTGGGGGCCTTAGGCGGCTTTAGGTAGGTCCCAGGCAGGATAGAAAGAGGCAAGAAGGTCTCTGGTCTGTTCTCCAGATGGTGATTGGCCACACCCCTGCTGAAGTCTTGGTTAACATGGATCAATAATGGATTCTCTTGGGTCGTGGCTGGTGGTTGGTGCTTCCCCTCAGCGCCACAGCGGGATTGCAGTGGAATTCTCCCTTTTCCAAGGGCCCTGACCATCAGCAAGTCCCTGCCATTCGATGCTCCCCGGCTTCGAAGACAGCGATGGGGAGAGCACCCTTGGGATGGCACTCTGACCTGCTCGGTAAGGAAATCCAGCACTCGATCGCCCGTGGATCGAATCCAAAGCTTGCCACATGGAATTTTACCAACTTATCCCCAATCTCCTTCCTGTCGAGGGCAAAGGTACCACCGCTCGTGCTGTTCTCCCGCTCATCCTTGATCGTCGAGTTCGTCTTTGCAGACAACGTACAGTGCCGGCAGATGCCCCAGTATCTTGACCAAGTCATCTGTAAGCGGCATAGATGTGGCGAGGCCTTTGCCAGTTCCTGCATTAGTGGCCTCGCAGGTAGGGGGCGGGCGGGAGGAGATGAGAAGGCAATTGGCTCGTCATCCCCGATTGATTCATCCTGTGCAGCCGCACGGATCCCTGGAGCACACACACACACGTATACACAGTGTGCTGTCCCTCTGCTGGAATAGGAACATACGATGAATCGGGGAGGTCTTTGGGCTCCTTCACATTATTTTTACATCCAGCCCATCTCGAAAATAGCATCTCTCAGGGCTTTGAGCAAAGAAGACACGGCACATTCGGGCAGGGCTGATTGCTCATCTTGAGTGAAACGGCCAGCTAACATATATTATTCTGTTGATCATATTGATGCAGCGGGGAAGGAAAGCGTGTTGGCAACCGACCGCTCCAAAAAACCACAGTGGAAGGCTCCAACCTAGGCTATTGTCGATCAACTTGCACATCGTAATGTTCACCGTCGTTCATGAGCTACCTACTGAAGGAGGCTGGAGCTCGGAGGTTTGGAAAAGAATTGTTTCGGTGAGCGTGTACCACCAGCCAAGGAAAATATTGGCAGGCTGCTCTTCTGGTGGTCAGTATTATCAAGACATGTCTATGTCTGAAACCTCGGCCAGTGCCGCCCAAAGACGGCTTGGTGGCATCGCAATCATACAAGGATACCCATTCACAGCACGCACATCCCAAAGCGCGGAGCCATAATATTCGGGAGGACAGGCGTGTTTCACTTCCTCCTCCCATAATATCCCAAGTCACTCCATCGCCGGCCAAGCCAGCATTCGGCCCTCTTCCACGATGCATTGCCGGCTGGGCAGTGCTCAGACGGCGTCATTGGGCCATTGCGATCAACCAACTCAGCCTCGTATCGTCTCCTTCTGGAGGCTTTGGGGAGATTGGGGATGCCATCATTCTCTCTTGACCGAATGTCTGGACGTGGGGCAACGGATCCAGGATCGACATGTCGTAGTCAGTCGCCGGCCTCTGGCTCACAGCAGCTTCCCTTGTGCCACTCGGGCCTGGGACCTGCAGGCCACTCACGTTTTCAACATGGCAAGTCGTCGGCTGGCGGTCCACCCAGTGCGGCCGAGGAGGCAAAGATCCGCCTCTAGTGCTGGTGCTGGCCATGGGGCGCAATTTCATAAGGGGTGAGGTGGAGCTGGTGGAGGGGTCTGATGTCTGTGGACATGCCGAGGGGTCCAGCTTGGCCCCTGGCACACACACCTTGTAAGTGCGTGTGCGTCTGTTGAGTCTCAATGCACCGATAGACGACCCCGATCAAGATGCTATTAAAGCCACCGCCGTCCTCCAGCCAGTATGTCCGCCTCTCTTGCTTCTGGTCTGCACAGACAAGTACTTTTCTTCTCTCTCCGAGCCATTTCCATCTCGTTTGACTCGTTCTTTGACCTCGGTCGTCCATTCTTTGAAACCACCAAGTAACTTACACCAGCCTCACCCGCTCACTTATACCACACCCTTTACTTTCCCCCCAACCGTCAAAATGCGTTACGCTCTTACTGCTGTTGTCCTGGCCTCCGGTGCCATGGCTTCCATCGGCCACGGCCCCGAGACCTCTACTGCTTACACCACCGACGTCGTCACCGTCACTCACTGTGGCCCTGAGGTCACCAACTGCCCGGCCAGTTCTACCCAGGTCGTCACCAACACTGTTCCTCTGACCACCTCGACCTTCTACACCAGCATTGTCCACACCATCACTGACTGCGGTCCTTCGGTCACCAACTGCCCTGCCCACAGCACCATCATCTCCACCGAGACTGTCCCTGTGTCGACCACTGTCTGCCCCATCGGCAGCGGCTCCTCTGCTGTCCCCGGCCACTCCACCAAGACCTCCGAGAGCCCCAGCCAGCCTACCTCTTCTCACGGTGGCCCCAAGCCCAGCAGTGCTGCTCCTAGCAGTGCCGTCCCCAGCAGTGTCAAGCCCAGCAGCGCTGCTCCCTCCCCTAGCTCTGCTAAGCCCAGCAGTGTCGTTCCCACCAGCGCCAAGCCCAGCACTCCCGCTGTCTCGAGCGTGCCCATCAGCCACACCTCTGAGAACAGCCCCCAGCCCGGCAGCAGCAAGCCCGTTGTCTCCAGCGTGCCCATCAGCTACACCTCCGAGAACAGCCCCAACAAGCCTTCCACCACCTCTCTGGCCGGCACCCCTAGCGTCTGCGTTCCCAGCGTTTCCACCACTGCCATCACCAAGAGCTACACCACTGTCCTCACCACCGTCGAGTACGCCACCTTTGACGTTCCTTGCCCCATCTCCACCCCTGCCCAGGAGCCCAGCGCCACCTTCAGCACTCCCCCTATCTCCAGCAACTCTCCCACCGGTGGCAACTCTACGTAAGTGATCCTCCAGACAATCCTCTTATGCTAGAGATAATACTAACTGCCCAAACAGCACCACCCAGCCTCCTATCCCCACCGCCGCCGCTGCTGGTCTTGCCGGCTCCTCTCTCTTCGCCGGAGCTGCCGCTCTGGCCGCTCTCGTCCTTGCTTAAATGACTGGATGATGAAAAAAGGGAACTCTAGGCCTCCAAAGCCTCTGGATTACTGTTCATAGCACGACAAACTCTTTTGACGACCACTTTCGAGTGTTTTCTCACTCCCAGGAGGAGCAGGCCCTTTTGTATTTTGGAACAGGAAGTGTATAAAGTGGAAAGCTTTTCGGTCTTTCCCACCTCTTGAATGAACACACTGGCATTATTTTTAGAACTCATGGCAGCCTCGGGCATCTTTTGTTTTGTTGTTGTTTTTGTGGTGTAATTAATCTTCTTAATGCAGCTGAAGGGCGCAAATGATGGGCCGCGGTAGAATTCAGCCGGTAGCCCTGGATGGGTATTACTGCAGTTTAGAAATGAAAGAGATTTAAACAATGTGTCATTTCCATTTGACTTTAGGGAATAATCTTGACTCTGGTGTGATGAGACGGAGTGAACTGGGGGAACCCAGTCGAGTGGCTGTCAGAAAAACAGGGACCTCACTCAAGGTCACTGGGACTCTAGCGTTTGGCTGGTTCTCAAAGACAGTCCTCGCCTTGGGCCTGTCTACGTAGGGGCTACAAAAACGAATCTCTGGGGTCTGTCCATATTAAGCGCTTTTTGATGACTCCGCTGGGGCCGCATTTCCCTTGGAATGGCATGAGAAATCGAGGAAAGATGGAAGGCCAAGGGCCACTCGCTGCATACGGGACAGAAAATCATGGTGTTGAACCTTGCGCCATCGAATTCTTGGTGAAACCAGCGTCATTGGCAAGAGGCTTTAGTGAGTTGGGGATAGGTCTAAGTTGAATGATGGGGAGTTTGGTTTGAAGGATTGTCACTTGATAATATGGTGAGGCAGGTCGAAATCTAGGTAGCTAAGCTTTGAACCGACTCACGCCCGACCTACTAATCCTGCCAAGATTTGACATAACCAGACATTATGACTTTATGAGATTTGTGCTAATCGACCTGATGTCGAGTCCTGTTTACCGCTGTTCTCCAACTTGTACAAATACCATGAGAACCGCAGCATATCTGCAGAACCATATTATTAGGAGAGGTCTAACATCGGAATTGGAAAAGGATGAACTCACGCGGCTGTGGCGCCTAAAGCTTCGAAAGGTTTTGTGTACATCGCAAGAGATAGAATAAGTAGGAACACAAATATGTATGTAGTAATGACAGCAAGCTTGTATCGAATTCCATTCAGGGCTTCGAGGATCCAGATCGGTGTGATGAGCATCACTACACCAATTATGAGAAGGATAGCCGACGTGAAACGGTCCATCCGCTTGTCAGAGTAGTAGGATATCTGTTGTTTATCGTACTCTGGCACCTCGATATGTTTGTTCTCCCACACTGCCAATGTGCGTAGCCAATGTGACTTGTCAAGTAGGCGTCGCAGTGGTGTTTTGTCCCTTGGGACTAAGCAGATGAGATCATCATGGGTAAGATATCTTTGCTCTTCTTCCGCAATGGCCTTATGATCGTGGTTGTAATGCCAAATTTTGAGGCTTTGTACAATCCGTTTCGGAGCAGGGTTCAGTTGGTGCAATTTCGCCTGCTGAAGGACGAACTCATCTGTCAACTTGTTAGATTAATGCAATGAGGTGTTCTTTTCAGTCTCGTACTATATATTGTCAATTTCCTGGTAATTTGCTGAACGATAGCTTCGCGATCTTTCATTTCGTCTCTGAAAGTGCCATTATTCACGTCTTTGTGGTTTTTCATGCTATACTTCTGATCCAAAGCCGTGAGCTCCTCCTCCAAGTACGACACATCGTCCTGAAGAGCCAGTGCTATCCTGATATTCAGAGTATTGAAGCGCCTTAGAATAAAGAAGTCGCTATCGGAAGCAATGAATTTCGAATACCCATCATACCCGACGTACTTCCAAGGTTTCTGCCGGATCTCCGCTTCGGTGGGCTTTCCTTCACCGTCATTGGTCCTGGATTGGCTGTAGGCATTCCGGTTGCGCGGTCCTTCCATCGAGCCTGTCGTTCTTCCATCCCTCTGGGAGGACATTTCCAAGTCGGAATCAGTCACTGGAGAGGACATTTATCTAAATATGGATTGCTCCTAATGAAATGGAATCAGCAAAAGCGCAGAATACTGGCTGGAGCTAACGCCTTGAGGATGTATTGGCGCCTGTTACGATTTTGTGGCGTTTCTGGAGATTGCACATTGGCTTAAGTAGAAGTTGGTTCGCATGGTTCGAATGAGACAAATTTGATAAATGGGAAGCCTGCATGTACATATGCTTAGCCGCACCCAACGACTCTGCCTTGGGCCGCGACCAGCTGACCCGAGCGGAGAGCTGAATCCCAATCCCCCCAACCTTCTTTAAGATCATCACTTACGAACTCTTCCCGCAACATCTTGTCTCCCCATCCTTCTCTCACCATCTCACTTTATTAACGGGCTTAAGACTGTCTATTGAAATATTTACCGAGCAAAGTAACTCCCAAAGCCGGCGCCGCATTGTGTGGGGGTAACGCCTTCCATTGCTGTGTATCCCGACGCAACCTGTACTCCACGTCCACGAAGTCAAGTGTTCGCGGATACCGACACATTACACGTTGAAACAACAAAACCCGATCCACCGATAACCAGCGAAGCGGAAGTCGAGGAGAGATGCCAGGCCAACCCAACATCAAGAAGCTACTGAACGTACCACCAGCCCAGGAACCCCCGCAAAATGGCCAAGACAGGAGCAAATGCCTGGGCGGACAGGATTGTCCAGGCGGCCCAAAATGTGTAGGACCGGGCTGCCCAGGTGGCAACAAGTGTCTAGGCGGTCCTGCGTGCCCAGGGGGTTAGTTCAATCTAGGCTGGGTTGTCATGAAGCTGCCCAGGTCGAAATCATGAATCATCTAGTAAGTCAGAAGTGTCCAGGCTATCCAGGCCGCAAGGGGTATCCATGTCTGAGGCTAACAGCTAGATAGAGGGATCCAATAGGTCAGGGCGTGGTCAAAAGGAGATTATCTCATATAATAGATGGCGGCATCGGTTATACACTACATCCGAACGGCTGTGATTGATTTGTGGAAAAAGGCTTAGGTGCAGACAAAAGGTTGCTCTATCTATATTATTGAACTATAATCTTCTAAATGCAAGCATCCCTATTTCTTCGATTGCTTATACGATATCTTTAATATGCTTCCACGGGTTGTGGCATGGAGTCTGCAACCATGCAATGGTTATTGGAATGCTACTCAAAAGGCGCTTTGCTCTGTGATGCAACAGTGTCCTTGGTGTCTCGAGCTGCGTCGTTGTGCTTAGTATTACTTGAGAACATATTCAGAGTAAACCTGCTCTGTCTGGTATTGGTTATTTGCCAATATAATCACGTCGCTTGAAGATCCGTTGGCAAAGCGCACAAGCGCCTTATGAAAGGCCGACTCTAGTAGTCATATTGAGGCCCATCTTCGGTAGCAACCCATAATGATGGCATGGAGGCTCTATTCTAGGTGGCTAGCCGGTTGAAGCCCGATGATGATTCGAATTTCGAAGCTTTAGTTACCTACCTAGGTACGAGCAGGTCACGGGACGTATAGCTCCCTCCTTTTGTCCTGACTGGAAGCAGTTCGATCACCAACACGTGACGGTATTCTCTCTTCGACTCCCCCAGACCCTGATCCTGCAATCTCCTACGTTACACTGACAAAAGTTCAATTATTCGTCCTCACCAAGTTTGGTGTTATCCTGTGGTCGGGAGTTTGGAACGACTTACGGATTCAGGAGCGCATGGGCCGCTTGCTTTCTTTTCCACCCATCTTTGATTTTTCTTGTTCGCGCTTGTACCTTGCGTTTCCCATCTGAAATCGGTACAGACGCTAGTTCGGCGCTCACACTTCTAAAGCAAGACATCTTTTTAGTGAAAGTCTACATCCGCTTCCATAGATTGTGATTTGAAGTCTAGAATCACACAGTGGTTATTGAAAAAAAAAAAAAAAAAAAACTTACACCCTGCCTACGGTGACTGACGTTGGGATCATCCCCGAAAGGCAAAGTGGTCGTCCTTTCTTTGGGGGCTCTCGAGGCAACGCTGCTAAGCAAGCCAAAGACAATCAGACCAAATTAGAGTTTCATTGTGGTTGATGGTTGTATTTAAATAACTAGAAATGTATTCGTCGACGAATCTGCTACTCAAAACTGGGTCTTGGCCAAGTTTGATATGAGAAGAGGTTCATTGTTTGATTTGGATGAGTCAAGACAGTCTGTCTTCTTATACCTATTGTTGGTCTGTTTAGCCCAAAATAGACCCAAAATTTAAATTAGCTCTTCTCCTCAAAAGAACCCCATCTTAAACGATATTATTGGTATCTTGATACAGTTGGTCGGCTGGATTTACTCGGCGTAGGGTCACCCCTACTGCAAAGTTCATGATATGCAGTTAGTTCAGTATTGCATCAAACAAGCCCGAGCCCAGCTAGCCTTCTGGGGCTTCATGCAATATTACTTTCCTAAAAAATATTCGCCTTGCTTACCAACAGGGGCTGAGCCGCTGGAAATGGCCGTAAAAATGGACCGAAGTTGCACGTTGCCCCTGTAAGACTGCGAGGCACCACACATACAACCAATGTGTGGTGTCAACAAGCTTGCAACCAACATGTGGGTATCGATTCCTGATATAGGAGTAGAGCATTGATGTTGACTGTAGGAACAGTTGCAAGCATATGCGGGACAAAGTGGCTGAGTTCCAAAATTTCCCCTTTCTGCATGTATAAAGGCAGATCTGATCTACTCTGTGTAAACAAATGGGCTGCCCCTTGCGCCGCGATCAGTCAATATTCTTTGCCTAGCATACATTTAACAACCCCCAGACGCCCTTCATGTCCTACCGAGAGCTTGCTGACTTCAAGACGCTACTGGAGCGCTACAAGTTGCACTCAGCGGGTTTCCGATCCGAGTTCGACGAAAGGATTCGTAAATGGGCAGAGAACGGAAGTGAGGGCATAATTACCCTAATAAACTTCGATGATGTCACTCGCAGCTACCTTCACACGCAGTACCTTTTGATTCCCGAAGAACTCAGGTTCCACCAGATCTGGTATGAAGTGATTCAAGTCTTCAAGCATAGAGCGCAAGATCATGAGAGGCTGGTGATAAAGCTCGTGGCCATGAGAGAGACAGGGCACTTGCCTCTCCCGCCCCTTGTGGACGGCAGTCCTCGAAACGATTCGTTTTCCGATGGGCGAAGGCTCTGGTCTGAGTTGCCAATCTTCAGTCCGGACCTGATTGAGGAATACACCACGCACTACTGGGACAACGCCCATTACAACGACTCCCAGCGTGGTAATCTGGCTGCAGCTGTTGGGATCCTCTTATCCGTTGGCATCTACGACGGCCCGGCTCTCGTTGCCCTCTCACTGCTCCGTGAAGTCCTTGAGACAGATCGGCCGCTGCTTCCAACGAGTGCGGATGCACATAGCCAGCAAGAGGTCCCAATATCCGTCGAACAGGGGATTATATATACAGAAAACCTTGTATTGTGTGCGCAGAACGCTTTGATTCTCCTAGCTAGCAATAGGTGTGGCGCTGCTACCTCGGTGCCGCACCTGAACTATGCTCATTTCCCGGACCTGTCGGCTCCTGGAGAGCTCGCCGTCAGGTCTGGCCTTGTCCCATCTGACTTGCGCGGGTACAGCCCTGGGCGTTGGGCGTTTTGGAAGAAACGCCTCGAGGAGCTGGAGGACTTTCAGGGGTCGACTCTTGCAGAGAGCGACAGGGCCGATAATGGGGGATCGTGGGCAACACTCTCTGATCATGCAGGATTTACTCTCACTGCCATGAGTACCGTGGAGAGGAGCACCAGGATGCTAGGATAGTGATGTAAGTCGCTCGGATCAGATTGAGGAATAGATTTCTCTTCGTATTGATTTTCTCACCTAAATAATTATTTACAATCTGTATGTAGATACAAAAGCCAGAGCTTAAACGATACCCAGATTGATGTTAATTCAAAAAAGATCGCACAAATCAGAGCGACCGCGCGGGCGAGCACAAAATACCAGATCCATTGAGACATATTGCATCGTTTTTGCTTTGCAAAGACTGCACACCAGGGAAATGCGACAATTATCCCAGAATTTTAGTCTCTTCGAGGAGGTCGCCGCTGCTCCTGACCGTCGACGCAAAACGGTAACATAATCTTGTCGAGATCTGGATCGCCACTCCTAAAAAGATAACAGGGACGGCCCGTGTATAAAGCTAATTATCCTTCACACCTCACCAGGCGAGTTCCTGCTTCTTATTTCCTCGGCTGGTAGCTCTCGCGCCGGAGTTTCGTTGACGGGTTTCTCAGCTGTCGGGGCATGGAGGGCCCAAGAACCTTCCATCTCGTGGATTTCTCCTCCGGTCATCTCAGAGAGCGGTTTTGGAATGCAGTCGGAGTGGAGTTGGGCCTTTTCAAAGGGTTCCGGGTCCGCATCAGCATCGCCCAAATTATTCTTCTTCCGAGTTCGACGTCGGCGCCAGAAGAGTAGCCCGGAAATTGCGACAACGGCTAGGCCGGCGAGACTGCCGGCGATTGGGCCAGCGAGGTGAGCTTCAGGAAAAGCAGGTCAGTTCGTAAAGCGCTGGAGACTTGTGTCATGTGTGTGCGAGGGACATACTCTTTGAGCCTTGGCCCGTGTCCAATGCATCGAGGGATGCACTTGGGCTGTTGCCTAGCCCAGTAGTGCTTGGCGGCTGTTCATTAATGCTTGTTGGCGTCGGCAAGGCTGTGCCTGATGGAGTGAGGACCGTGGTGATGTATACGGTTATGACGTGGGCCGGACTGCTCCTAGTGGTGGTCGGATTACTCCCGGTGCAGTAATTCAAGAACTGGCCGAATTCGGGCATAACAATATCCCGCGGATTTGTTCCCGAATCGCCGATGTTTTCGACGATGCATTTCGTGCAAGCATTGTATCCCTCGATGAACGCTCCACTCGGGTCGCATAGCTCATCACTCTTCCCGAGTGATGAGGCAAGCATATAGGCATTATCTGTGAATTGGGATGAGAAACCAGCCAACAAGTATTAGCAAGAAGATGCAAAGTTCACGGACTGCATTTTGTATAGCAAACTGCGGGAGCTGTGTCGAAGCCCATGATGTGACGTAAATGAGGAGCAAAAGTAATTATCAAACCTGGGCATCATGTAGCTGAGCTGAAAGAGGGGGAAATGTGCATTCTTATACACTCGGCTGGTTATTTTTATGCATGTCAGCCAGCCATCCAATGCTTGAGGGGTCAATGTAGAGTTTCATTGGTTCATGCAAGAGACACGGAGTATGTGGTATTTCTCCCAAAAGAAAGGCCCCCAATTTGAAGCATGCCGCCGATCAATACCACCATCGGGCAGCACTGGGAAGCAATTCGTTCAGAATGGAAGGCAGAGGTTATCTCTGGGAAAATTGGATGCCACCTGCTTACAACAGTCTCAAGCTACTCCAGAAAGGCGTGCAACTACCTACTCCTCCACCTTGTGATGTTTAGGCAGTCTCCAGAGCCATGACCTTGGTCGAACTGGTGCAGAGTGTCCGCTACGTAATCAAAATGGCGGTATTGCCTGCTGTTCCTTTGCAGGCCAGTTTCACAGGCGCCCTGGAGGCAAAAAAAGCCTTCTCATCAAAAAGAGGCTCTTGGTTTGTCTCGTTTCGAACGAATGCCACGGTCGAGAAAACGGGCCTCAAGAACAAACCAGACCAAATCTGTTAAAACGATTGATTCATCATTGCTTTTCGAAGCACATGTACCGGGAACTACCGCAACTATCCCGAAATTTTAGGTCGTTTCTTCAAGGCTATCGCTACTTCCCCCTCCTTCGACGTCTTCGACGCCCAGACAGGCTCTTTCCTCGCTGGTAGGTGCCGTTGACCCACTTTCGCCTGGCAAGCCAATGGGTCAAAGTAAACTATGGTCCGTGCACCAACAAGGCCAGGCAAGTGGGCAGAACGACAGGGACTACAAAGCTGTTTAAATCCCAACTTTTTAACATAGGTAACGACATTAACAGAAAAGAGTCTATGATGATAAATTTCAGGTAATTGTAAGAGTATTATATACTATTGCACAGTAGGAAGCATTATTATAGGATTGACTACCACAATGTTTCTGTCGAGGTGGCTTTGCAGACCCTCTTTTTCTGACAGGCACTTGCCATTGTCCCGTCGTGCACGGACCATGCGATGCTGAGGCTCTGTTCACTTGGTTCTTACCTTCCTTCCATGATTTTGCTCTGACTGCCTGCTAAAAGGGAAATATAAGCTCTCCTCTGCCATTCTGACTTTTATTTTCTTTTCTCTTCTTTTCATCCCCATACACATCACCAACCTGGCTTGCATCTTCTCCGTGTGTGCACATTCCTGTCTTCCAGCGTCTCACATTTCCATTTTCATCCATTACAATCCTCTTCCTTTGTACTACCATCCTCTTCCTTTGGTACTACCGCGCCTACCATGGATCAACTGATTGCTGCCGCTCATTCAATCGACGCGGCTCTTGATGTGAATATCCCCTTGACAAACTCAGCCACTGAGGCTTACTGACGGTTTTTTTAGATACTCGAAAGAGAAAACAATCTTTCCGTTTCCTTTGCGCGGAGGTTGGACGAGATTCGTTCGGTAAGCTTTTTTGTCTTTTTGTGTTTGAGGGTAAGTTCTAACCATCTCTACTACTAGACCATACAAAACGCCTTGGAGGATGAATTCCCTCGGTGTGCTGTCCTCCAATCAGATCGGCATCCACTGTCCACAATGGCTCGGTGCCAGTCCCATGGCACACACTACCTTTGTGCTAAGGCCTGCGAGATGGCCATCCGTTCAGCTCCGTTTCGACCAGTTTTGAGTCCAGATTGCACAGACGAAATCTGGCAGTACCAGTCCCTTCCCTTGTCCGTTGCTCCGATCGCAGACAGGATCAGAGTGACTCCTTTGCAATGGCGTCGAACTCATTCCTGTCATGCCCCGTCGTGTCCTTTGTTTGTCCTAGAGGACGGTTCCTGTGTCGACACCCAATGTCCCTCAACAGGGACCTGCCCCATGTGTGTGGAAAATACAATTCTCGACGGTGGTCGCAACCATTTGACGTAAGTCTTGTACCGAGGAATGGTGGTTGGTTATAGCTAACTTTTTGAAAGTTGTGTGAATTGCGGCTTCCAGTGGTGTCGTCTCTGTGGAAGTGGCGGGGTGGGCTAGCAAGCCAACCGCCACTTCTGCAGAGACGGAAATCCCCGTGGTGAGACTCCGGTGGACGAGACTCCGTTGGTGACTCTGTTAGATGAGACTCCGTTGGGTGGGATTCCGTTGAGTGGGATTCCGTTGAGTGAGACTCCGGTAGATGAGACTCCGTTGGACGCGTTGCTGGTTCGTGCCAGGCAGTGCCATCATTACTTTAGCAAACATCGAGGGGGGGCCGAGGCAAGGACATGCCTACTATGCGGGGTCATTATGCGAACACATGTATATGCCTGCTCAGCAGGTTGTGGTGTCCGCTGCTGCCTCCAATGCAGGCGCAGGGAGGGATGGGTCTCCCGCATCCTTTGAAATACTTCCGTTGACAGAATAATCAATAACGACAACCATGATGAGTTATTGCGCAAGTATTCGGCAAAATTGTCTGCTTACTATTACGCCACATGAAGCAATGTGATATAACTGACTGCCACAGCAATTCTGTCAATGTGACTTTGTAAGGTGGTCAGTGTCTGATAGCTACTTGGCTATGTATCCCGAACACTTACTTAGAGACACAAAATCGGCACCCAAATCTATCAAGACAACTGCTTCATCATTGCTTTGCGGAGCACATGAGCCATGGAGATGCCACGATTATACCAGAATCTTTGTATTATTTTCGCTCGCGTCTCTCTCCACATGTCGTGAACTCTAACTTTGAAAAATCAATCTCTAACAAGACAAAATAAGCTAAGCAAAAGAAAAGAACAAAACACAGCTCTTTCTTTAAAGAACATAACTACCACCGCCCAGTGCACCCCAGTCACGAACCGGGCGGGCTTCTTCAAGCTCGATGCACCACCAGAGAACATCCTTGGCCTTGTCAGGCTGGCCACTCTCCTCATGGGCACGAGCAAGTGCGAACCAAGCATCTGAGTAATTCCAGCTGGTACCAAGACGTGTGAGACCAGATAACAAACCATGAGCGCGATCACGAGCAGCGAGCCGCTCCGCAAGAGGGAGACAGGTTGCCTTGTAAGGCTCAGGGAGGTCATCTTCGTGGGCCAGACATGTCTGGTTGTGCAAGGGGCTGGCGAGGGGCGCCGAATTTGGTGAGCTTGACGTGGTTCCTAGACCTAGAGGATTGGTCGGAAGAGTTTTGGGGGCAACCTTGCCAGTCTTGGGTGCGGGAGAGGAGGGGTTGAGCAAGGTCTCGGTGCCTTCGAGACGTGGGAATGTGGGTACAGGGCGAATCACTTCGCTGTAGACATCCAGTAGGATATTTGACAAACCGACAGTGGCGGCTGGGTGGTTTGGCGAGTATGTGAGTGCCGTCTCGAAATCCGAGCGACCGTCGTAGGGTGCATTTCTTGCCACAGAAAGGTGACCATACTGCGCAATCCCGTTAGCAATTTAACCTTCTGATGTAACTGAGCTCCAAATTCTTACCTCTGCAAAAACGTCACCCCATAGATCCTCAATGCTCTTCTTCTCTGCCCAGGCAACGCCTTTGATAGTTGACGAGTCGGACGGCTCCCTCTGCTTATCAGCCTCCAGGCTTTGGACAAGCTTTTTTGCTTCCGTGACGGCACCCTCGCAGTCATCATAGAGGCTTGCACGGCGATAGAAGCCTGCAATCATCAACCAGACACCAATCAAAATAGTTGTCCTTTGCACTCTCTCTTTATCACTGGAGAATTGAATCAGAGGCAAGAGATCACCGGATGTATATGTCACGTTGGTCGACGACTCTACGTGCTCGGAAGACTTGGAGACGTTGGAGAGGAACGAATTCAACGTGGGAAGTGGGCGACCTCGTGATGACGAGGCCGCCGATGCAGAGGAAACCTCCCTGTTTATCGACGAGGTTGTGGAAAAGAAGTCGGAGTTGTCATCCGAGGGTGGGACTGGTTCCTCTTCAACCACCTGCGTTGATACATCCGCCGTCGCCGTGCTAGGTCGTCTATGCCCACTCATACTCCTATCTCGCTTCTTGAAGCTGCCTCCTTTGGCAGACTCACTCCTAGGGCCTCGGGTTTGCCCAGTACTTCCTCTGCGAGTTGATGGGGGCTGGTGGTTCTCGGTTACTTGAATGGTTGGGGCCCCTGCGCTGCCAGCTGTGCGCGCAGTTGCAGGCCTCGTGGTAGACTTCTCATTGTTCACGGCAGTATTGCTGACACTTGCCTGTCTTGTTGCTGGTCGAGACTTGTCCCTACCACCAAAGAAGCTTCCGCGAATACTTCGGAAAGTGCCTGCTGTCTTCGGAGGTTCGCTGACCTTGGAGACGCTGAGGTTAGCGAGGGACTGTGGTACGATGTTTCCAAATAGCCGAGAAAAAAGTGTCAGCAGCTCATAGCTAGCGTTGACAGCAACTTCAGGGCCCTCAAGTAATTCAACAAGAGAGAGTTGTGTCATTTTGACCTCCAAGATAGACTCCTTCTCTGTGTCGTCCATTTCGTCGACGAGGCCGGTTCGAGATTCAGAGGATTCGAGGTCTTTAAGATGCTCACTCTTGAAATGAGGATCACCCTTTCCGAAAAGCACCGAAGGATCCCTGAATTGCTCGAAAGCGCCTTCACAAGCCCGCGCAGCTAGAATGTAATCTTGTCGAGCGCTAAGAAGCAAGGCCAGTAAATGCCACATTGGTATCAGGGAACGTTCCTGCCAATACGGGCCGTGTAATAAATGGTACTGTTCTTCCCTTCCCTTGCTAGTAAGCAGCGCTGTTCTCGCTACCTCGATGGCCGTTGTCAGCTCTCTCCGTTCGGCCAGCAACAGAGCAAGACTGAAGTAGCTCCTAACATCTCTAGATCGGCCA